GCGCGACACTGATGCCCAAATCCAGCACCGCCTGAGCTCTGTGAGTGCAGCTTTCTCCCGATTGAAGTGCAGAGTGTTTGAGGACCGGGACATTTGCAGGGAAACAAAATGCTTGTTTACAAAACTATGGTACTACCAAACTTACTGTATGCTTGTGAAACATGGACCACTTATAAACGCCATCTCCAACTCCTTAAAAGATTCCATCAACAGTGTCTCCAAAAAACTTTACACATCACTTGGGAAGAGAGGCAAACTAATACCAGTATACTGGAAGAAGCAAAGATCACCAGTGTTGAAGCAATGGTTCTTCAACATCAACTTTGTTGGACTGGTCATATTGTGTGGATGCCTGATTATTGTCTTCCAAAGCAACTACTCTATTCCGAACTTAAAAATAGAAAGCGTAATGCCGGTGGTCAAACAAAAGAGGTTTAAAGACTGTCTCAAGGCAAAAAAATTTAAAAATGTAGTATAAGCACCAACAATTGGGAAGCACTTGCCTGCGAGCGCTCCAATTGGAGAACAGCCTTTACCAAAGGTGTCATGGGCTTTGAAGACGCACAAACTCGGGACACAAGGGAGAAACGTGCTAAGAGGAAGGCACGCTTGGCAAATCCACACCGTGATCAACTTCCACCCGAAAACCAATGTCCCCACTGTGGAAGGACGTGTGGATCCAGAATTGGCCTCCACAGTCACTTACAGACTCACTGTTCATGGAAGACAATCTTACTCAGCTACGAGTTATCGCCAAAGAAGAAAAAGAAGCTTGACTGTTCCTGTGCGACCAACCTGAGGAAATATTTCGTATTCTTCTTTGGCGGCCCAATCGCCTTCTAAATCCGGCCCACGGATGGTCCGGGAATCAGCATGTTTTTACATGAGTAGAATGTGTGCTTTTATTTAAAATGCATCTCTGGGTTATTTGTGGGGCCTGCCTGGTGTTTTTACATGAGGAGAATGTGTGCTTTTATTTAAAATGCATCTCTGGGTTATTTGTGGGGCATAGGAATTAGTTCATATATTTTTTCAAAATATTGTCCATTTCCCCATTGCCATTGGTCTGAGGGACGGTGGACTGGCCCATGGCTGACAAGGTTGCTGACTCCTGTCCTAAGTGGTCACAGTAGAATTTTGGGAATTTATTAACTTTTAACAGAATTTGGAGCGGGGCCCCTTCCTAGGAATAGGAAGCACCAAGTTTCTTCCCTGCGGTGTTAGTGCACGCAGCTGTGGTATGTGAATGTCTCAACTGCACGTGCAAAGCTCTTAATTGCATTTGTCTTTCCCATCCAATCTGTGCCCTTCTTCATGGCAGCGTTCCATTGGTGAGGGAAAGGCTTTGCCCACCAAATGGTAATGCTTAGACATAGATATCGCAGTTGCACATAATCGCCCCATAGCCAAGCGACTCTGTTTGAGAGATTATTATACGTGAACCTCTGGACTGCCAGTATTTTTCAGGAAGGATTCAAGCGCAGACTGAGAAATTTAGGTCTGCACAGCTAAATTAGTTTAAAGCACTCTGTCTACCCTAGTGCAACAGAGCCACTTTTAAAAAGAATTTGTGAGCATGGGAACACAATGGGGAAATGACATTGAAAAGTGTAGCATGAACAAAGGATTAATGGAATCTCCGTAAACTGACCAAGATGAATTGAACAGAATGAATGCTCAATAAAGACCAGATTTAGTATGAAAATGCTGGCTGCATTAAGATAAATTCAACAGAGCAAATAATTTTTGATGGATGTTAATAGTGGAAAACCGATTGGAATAGTTATTGTAAAATATGCAGGGATGTACTGTAAGATATGCAAAATGAACCATGGAGAGAGAAGAAGGGAAGTCATTGGATATGTTAAAGTATGTAAAATGTTTGTTGGAAATTGTAAAACAGAAAATTTAATTATATATATATATATATATATATATATATATATATATATATATATGAATGATTTAGTGTAACCACCACATAAGCTTTATGCACCCTTTGTTTTTTTTTGTCAATAGTCATATGTAATAACAACATAACAGAAGTTTTCATTCGATTTCAATCTTTCAGAATTTCACCATGGATGAGCTGGCTAATGCAAACACACATTTTGCCCTTGATCTCTTCCAAAAGTTCAATGAATCCAACCCAACAGGCAACATCTTCTTTTCACCCTTTAGCATATCTATTGCCCTAGCTATGGTTTTCTTGGGGACCAAAGGCAACACAGCAGCACAACTCTCAAAGGTCAGCAAAGCTTTTATTTCTATTTTTTGTGTGACAGCTGTTATACAGATTTCTGGCTATTTTGTTAAGAAGGTTTGATTAGAAATCATTTAAAACCCTTTACATTTACAATATCCCACATAGAAGGAGAAGGTTTTATTTGGACTCAGATGCGTATCAGAAGATATCAAAAAATATTAATAATAAATAATAATACATTTTTATCTATACCCCGCCCTTCCCGGTTCAGAAAACTCGGCTTAGGGTGGCTAACAACAAATTTAAAACATTTAATTGTAATACAACATAGAAGCAGCGTAAAATACAGTATAAAAACATGAATAACAATAAAATTAAAGTTCAAAAATCAATTTGGGGAAAATTCATCCAATAAGCATTAGATAGTCACCAGGGCTAGCTGGCTGAATTAGTCCTACTTGGGCCAGCAAGGAGGCCAGGGGAGAATTAACTGTGGGGTCTCAGAGCGGGTAATCTTCATAAAAGGAGAGGGGGAAAAAATAAAAGATCAGGCTGAATTCAAATTAAAGGCCAGGCGGAATAGCTCTGTCTTACAGGCCTGACGGAAGGAGGTTAAATCCTGTAGGGCCTTAGTCTCATGGGACAGAGCATTCCACCAGATCGGAGCCATCACTGAAAAGGCCCTGGCTCTGGTGCAGGATAGTCTGACTTCCTTAGGACCTGGGAGCTCTAAACTATGGTTATTCATGGACCTTAAGGTCCTCTGCGGGGCATGCCAGGAGAGGCGGTCCTGTAAATACGAGGGCCCTAAGCCACAAAAGGCTTTAAAGGTCGAAACCAGCACCTTGAACCTGACCCCACCGGGAGCCAGTGCAACTGGTAAAGCACTGGGTGAGTATGCTCCCATGGCAGTGACCCCGTGAGGAGCCTCGGTGCAGCATTCTGCACCCACTGGAGTTTGTGGGACAGTTTCAAGGGCAGCCCCGCGTAGAGCGAATTATGGTAGTCAAGCCTGGAGATGACTGTCGCATGGATCACTGTGGCCAGGTCGGGGCGGGAAAGGTAAGGGACCAACTGCTTAATGCGGCAAAGATGGAAAAATGCTGCCTTAGCTGTTGCTGTAACCTGCGCCTCCATGGAAAGGGAGGCATCAAGGATTACACCCAAACTCTTAACGGAAGGCACTGGCACTAATTGGGCCCCCACAAGAGAAGGGAGTTGGTCCCTCATCCCCATGCCATCCCGACCCAGGCAGAGGAGCTCTGTCTTTGAAGGATTTAGTTTCAATCAGCTCCCACGAAACCATCCAGCCACAGCTTCCAAGCATCTGGTGAGCGTGTAAGGGGCCGAGTCGGTGTGGCCATCCATCAGCAGATAGAGCTGAGTGTCATCAGCATATTGGTGGCAACCCAGCCCAAAGCTCTGGACAATCTGGGCAAGGGGGCGCATAAAGATGTTAAAAAGCATCGGGGAGAGGATTGTGCCCTGTGGCACTCCACACACCAAGGAATGGCATGACAACATCTCCCTCCCTAGTGAAACCCTCTGTCCCCGACCAGAGATAAAAGGACACAGCCATTGTCGGGCTGTGCCCTGTATCCCCACATCGGTGAGGCAGTGGTCCAGAAGATCATGATCAACCATATCAAAGGCTGCTGACAGATCTAAGAGAATCAGCAGTCCCGACCCACCTTGATCCAGTTGTCTATGGAGATCATATGTTAGGGCGACCAGAGCCATCTCAGTCCTGAAACCAGGACAGAAACCGGACTGAAATGGATCTAAAGCCATTGTTTCCTCCAGAAACCTGCCAAGCTGTTCAGCAACCGCCCTCTCAATTACCTTACCCAGATATGGAAGATTCAAAACTGGGTGATAATTGGATAGATCTAAGGGATCGAATGAAGTTTTCTTTAAGAGCGTTGGCTTGCAGGCCATCGCTCCGCCCTCTCCCCAGGTAGCCAATCAGCTGATGGCTGGGGGGCGGAGTGAGGGCCAGGTAGGGCAGGCTCCAGCCGACCATCATTACCAAAATCTTATAAATAGGTCCAATAAATAACAATTCTGTCGTAAGATAAGTGAGGAAAACGACAGTAACTAAAATTAATATTAATGAATTAATTAAACCCCACTGCAGCCAATCAACTACACCCTTGGACTCCCCCAATTCCTCTCACCACCCTTTCTCTCCCTCCACTTCTTCCCCATCCATATACTGTGCTCAACACTAATGTCTCATAACAAATGTAACTGATCTGTAAAAAAGACTTTAATTTTGTAAACCAAGAAAAACTTTAATAAAAATTATTTTAAATAAATAAATATTTCTGGCTTAACCAAACATATAAAAACAAAACAACGCATTCAAATAGATAAAACAGCAACAGTTTTCATTTATTTCAGAATATTTGCCCCATTTATTTGTAACTATAGTTAACACCTCCCCTCTATCCACTCCCTGTCAGGGAAACAATATGTGATTTTTAATTTTTTCTCTTCCTAGCCCCCGAAAGCCGCTTTGAATAAGACCATGCCTTATAACACTTAAAAGCTTTTGGAGAGTCCCCAGTTTTTCCACTTGTATCTCTATTAGTAAAAGTTCCATACAGCCCCCTCCCCTTTTAAAAGAACTCTAAATGCAGTAATCCTTTCTTTGACAATGGTTCTGCCACACAGCAACTGTACTGTACTCTGTGTGTGTGTCATTAGGAGACCAGAAAGTTTGTTGTGCAGTCTGCTTCTTAATCGGCATCAGTTTAAATGGCTGTCGTGCTGAAGACTTACAACTTCTTTCATGCAGACATTTCACTTTGATGATGTTGAAGACCTTCATTCAAGATTCCAGGCATTCAGTACTGAGATTAATAGGAGTAGTGCACCCTATATATTGAAGCTGGCTAATAGGCTGTACGGAGGAAAGACATACACCTTTTTGCAGGTAAGTTGCTTGCTGGACTGTAAAGGAACTTTGAGAACTTGCTTGGCCACCAGAATTGCTTTCTATTACCCTAGATTAGCTTTGCCCAATCTGGTACCCTCCAGAATGTATCAGACAGGTACAGGGGTGTACCTGGTACAGGGGTGATAGGATTTGTAGTCCAAAATATCTGGGTGTCAGCAGGGTGGAGAAAGGGGTTCTAGACTCTGTTATTTAATGAACTCATCAATACAATTATTCTTGGTTGTTGAATCTTCAATAAATTCAAACAAAGTGACGTTGTGTGTTGCAGTCCAGTGAGCTGATAGGTCCACTCTAAAACATCTGTTGTTTGAATGCTTTTTTAAAAAAAAAAATGCACACACAAATGTTGCTGTTCCAATAAGGATAGGGCAGTGGAAGCTGGTCCATTGAGATGAATGGGGCAGTCCGTGCTCCACCAACCTGTCTGCCCTCATCCAGCCCCCACCTGCCTGCCTTCTAACAAGGGAGTGGCACTCTTTCCACTCCGGAATGGGAGGATTAATTGCATCTTCCAATCCAATTGGGTGACTAAAAGGTTTTATTGCCCACTGACAGCTATCCTCTATGTTTTCTCCAGGATTTTTTGGCTGGCACTCAGAAGTTCTACAGAGCTGAGTTAGCCACAGTGGATTTCCGATATAATTCAGACAATGCACGAAAACAAATCAACCAGTGGGTTAAGGACCAAACTAAAGGTGAGTTCTTATCTCAGCTTTCCAAATCTTTTACTAAGAAGAACAGCCAACACCACTTTTCTCTCTCTTGCAATTTGCAGTATGTTCCATTGCTTGTCAACCTCATTTGCCATGATTTCAGCAGCCGTGGCAAAAAATTAAAAAACAACAACAAAAAAACAACAGTAAATTAAAACCCCTTCTCTCTCTCTCTCTCTCACACACACACACACACACACGATTTAAGAGTGTGTTGTAGAAGCCTTCACTGTTGGGAACAGCAGCTTAACCAAGGTTGCAATTCTGTGCACATTTACCTGGAATAATCTATTGTGAGTACCATGGGATTAAATTTTGAGATGAATGGGACTGGTCTGGAAATAAAATGCCACTGAAGTAGCAGGCTGGCTGCTGTTGGAAACTGAAATCTCAACTAAATATAATCCAGTAAAACCATTCTTCACACTTTATTTAACCTTACCCAGGCAAAGTAGAAAACCATTAGGACTGCTTTGTACTAAGAGGAAATCTGGCAAGGAGTCTAAATTCCGTCATCCCCATAGCATGTGTGGGGAACATTTGGCCTTCCAGATTTTCCATACCCACAACTCCCAGCAGCCCAAGAAGCATGACTAGGGATAATGGGATTTGTAGGTCAGCAACATTTGGAGAGCCAAAGGTTTCCCACACCGCTCCTGCTTTATTGTGTGAATGGGGACACATGTGATACTTGACTTCCAAATGGAAGTCCTCCAGTTTGATGGCATCCAGTTTGAGTTCGGTGTTCCTGATTCAACAGAAACTTGAGCCAAACCCCAAAAACCCAGGCGATTGTCAACAGCCAGGGAGTAAAAGCAGCCCTGTTAGATAGAACAACTGCCACCACTCCTCTTTCACTCCTGTTTTGTTCATTCATTCATTCATTTATTGCTTTATTAAGATGAAAAATTATTTCAAACTGCAAAACTACTTGAGATCAGGGGAGGTTTCTTGAGGACATACAATTCTGCTGTGCACAGCATCGATTTGCTATTTCAAACTTGTATAATGTTATTTTAAAGAGGTTGTCCATGAAAAGGAAAGGGTAGATTTGGGCGCTGAACAAAATAAGGGTGACTCCAGCACAATTCTACTCCTCTAATAATAATATTGTTTGTGTATTGACTCTTAATAGCTAGATAATATGTTATGCAACTTTTCCTTCAAGGTAAAATCTGTGACTTGTTACCCGAACATTCAATTGATAAATGTACGAAATTGGTTCTGGTGAATGCCATCTACTTCAAGGCCGACTGGGCAGAAAAGTTTCAAGACAAATTCACTATGGAGATGCCTTTTAGACTGAATATGGTAATTGAACGCTTAGTCTATAAAGATTTTTTCTTGTACCTCCAACTTGTACAATGTACAAGGTATATATAGGGCTAAATATATAATGGTTGAATTATCAGGGGTGGAAGGGTTAGTACCACTGAATCGCATGAGCTCAATTGAGCTATGGCAGGGGTCTGCAACCTGCGGCTCCGGAGCTGCATGTGGCTCTTTTACACCTTTGCCGCGGCTCCAGGGCGGATACTAGCGAGGGTAGAAGGCGCATTGTGCGCCCCGACACTCCCCACTGTGGCAGGCACTGTACTGGCTGTGATGTCGCATGGGGGCAGTGCATGCGTTAGTCACGCACCGTCCCAACGTCACCTTCCCGCCCGCTGTTAGATCGCGGCTCCGGAGATATATTTGTTTTAAATGTCTCAATGGTTTTGCGGCTCCCAGTTTTTTTTTCTTCGGAAACAGGTCCAAGTGGCTCTTTTTGTCTTAAAGGTTGCAGACCCCTGAGCTATGGGGTTGTATCCAAGTTAGTCAGGCTAAGGATAGATCTATTAACATTAATGGCCATTACTAAATTAATACTCTTAGGTGGAATCTAGACACGTAAAAAATAATGTTGTGAAAATGCCTTTTAAAAAAAGGTTTTGAAAAAGATATTGAATTTGTCATAGCTCACCATCGCCATCTATTGTCACATTTGTATAATGCACTTTACAACACACTTAAAATGTTTTATTTGCAGCTGTATAGCTGAGTCTTAGGGTTGCGGGTGGTGCTGCTGGTTAAACCACAGAGCCTAGGACTTGCCAATCAGAAGGTTGGCAGTTCAAATCCCCACGACGGGGTGAGCTCTCGTTGCTTGGTCCCTGCTTCTGCCAACCTAGCAGTTCGAAAGCATGTCAAAGTGCAAGTAGATAAATAGGTATCACTCCGGCGGGAAGGTAAACGGCATTTCCGTGCGCTGCTCTGGTTCGCCAGAAGCAGGTTAGTCATGCTGGCCACATGACCCGGAAGCTGTACGCCGGCTCCCTCAGTCAATAAAGCGAGATGAGCGCCGCAACCCCAGAGTCGGCCATGACTGGACCTAATGGTCAGGGGTCCCTTTACCTTTTAGCTGAGTCTTAGAAGAGCTGAGTTGGATGCACCTCACAATCAAACATATAAAAGGTTGCTTGTTCATGACTAGACGTAGCAGATTGTGAATGGCACACTTCGGAATCCAACCTGGTGTATTTATATGATTGCAAACATTTCCCCATCAAATTTTAACCAAGAGCAAGCATTTTATTGAACTTTCTGGACCAGTTTTCCATTGGTCAACTTGAAAGCAAAGCACTGGCTAACAGGCTTTGTTTTAGCATTTCCCTGTCATTATTTTATTGGCCTTGCCAAAGAACAAACAGCTGTGCTGTAAATTGATTATGCTGTTAACGGCTGCAATCCTGTGCACACTTAGCCCTGGGAGTAAGTTCCAATGAATTCAGTTTGACTTTCTTCCAAGTAGGATTCCTCTGCCATGGTATAAAGCACAGCTTCACTCTTGATATGTTTTGTTTTGTTTTGTTTTGTTTTGTTTTGTTTACAAGATCCTCCTTCTCTGTATGAACTCTTGCAAATAAAATAAAATAAAATAAAATAAAATAAAATAAAATAAAATGATGGAAGTCTTTGCTTACATTCTCTTTTTATATGATCATTGTGTATTTTTTTATATATTAAAAAAAAACACTATCCAGAAGGAAAAGAAGATGGTGAATATGATGTTTCTGAAAAAGAAGCTTCCTTTTGGGCACATTCCTGAGTGTAGGTGTCGGGTGCTAGAACTTCCTTACAAGGGAAAAGAATTTAGCATGATGATCCTGCTGCCTGATGATATCGAGGATAGCTCCACTGGCCTGGAACAGGTGATTCTGACTTTCTGGTTTCCCCCCTTTCTTCCTCTAAAATAACCTTTCCAAATGGTACATTGCCAAAACCTGTAGTTGCAGTGCAAGTGGCACAGCAACAATATGTTCAATTCATTCTCTCTCACTCTCTCTCTCTTTAAATTGCAGCTGGAGAAGCACCTCACCTTAGGAAAGCTCCTAGAGTGGACACACCCGGCAAAGATGGAAAACACTGTAGTTTATGTGCATCTGCCTAAATTTAAACTGGAGGAGAGCTATAACCTCAAAAATGACTTGGCAGCGTTGGGACTGCCGGATATCTTCAACAGCGAAAAGGCAGATTTGTCTGGAATGTCAGAAGCCCGGAATCTCTATGTGTCCCATATTGTTCACAAGTCATTTATAGAAGTGAATGAAGAGGGAGCAGAAGCGGCGGCAGCAACTGCTGTTGTTATTACAACAACATGCACCTCTACACATATTATGGAAGAGGATTTCAACGCTGACCACCCTTTCCTGTTTTTTATCCGCCACAACCCAGCAAGAAGTGTACTTTTCTTTGGCAGGTTTGCTTCTCCATGAAAAGTAGAATAAATGGTTGAACCGGATAAACTGATGGACAACATACTGTTGTTCGTTTCCTTGTTTTAGTTTTTTTCCAGATACTTAGAATCATGGAATTGTGGAGTTGGAAGGGACATTCTAACTGCTTGCAATGCAGGAATCATGCCCATGGCCTTCCTTGGTTCTTATATTATTATTATTATTATTATTATTATTATTATTATTATTATTGGCTTTTAGAAGGAATGTTGTCTATTCAGGATATGGATTAATTTGGGGAAATTATTCAATCTTTATATATCACAGCGTGCTGCTCATTCAGCTCCAGTAATTAGTTTGTTATACTCAAACCTGATAAGGTTTTTTCGCCCCTAGCTAGCCTCTTCTTATAGAGACTAATTTGTTTGACATCTGCTTCAAGAAGTGTTCAATGAGGGCCTACAGTAAAAGATTAAAAATGCTTAGGAATAGGCTTCTATTAGAGAGAGAGAGCCTTCTGAGGGTAAGCTTTCATCCCAGTCTGCATTTGGTATTCTATGTGCAGTCTGGAGATCTTTTTCCTAGTCTGTATTTGTACTGTATTTGAAATGGTTTTTAATAAATAAATAAATAAATAAATAAATAAATAAATAAATGTTTTAATTGTTTTAACTGTGGAATCAGTTTGAGATATTTCATGGAAAGCTATTCATAAATATAATCATCATCACCATCATCTTCTCGGGCATGCGGGTGGAGCTGTGGTCTAAACCACTGAGCCTAGGGCTTGCCGATCGGAAGGTCAGCGGTTCGAATCCCTGCAACGGTGTGAACACCCGTTGCTCAGTCCCAGCTCCTGCCAACTACAGTGTGCTCTAGCTGTATTTTGCATCATCCCTCCACACAGTGCTACAGTTCGAAAGCACATCAAAGTGCAAGTAGATAAATAGGGGGAAGGTAAACAGTGTTTCCTTGCGCTGCTCTGGTTCACCAGAAGCGGCTTAGTCATGCTGGCCACATGACCCGGAAGCTGTACACCGGCTCCCTCGGCCAGAAAGCGAGATGAGTGCCGCAACCCCAGAGTCGGTTACGACTGGACCTAATGGTCAGGGGTCCCTTTACCTTTTTAAATGGGTAATTGGTCCCATCTCTCTTCTGCACACATGCAAACACAGACAGCATCCTGAGCACAGCCTGCTACCAGGGCATACCATGAGACAGACAGACAGACAGACAGACAGACAGACAGACAGACAGATAGATGATGGATAGATAGATGATAGACACGCAGACACACACACACACACACACACACACACACACACAGATCCCAAGGACCACGGAAGCCAGTGCTGCTTGTCCAAGGCAGAGAATTCCACAAATTTATTATTGCTATATTTTTACTATCCATTTGCTTCATTTTCATGATACCCCAAAACAGCTGCCTGAGGCGGCTGCCTCATTCTACCAAGTGACAGAGTTGGATCTGTTAGGGCCCCAAGACGTACCACCAACCCTGTAGTGTGAAAGAAGCTTGTTTTCGCACACCCCACTTCTTGCAGGTTAAGGGATTCGGCTACCTTTCTCAGGGGCCACCAAAGTGTTTCAGCTCAGCTGAAAGTCTGAAAAGAAGCAGCAGCCCACAATTAACCTGCACTGGAGCTCCATCTACTGCCTGTTGCTCGCAATAAAATTCAAACATGCTCACTATTGGAAGCACCGAAGTCCTACTGACAGCTTGCTCCATGGCTGTGTGTGAGAGAGCGCTTTCGGAGAGTTGCAGTGTTTAGCTGCACAGGTTAAAACACACACACATATTTTAGTTGCTAGCCTCATTCATCATACTTAATTGTGGTTGATGCAGCATTAAACTCTTATTTCTTGCATTTTTACCTCCCTTTCCCTACAACGAATCCCAAGCAGGTCACATGGTTATCTTGTCACAACAGTCCTGTGAAGTAGGATGCATTGAGAAACAGTGATGAAGTTTGGGTTATCCAGCGTGATTTATATCTAATTGGGGATTTAAAATCTGTTTTCCTGAGTCCTAGCCCAACCCTCAATTGCAGGAATGGTAAAACTTGTGACTCTCTACTTGTTGTTGTTGTTTAGTTGTTTAGTCGTATCCGACTCTTAATGACCCCATGGACCAGAGCACGCCAGGCACTCCTGTCTTCCACTGCCTCCCGCAGTTCGGTCAAACTCATGCTGGTAGCTTCAAGAACACTGTCCAACCATCTCGTCCTCTGTCATTCCCTTCTCCTTGTGCCCTCCATCTTTCCCAACATCAGGGTCTTTTCCAGGGAGTCTTCTCTTCTCATGAGGTGGCCAAAATATTGGAGCCTCAGCTTCAGGATCTGTCCTTCCAGTGAGCACTCAGGGCTGATTTCCTTCAGAATGGAGAGGTTTGATCTTCTTGCAGTCCATGGGACTCTCAAGAGTCTCCTCCAGCACCATAATTCAAAAGCATCAATTCTTCAGCGATCAGCCTTCTTTATGGTCCAGCTCTCACTTCCATACATCACTACTGGGAAAACCATAGCTTTAACTATACGGACGTTTGTTGGCAAGGTGATGGACTTTCTACTAGTTGGATTCAATTCCCCTGGCCATTGGGCCCTAGTCACTGTGCTAGCTTTTTGTTCATCTGAGTTCCAATTTCCATGGCTCATACAGCTTCTGTCAAAGAAGCACTATCACGTTTCTGCAAACATATTTGCCTTGTTACACATTTGAGTCTGGCACCTTGCAAATCCGGCTTAGCTTAATGCGTTGTGCCAAGAAATTCTGTGGAACACGTGATTGGGACATGCGACAGGTCACCAAGATGACATTCGGAGGCTGCCTAGGTTCAATACAAGTTTTGTTTTATTGCGGGGGGGGGGAGTAGGGAGGGAAGCTTCAGGGGCTGAAGAAAAGTTTAACACAAAACGATGCATTTTGGAGTAATCCTTTAGTGACAGTTCTCACCCAATGCATTTGCTGCTCTAGAAGATCACTTGCAATGGTCAGAATCTGTGGCAGGGCCATGTACACATTACTGGCTTAAAACACAGCTAGGTGATTGCTTTTCTCAATTTGAATTGAAGCTGCTTTGGGGTGGAGGAATGCATCAAAATACAATTCTATGTAAGAAACGACAGGCTAGGTATGAATTATGACTGCTGTTGTGTGTACTTTGCTTCTTAGGTAGGTTAAAGGTAAATGACTCCTGGATGGTTAGGTCCAGTCAAATGTGACTATGGGGTTGCAGCACTCATCTCGCTTCAGGGCGAGGGAGCCAGTGTTTGCCCACAGACAGATTTCTGGGTCATGTGGCCAGCATGACTAAACTGCTTCTGGTGAAACTGGAGACCGTGATGGAAACCAGAGCACATGGAAACGCTGTTTACCTTCCCGCCACAGCGGTACCTATTAATCTACTTCCACTGGTGGGCTTCCGAACTGCTAGGTTGGCAGAAGCTGCGACAGAGCAACGGGAGCTCACCCCATCGCAGAGATTCGAACCGGCAACCTTCTGAAAAGCAAGCCACCTGTGTCCCTAAACCAGTGCTGGGAGTGTACTGGATGCAGGGTAAATGCAGGACTGTGTACATGGCCCAAGATGACACCTGGTGATTGCCTGGGATAGTATCAAACAATATACCCTCTCCTGCATCCCTGAACATTCCCACAATACGTGTTGGAGGAGAGAGGCAAAGCTGGGGTACAAGCCCAAGGAATGGCATGAACACTCCTTCTGTGTCTGTTTTAAGGCCTTCGTGGCATAGGTTGTTAAGTTCCTGTTAGGCTTGCTAAATTGTCAGAAAAATGCAGCCGTTTTTGTGCCTTTAAGAGCAGATCAATGTGTGGAAAGCCACAGGTGAAACTTTTCACATGCATAGCTAAAAGATGAACATGTGCAACTGACCAAAGACAAACGACTTGGCTGGAAAAACTATCGTGGCTGGTTGAAGAGTTGTGATACTGCAGAGGCTGGCTGAACTGTTGCAGAATTTTCAAGAGATGGGATCATGTGATTCAAAATAGAAGGCCAAAATTAGGGTTTAAGGAAGCAGAGACGGATTACGTGCTGCTGTGAAAGCAACATTGGTTGGGATCTGGGTTGGTATACAGTTAGTAAACTATATGGGTTGGGATCTGGGTTAGTAATCCATATTTAAACCAAAAGATTTTTCTATGTTTGAATCACATTTAAAGAGTATTTAAAGCTTTTATATGCTTATACAAACATGGGTGGTTTTATTGTGTTCTAGCTCGGTTAGTAAATTAAAAGGGAAGGACACTATTGTCCTTCAGTACAATAGCTCATAGGATCACAGATTTAGTTTGAAAGGAAATTAACAAACCTTGACTGAACCTTTTGCTGATTCTACAATTTCTTAGTTATCAAAACTTATCTGCCTGTTTCCCCTTAAACATATTGGTGGCATCCGATTGCATCTGTCCACAAGCAGAACAGACTTTTCCTCATGGAATGGGGCTTCCTGTTCCTCTTCTCCCAGCTGCAACCACCCCCCATGCATCCTCCAAATCTGTTCCTGATAGTTGGGGGATCCTCTGGAGCTGGGGCTGTTGTGTATGTGTGTGTGTGTGTGTGTGTGAGAGAGAGAGAGAGAGAGAGAGAGAGAGAGAGAGATCTCCTATTGTACAACGCTGGCTATCACACAATGGAAAGACAAGAGTCTAGTACAATGCCTGTGAATGCTTAAGGTGACCTTTCAAATCCGGAATGAAAGTTGGTTAATACACTCTTCACTACTATGGTGCCCTCCAGATGTTTCAGGCTTTCCCCAGGCTGAAGATGGCTGAGCTAACATAACCACCGCCTTTTGGGAGTAAAACAGCAGAACCCTGAACATTCAACAGCTCACTTACTGCGAGTTCCTAGAGGCAAGGATGAAACCAGCTGCCATTGCTCCGTCGCTTTTTGACAGTGCATACCATTAAAAAAAAAAAATCTTGATGAGGCAAGTTATGAGGAGGACATTTGGTCATTTAACGCAAAGTTTGCTGAAATTAGATATGATACGGGCACGCTCTGTAACCTCCCATTTTTATTCGCTCTGGAAGAAAACAACATGACCGGCCAAAGTTCAAGTGTGTCCTCAGAGGAATTAAAAAGGGCTAAAAATGAGGCGACGCGAGGTCAAGTTACTAGCAGCAGAATGCTACATACCTGGGTTAAGCCGTGGCGCATGCTCAGTGAGATGGCGTTGTTTTCCAGATGCTTAATAGTGCAAGCAGGCCGAATTGAGTATCCATGAAATTTAGATGGCTTGGCTCCTTATACACCACACTGACTTCTGGGTGCTTACCAGAAAGTTGACGTCTCCTTCCTTGAATCTAAGTTTGGCTTCAAGGGAAACAACTGAAGTTTATATGATGTCACACGTTACATTTCTGTTTTGTAAGTGGTTGTAGGCCTGGGACCACTTTGTGGACAGAAGGAGCTCTAGTAATGTTAAGAAATTATAAAATATCAGCCAGTGTGGTGTAGTGGTTAAGAGCAGTAGATTCGAAATCTGGGGAACCGGGTTCGCGTCCCTGCTCCTCCACATGCAGCTGCTGGTTGACCTTGGGCTAGTCACACTTCTCTGAAGTCTCTCAGCCCCACTCACCTCACAGAGTGTTTGTTGTGGGGGAGAAAGGGAAAGGAGAATGTTAGCCGCTTTGAGACTCCTTCAGGTAGTGATAAAGTGGGATATGAAATCCAAACTCTTCTTCTTCTTCTAAACCCTCAGAAAGGAAAAAGGTTCGCTGTGGATGTCATTTGTCTGCAGTGGAGAATTTTGGCGCAGATATATTTCGGTTCCTCGGTGGCAGCTACGGGGCTGCAGAACTGATTAAGCACACAAGGAAGGCTATGCATACAATTTGTACATTATCACCCCCTTTTGTGTAATTTTAACTTTCTTCAACATAACCTGGAGGCAATTTTTAACACAAACCATCACCGTGGAAGCACATACTGATGAGCAGACTACCACGATTTCTGCAGTAAGTATGCTGGATTGGGTGATGTATTTCGCGTACAGAGCCCAGTTTAAGAAGTGACAAAAAACAGGTATGCCAGTCCACATATATCTGTGATCTGAGAACACCTTTCGGTTTGCCAATAGATCTGGCTAGAGGAACCAGCCCAACAACAAATGTGGGAAGAAATGATGCAGTTGGCCGCAGAAGATGCTACAGGATTCCTGTCTGTCAGCTCTTGGTAGGGGTCTATCCACTGTGGCTTATATCTCAAGTCATCTTCCCTTCCTCAGATGCCAATCTCTCCAGCACACGGTTATCCCATCTCCTGTTCCTGCTTGAAGTAAGAGTACAACGAACTAGCTTGCTAAAGCAGCCTTTGCCAGACCTCCAGGTGTTCAGGACTACAACTGGGCTCCTTTGAGAGGACGGGCAGTGTATAAATTTAACAACAGCCATCAGCGCAGCAAGCCTCTTGAGGGTTCCCTGGTTCGCAAAGGCTACCCTAAATCATTTTCAAAAAAACAGAAAATAGTAGGTGTTTTCCAAAACTAAAAAGGCATTTTCGGGAGATCTCGGAGATCCAGCTACAGTGGTACCTCAGGTTACATACGCTTCAGGTTACATACATTTCAGGTTACATACTCCGCTAACCCAGAAATAGTGCTTCAGGTTAAGAACAGAAATCGTGCTCTGGCGGCACGGCAGCAGCAGGAGGCCCCATTAGCTAAAGTGGTGCTTCAGGTTAAGAACAGTTTCAGGTTAAGTACGGACCTCCGGAACGAAGTACTTAACCCGAGGTACCATTGTACTGTGCATTCACCCCCCAAAAGCCCCTTTATTAAAATATTTATACCCCATTTTATGCCGCTAAGGGAAACATGGAGGCAGCTAATAAGTGTTTCAAGCCATCTACCAATAAAAGGACGTAGGAATTATTTAAAGAAGAAAAATAGTAACGTTAAACAAATCTGTATTAAATCAGCTAAAATGAAACACACACAGGAACCCAGAGGGGACACTCTGAGTGGACAAAGTAAGGGAAAATATCCTGCTTTTTCACTGAAAATAGATGTTTTAATTTACTCTTGGACTGTGCCCTTTGTTTTTTGAGTAAGATTTTAGTGGCCATTGGCTACGATGAAAATCTGACTGACTGACTGACTGACTGACATACTGCTTTGTTGGGACTCCTTGTTCATTATTCTGAACATGCATTATAAATGGAAGGAAGTAAATGCAGACCAGTAATTCTTACAGAGACAGAATGAGCAGCCCCCATTCCAGGACATGATTATTCTGCTGCATCAAAAATATACTCTCCAATGAAAGACACAGCAAGAGTTTTCCCTAACCTTTCCCTCCTTCCCCCCCAAAAAGCAGGTGCTGACTGAAAAGAAGCCAAGACAGAGCTGTAAATCATGCAGAGAGAGAATGGGCAGCCTCCTCCACCTTCCACATGAATGCTTTGGGCTTCACTATCGAGTTTGGGAATTACTGATGTATAGCACAGAACAGGGCCACAGCAATCCAACGCAACAGGTGTACGAGACTGAAATCTGCCAAGCATCCATAAAGCTATGGAAAATTAATTCTCCCCAACCTCATGTGGAGTTTCGGCTGGCAACAGAATGGCACTCGCTCAGAGGCAAGAGGCGTAAGTGGGAAGCAGAATAGCTAAAATAGTGTTAAGAACCACACCACCATAAACTGATCTTGACTTTCAACAAAACAGACACTAAGAAAGTTTTAAATCAACCTTTATTTACAAAATTTCACAGTATCAAAAATAATCTGACAAGTGGGTTAAATTCCCGTCATATTACTTTTTCTATATCAAGGTGGAAATGCAGAATTTTTATTCTTTTAACCTAGTCCTTTTTCAGTTTCGAGAAAAGCCCACGGCATGAAGCAGGCCCCTTTTAAGTGATTTAAGTGATTTAATTGGGAGCATTCAGTATAGAACAAGTTCCTAACCTAGGCTAGATTGTGTCCCAAATGTTTTCTTTTAAAAAAATAATGACCATTGCCTGACCTAGATATGTTTTCTTATGTCCAATGATTTCAGTTGATCTTAAAACATGTACAACTGTAGACCAGATTGTGGACATCCATTTTCTACACGAAGTCCATAACTTCTGATATATTTTACCTCACAAAACCATAATTCTGTGCCTGGATAACATGGCGGAGTTAAAACAGAAATTATTGCAAAATTAAACTTAAGTGTGCATGTGTGTGTGTGGCAGGAGAAAGCTGGCCACCACATTGCACGTAGGCTCATCACATTCTTTGTTGTGTAAAAAAATTGACCCCTTTCAGTTCTTTAGGCAGGTAATCCTGCTCCACAGGTTCCTTATACATTGGGTTATATTTATAACCTTTGCCATAGCCTATGTCTTTCATGAGCCTGGTTGGTGCGTTCCTCAAGTGCAAAGGAACAGGTGGAAGAGGTCCCTGGTGGTTTCTCAGACATGCCTTGACGTTGTTGTAAGCGCCATACACTTCTATAGACTTTGGTGCTCTGGCAAAATAGACCACGCATTGCGCCAGTAAGACCTGTACAACGAAAGAGAAAATAGAAAAATAGACTGAAATAATACGAAGCGCTTTCAGAACGCTTGCTACTGAGGCCGCCAGGTATCTTTTCTAATAAAGAGAAGAACATAATATATAAGAAGACTCCTGTTGAATTGGCCTCTGCTAGTCTGACATCCTGCTTCCCAGAGTGAAGTTCAGCAAGGCCCAAGTTTTCCCACATCCAGTTTTATAGTGTCACTCACAGTGTGCAGCTGACAATGGGTCATGTGAACACAGTGATACTGAAACGATAAACGAAAACTCATTTTATTTTTATTCACTCATTTCTAAACCACACACTCATACAAATGTACACTAGTGATCAAAATTGTGGAAACCTTTTGGAAAAAGTGTATTTCTGAGGTTTGATGGTTCATAATACCTGACTGAATCTCTAAACAGTCATGCTCACTGGCTACATTCAAATGAAGGAAACCTACTGCATCTCAACCTAAGCAAGTTGTGCTTCCTTTTTCTGGTTATCTGGCTATAACTTTTGATAGATAATTTGACAGATAATTGAACAAACTTTGTTGCATTACATTCTTCATTAAATTATCTTTCCATTGATACATAATTGTATGGTATTACTCCAAAAAAGTGGTGTTATGAGTCATCAAACCTCAGAGATACACTTTCCCCAAAAGGTTTCCACAATTCTGGCCATTAGTGTATGTGCCTGTACAAAAATCTCAAATTAAACCCAGAACAACAAAAACAAAGATCAAAATGCACTGAAGAAACTGGAGTACAAAATGGGTCATGTGACAAGAGAAACGAAAAAACCGCGAAGCGTTTTTGTAAGGCTTTCTGAGATAAACAGATTTAAAACTCGTTACAGATGGTGCCAAATTGATTTCATTAGCTAGAGAGTTGCCTAAGCCCACTACACAAAATGCACAATTTCTTGTAGAGGACAATCTGACACTGGGACCTTGCTTCTGTGGTGGATCGCAAAGACTGAGCAGTGATATAAGGAATAAGGTGATCTTTTTAAGTCCGCTGCTTCCAGGTTGTTTTGGGTTTTTATATATTCAGAGAATAGGAAAACCTTAAAGTTGGCCCATAGCCCTGCAGCTCCCTCAACAGAGGTTTTATTAACTAGTCAGTAGCCAATGCCTAATTACAACCAGACTGATAAAACAGAAGAAACTGAAAGTGGCAGGTGAGAGTAACATATACACAACTTTTATCTGTATGCCTCCTTTTCAGTTCAAACCATGCTAAAGGTGGCTTGCAACATGAACAAACCACGTAACTGCAACATGACAAAAGTACTAATAAACAACCAAACCGAACAATTTTCATACAAATCACAAGAAGATCTAAAATAAAGACACAAAAGATTAAAATCAAGAGCAACAACCTCCACTAAGAAATACACCAGCCCAAGAGTCTGTCCAGCGATCTCAGCTTTTGTAGCTGGAGTCAGTCTGCATCCCTCCCTCCCAGACCAGGTGGGAAAAGGCCTGCAAAGCAGGGAGCATGTCTTCCAGGATTCACAGGCAACATTTAGTGGTTGAGATGCTGACAATTATAGAAGTAAATTTATACCAACTTTACCTCACACTCTGGCATTCCAATGAAGTGGCAGCCTTGATAAGCAGCCACCGCTTGGGTTAACGCCAAGGGATCAGCCAATCCTACAACCAAAAATTACATTTTAGAAAGCACATCACGGTCAGCAATGTAATAATCCATACAGTGCCCATCTTATTCCTTAAGCCAACTGTCATGTCAGGGCTGTTGTCAAGGGGCTGGCGCTGTCGGGAGAGGGCCCATTACAAGCTCTTGGAACCCACTGGACCCTCTCTGTTGCTATCTGTTCACTTGTGCCCTCCAAGCAAGTGAGTATGGACAGCTAGGCAAGAAGAAGCAAAATTCTCCGTGCCCTCTTTGCCTGGATAGCTACACAGTTTGGGGCCAAGAGAGCGAGCAAGTAGTGACAGCAGTGAGGAAGAGGTGAATGCACTCAATTAGGGGTCCACTCTTGATAAAGGTAAAGGGACCCCTGACCGTTAGGTCCAGTCGCGGACGACTCTGGGGTTGCGGCGCTCATCTCACTTTATTGGCCGAGGGAGCCGGCGTACAGCTTCTGGGTCATGTGGCCAGCATGACTAAGCTGCTTCTGATGAGCCAGAGCAGCGCACGGAAACACAGTTTACCTTTCCGCTGGAGCGGTACCTATTTATCTACTTGCACTTTGACGTGCTTTCGAACTGCTAGGTTGGCAGGAGCAGGGACCGAGCAATGGGAGCTCACCCCGTCACGGTGTTCGAACTGCCGACCTTCTGATCGGCAATCCCTAGGTTCTGTGTTTTAGACCACAGCGCCACCCATGTCCACTCTACATAGAGCCTCCCAAATCTTGCTTACAAGCCAGTCAGCAGAGGCTTGCCCAGCCACGGCTAGAAGGACCTTCCAATGTCAAGTAAGCGAGAGTTGACTCTGTTCCTTGCCACCCTCTCCCAAGGGCATATTAAAATGAACTCTTTTATAGCAGGGCTGGGGCACCAGTGGACCACAACTCCCATCGTCTCTTAAAACACAGCTCCACACAGCAGTATCTAAAAAGCAAATAAGACAATAAAACTAGTCTGCTTTAAGTAACTCACCTATGTCTTCACTTGCAAACCTTACCAACCTTCTTGCTACGTAGAGCGGATCCTCACCACCTTCCAGCATTCGGGCGAGCCAGTAAAGAGAGGCATTTTCATCAGAGCCTCGCATAGATTTATGGAGGGCAGAGATGCAGTTGTAATGCTCTTCTCCTATTCAGAAAAATAATTAAATAGATAAAAATCACACCCTCCACAACAAACTTGGTCATTCAGTGCAACTGACTGGCAGTACATGATTTTGAGCTCCTTGAAAGAAAAAGGTAGGATATAAACAAACAAACAAACAATTTATCTGGTTTTTATCCTTTCTTTTTAACTGAGTACTTGTACACCACCTAGAAAATACTGTAATGAAGCAGTATATAAATTTCCAGAAAAAAACATTCAAGACAGTCGGAAGGGAATACAGACAATAGGGTCCAGTTAATGCTTTGAATAAATTGCTATAAGCAGCATTGATGACCACTAGTTTAGATGTCTTTTGAAACGGTTATTTAAATTCACAGCATACAGATCTATCAATGGCCACTAGCTTTGACACCTACATGCAGCCTCCAGGTCCAAAATCAAGAAGTTTCCAATTACCAAATGCCCGGAAGCAAGCCCTGTTTGTAAGAGGGGATAAGACTACAGAGCAAGACAGACCCTTGGTCTGATTGAGGTCTGATTTGTTCATTCTGTAAGTCTTTGTAGGTTTCATGCGCAACTGTAATCATTTCAGTTACAAGCAGAATGTTTCAAAATTTCCTGTTCATTCAGATGTACAGTGGTACCTTGGGTTAAGTACTTAATTCATTCCGGAGGTCCGTACTTAACCTGAAACTGTTCTTAACCTGAAGCACCACTTTAGCTAATGAGGCCTCCTGCTGCCGCTGCACGGTTTCTGTTCTCATCCTGAAGCAAAGTTCTTAACCTGAAGCACTATTTCTGGGTTAGCAGAGTCTGTAACCTGAAGCGTATGTAACCTGAAGCATCTGTAACCTGAGGTACCACTGTACATCTTTATCACAAAGCACTGGATGTGTCTTTAAACATAAATATAAGTAAGTAAGTAATTATTCAATACAACGGTGTGAAGTTGTACCGCTATGCACTTTCCACATAGCCCCAAACTGCTGCCCGATGCATGGAATGATTATCAGGTGTTTTGTTATATAGACTAGAAGCAACGCATAACAGTATGGGATCTGTACCCTCCTGCCTTAGAATTTAAAGGCGGAACCACTTGTATCTTCATTAGCAAAGGCGTAAGCCTGAATCCCTCTGAAGTGGGATTTCCCTATCCGCTTGTCTCCAGGGTGGTCTCTTTCTACGACACATAAGGCCAGCAGACAGCTATTTTTAATAGCGCTCCACACAAAAAGCCCACTGGTATGCCATCGTTATCAGGCCAATATAAACAGCGTGTCTGTGCTCTGTCACAGCATTCAGGCTTTCAACTCGAGCAGGCGGCAATAAACCAAGCAGCTGGGAGTCTCATCGCAGTCCTGGGAATGGCGTCGCCTGGTCTCTTAAAACCAAGATGGCCTTTAAATGTTGAGAAAGGCAGTGTGACCTGTCCCCCCCCCGCCCTTCTTCTCCCCCAGCTGGCATTCTTTCATGCGGTGTTTCTAAGCCACTTGAAATATTCATTGAGCATGCTCAGTACTCGTTGAGCTATTTGTTGGAAGGGCGGGGTTTCCTTTACATTTTAGCAGAGGTGGGTGGAGAAGACGGACCGGCAAGCCCAGCTATATTAAAATATTGGATCTCTCCTTTGATTCTATGGGCAGCAATCTGGGGACATTTAAAATAGCTTCTCCATGAACCAGGAAATTAGAATCATTGTACAGCACCGAGCTTCTATTTGCATTCCACTTTTCCAGTTCTTTGAGTGTTCACTGCACACTGCATTTGTTGTAGTTTATTTTATTTTATTTTATAATCTGGGAGCCTCGTATTATGAGGAGGAAGGTACCAAGCTCAAACAGCTGCATGTAGTCACTTCTGACCTAAAAGGAAGTCGTATGAAAAGCTTAGTTTCCTGACGTTACAGTGATGAACATGTATGACCCATATTGTGATGAGGATAGTAGTTACTACAGTGGTACCTCTGGATGCGAACGGGATCCGTTCCGGAGCCCCGTTCGCATCCTGAAGCGAACGCAACCCACGTCTGCGCGTACCGCGATTCGCCGCTTCCGCACGTGACGTCATTTTGAGCGTCTGCGCACGCGACAAAACCCGGAAGTAACGTGCTCCGTTACTTCTGGGTCGCTGCAGAGCACAACCCAAAAAGGCTTAACCTGAAGCGACTTCAACCCGAGGTATGGCTGTATGAAGAAAATGTACCTGGGACTTCAAAACGATTTTGATAAAAGTCCCTCACCTGAATAAACTTAGCTGTCGTGGGACAAAAGGATGGGCCACTTTATGGCCTGGTAAATGTTTAAAAATCAGGAAGCAGAAAGAAGGAGAAGAGTAGCAGAAAGCACTCACAATGAATTGGTGTAAAAAGTGAGTTCTCCAAGGATAGGGATTAGGTCGCGTTGTGCCAATATGTTCAGGTAAGTGCGGTACTTCACTTCACTTGTGAAGTCTTCTGTACTTATCTTAAACTCCTAAAAGTACACATATGAACCCATGCTAATATGAGGAGTGACTGTATCTTCATGCCAGCAAGGACTATACCCAAGTATAACTTGGAAATGAGACCAAACACCACATAATCTAACGTCTGCTCTCAGCCACTGCAAGACAGTCCATTGGCCAAATTCTATAAGATTGTGCATCACTATTTATGATGGGCAGAAGCTGGAATAATAATTATCATGGTTAACAACTAGGGAGAGAAAAATGGCTGCTTTCGTTGCACTTTTCTTGCCCTCCTCCCCGCAATCACTGTCACAGTCATATTTTGTACAAAGTTTAGAAAAGAACCTTCTCTCATCAAAATATTTTAGAAATAGTTTGCGTTGTATCACTAAGAAAACATATTTTGCTGGTCAGGAAATGGATAAAAATGCCACTTCCGGCAACAGAACGAAGCTCAGAGTTGAGAATACATGAACAGCATTCATTCAAAGACTATTTAAATACTAGCACGTAACTAGTTAAATACAAGGAGACAAGCCTAATCCTCATAGCGCAATCTCCAATTCCGATCTCCACCGCAAAGACAGACAGAAATGGCCAGCGTTTGTGACACGTCATGGTGCCAAGTCACGAATTTAGCAAGAGCTGGTATCAAATTAGGGATCCTCGCATGCGGTTATATGCAGGTGCTCTGACATAAGCAAATTGCAAAATTCATTTCCTTAAAAAGGAGTGCCAAAAATAAATCAAATAATTGAAAATTTCAACTAAGTATTAGTGTGAATGTCAATACTGAGGAGCGGCAGGGATTGCATTTAAATGATATTATGTTTTTTCGAAGAAAAAGCCATGAAAACTCTAACACATCCTGCCAGCAGCAAAGTATTAAGTATATAAATGACAGTTTTTTAGTAAATGTGAAGCACCATTCCACAAATCATGGTGGACTAATGCCCATGTTGGGGGTTAACGATTTCCCTAGGTCTCCTCCAGTTCTGAAGGCCAGAGTTTAAAGAACATTGCTGTGGCTCTTTAAACAGTTTACATCATACAATAAAACCATATCCATATATTGTGTCAGGTTTATTCCTGCTTTAACAATAATGATGGCACGTAACTGAAACCTAGAATGGTAAACACTGCTGTTTTAGAGTCCTGTGTCTGTCCTTCATCCCTTTTGCTGAAGATGGTATCAAGATAACGTAATGAGGCCCGAAGTCTGCAAACCAACAGAATCAGAATGACGACATCAGCTGCAGCTGTGTCCTTGCTACATATCTGAATGTACCCCAGTGCCAAGAATTCTCTGCACAAAGCAAAATAGCAGAAGGCCAGTTGATCCCTTCTCCCCAACATTATTGATTTCAATGCATAGACATCTCACCCAGATGGGAAGCATTCAGACATGCAACACCGCAACCCACGCAGCTTGACATGGCCCCATCCAGGAAAATCCTTATCAATTGAGTCTGCTGGTTGTACAAACCGCAATTGACGCAAGGTAATATCACTAAGGCAACTATCTGTAAACAAACAATAAACGTCCATAAAAATGGCACAAGTAGTTTCTTTCCCAAATAGGTTTTATCTTAAACAATAGCAAACGCAGTAAATAAAGAGTTCACTTGTAATGTTATCAGTAGTTCAGTGCTCATTTCTTCTCTTTCCAAAATAGATTTTTTTTCTTGAACAATTGCAAACGCAGTACTAAAGGGGCACTTGTGATATACCAGCGGTTGAGTGCTGGAACGTCGTTATGGTAATCTGAAATTTCATTGCTAAAGCACTTACGTCATCGAGCTTTGTAGTAAATAATGTACAAGAGAAGACCGTATGCAAACGACTTAAATCTGTCCCCATCTGCACATTTCCATAGGGAGGAACAAAGAAAGAGGACGATGTCCTTGAGCAAACTATCTTGTGTTGATTGCAGTAGTCATTATACCACCACTCTGCTCATTGTTTTATAGTTGTACAAACTGGCACTTAGAGGTTTCCCAGTAAAATTAAAAAAAAAATGTTTACAATCATACCTTGGGATAATTACGCTTCAAGATAAGTATTTTCGGGTTGCGCTCTGCGGCAACCTGGAAGTAACAGAGCGCGTTACTTCCGGGTTTCGCCGCTTGTGCATACGGTCAAAATGACATCACGTGCATGTGCGGAAGAGGCGAAACGCAATCCGTGCATGCACAGTTGCGTCTTACGTTCTGTTCAGGATGTGAATGGGGCTCCAGAACGGATCCCGTTCGCATCCTGAGGTACCACTGTATTTCTTTTGCAGGGAGAATCCCAATACCATGGAAGGGGAAGTGTGTACACACAGAGCCAAAATCTTCGCATTACCATATTCTTCCGTGTATAACATGCCCCTGTGTATAAGATGTCCCCTATTTTGGGGACTCCAAATTAAGAAAATGGGGGGGAGCTTACCAAGAGTTGTTAAGCTGTTTGGGGGGGGGAATGCCCACAGTTGTTCAGCTTTTTTGGGGGGGCTGCTGAATATCGCTCACCCGCATGATCACACGCATTGCCAAAGGCACCAATCATATGCCCCCTCACCGCCACCAGACGCAATTCACCCGTCCAATTGCCACAGCGGCAGCCAAGACAGCAGCCATTGCCGCAGCCACCACTCAAATGCCCAATCAACACTGAGAATCTCCTGATTGTGGCTGCAACCAATTGCCCGTCCCCCCAATGCACTACCCATGTATAAGACAAGCCTCATTTATAAAGTTATTTTTAAAAGAAAAAACCCTCGTCTTATACACCAAAAAGTACGGTACAGTGGTACCTCGGGTTACATACGCTTCAGGTTACATACACTTCAGGTTACAGACTCCGTGAACCCAGAAATAGTGCTTCAGGTTAAGAACTTTGCTTCAGGATAAGAACAGAAATCGGGCTCTGGCGGCGCAGAGGCAGCAGGAGGCCCCATTAGCTAAAGTGGTGCTTCAGGTTAAGAACAGTTTCAGGTTATGAACGGACCTCCGGAACGAATTAAGTACTTAACCCGAGGTACCACTGTATATGATTTCTTAAAATATAGATCTGTACATTACTGAAAATGCTTATGAGGCAACACATGAAGCGCCACAAGCTATTCTTAGTCACAGACAAAGCGGTTTTCCCTCCACCGCCACACGGTCCCCAGGGAGACCCGGTATACATTATCCTACCCCTTTCAATGTTCTTCCCTCTGAGATAATAGCACGAAGTTCACAGTATGTTCCGAGCCAAACCCCTCTCATGAGTTTCATCTTCCCAGCAGCAGGGCCTCCTCAAATTCTCCACACCTATTGTTGGAACAGGTGCAGAGGATATGAAGAGGAGCGTGTGGAGATGAGTGGGCCTCTGAGAATGGTCTCTGGAAGGCAACAGCTATCTTATTAGCCAAGACCTTCTTGCTCAGGCAGTCTCTCGGGTCCCTGGAGGAGGGAATGAGGCTGGGCTCTTTTGTATTTTTAAAATTTTATGTATTTGGCTTTCTGTTTAATTGGTTTCACTGGCACTGCTAACGTTGCTGCCGTTGCACTGTTGCATTCCTTTCGCTAACATATCACAACCTGCTTTAAGAGCAAAGGTAGGTATAAATTCTAAAAGTAAATAAATGAACGGGTTTCAGCTAAACCACAGTGGCTGCATTTGAACATCACAGTAAATTATGGATTGTTGTGATGGAAACAAGCCTAGCTTCCTCCTAGGCTCATGTGCTCCCCCTCTTCTTCTCTTCTAATGTGGCTGCGAGGAGGAGACCAGAAGATTTTACTTCCGATACCAGTTAACCACAGCTTAACATTACACCTGAACTCTAAACTGTGGATATATCTCATCTATGGTTTGACGAACAAGCCAGCTTCGTAAGCAATGGTTTAAACTTCCATGCTTCAAACAAACCATAAATGAGATTAACCACAGTTTGTTCAGACAGCGCAGCAAGCTGTGGTTAATCAAACATGAACTCTTCCTCTCATCTGTGGTGGGAGAGAGGAGAGTATGCAAGCCTAGAAGCTAGCCTCATTTCCATGACAATAACTATGGGTTTTTTTGTGACTGCTCAAAGCCACCATAGTGATTAGAATTACGGCATACATAGGCCCAGTTCTGACATAACGCTAAGTGGTAGTTTAGTATAATAATAGTAATAATAATAATAATAATAATAATAATAATAATTTTTATTTATACCCCGCCCTCCCCACCTAAGGCTGAGCTCAGGGCGGCTAACAAGCAATAATAAAAACAAGTTGAATGAATACAACTTAAAAACAAGATTAAAATACAACGTTAAAATATTGAAACATTAAAATATTAAAATGCAGCCTCATCACAGCAGGAGAAAGAAAAAAGAAAGAGGGGGAGGGAATCAAATTGGCTCCAAGCTAAAGGCCAGGCGGAACAACTCTGTCTTACAGGCCCTGCAGAAAGAAATCAGATCCTGCAGGGCCCTGGTCTCAGGAGGCAGAGCATTCCACCAGGCCGGAGCCAGAGTTGAAGCTAATCTAACTTCCTTAGGGCCCGGGACCACTAGGGTGTTGCTATTTATGGACCTTGAGGCTCTCCGTGGGGCATACTGGGAGAGGCAGTCCCGTAGGTACGAGGGTCCCAGGCCACAAAAAGCTTCAAAGGTCAAAACCAGCACCTTGAACCTGACCCCACCGGTAGCCAGTGCAGTTTGAAAAGCACTGGGTGAATATGCTCCCATGGCAGAGACCCCGTGAGGAGCCTTGCTGCAGCATCCTGCACCCGCTGGAGTTTCTGGGACAGCTTCAAGGGCAGCCCCGCGTAGAGCGAATTACAGTAGTCAAGCCTGGAGGTGACCGTCGCATGGATCACTTGTACAATTATGTGAACACGTCTGACTTATGTGCTCTTCCCTCACCTCTGTGAGATTTGTTTTACTTGAAAAAAATCTGTGTTTTGCGTTGCCTGGGAAAGGACAAACTGTGCTTCATTTAAGCTATGGTCTAAACCAAGACCAAGCTTTACGTTTACAATCTTTACTTGCTTTAACAAACCACCGTTTAAATGAAACAATGCTCGCTGTTCAGTCAAAATAAGTTCCAATTTGGGTAAACCGTGAACAAGACGCTCCGTATGCCCTTGTTCTGGCTGTGGGGACTGCATCAACCTTCTTGCTGTCCCTCCATGCGACAGTAAAATACAGTTTAGCATCATTTATATTTTATTTATCAAGTTTAGATCCCACCCTTCCCTCCGAAGGGGCCCAGGCCCACAGGCATTTCGCCCCTTCAATTGCCGAAAGAAACCTATCTTAAAACAAAGCCTTGTTGGCATGTTGGCCAACACTTTGTATGACTGAGTTGTACATCATCTCTGCCAAGGGAACCTTAGCATTACAGAAGGGGAGCTGTTTCAGTTGCAAGCAAAGACCCTACCTGCCCGCAGACTGTCTCACCAGAGTAGTGCATGCTCTAGTTATCTCCCGCTTGGACTTTAGCAATGCACTCTATGTGGGGCTACCTTTGAAGGTGACCCGGAAACTGCAATTAATCCAGAATGCGGCAGCTAGACTGGTGACTGGGAGTGGCCGCCGGGACCACATAACACCGGTCCTGAGAGATCTGCATTGGCTCCCTGTACGTTTCCGAGCACAGTTCAAAGTGTTGCTGCTGTCCTTTAAAGCCCTAAACGGCCTCGGTCCTGTATACCTGAAGGAGTGTCTCCACCCACATTGTTCAGCCCGGACACTGAGATCCAGCGCCGAGGGCCTTCTGGCAGTTCCCTCACTGCGAGAAGTGAGGTTACAGGGAACCAGACAGAGGGCCTTCTCGGTAGTGGTGCCCGCCCTGTGGAACACCCTCCCTTCAGATGTGACGGAAATAAGCAGTTATCCTATCTTTAAAAGACATCTGAAGGCAGCCCTGTTTAGGGAAGTTTTTAATATTTAATGCTGTACTGTTTCTAACATTTGATTGGGAGCCGCCCAGAGTGGCTGGGGAGACTCAGCCAGATGGGCGGGGTATAAATAATAAATTATTATTATTATTATTATTATTATTCATTGCTGAGCTGGGTACCAAGCTTCATTCATAGCATTGCATCACATGGGGCGTTCTTTATTAGCTACTCACCGGCTCGATCATACAGAATGTGGGATCGCTGCAGTCCCTCCTTAACATGATCTTCTGTGATGACCATTTCGTTAACAGAACAGCCATGTGGGCTACTCTGCTGCTGCTGGAGCTTAGTTAACCTGGCCTGAACAGCCATCTGGAGTCCATTCAACCCAGTTCTTGCATCGCCATCACAAAGATACGCAAGGGTGTTTACAGCTTTTCTCTCGATGCACACGCAGCATCTGAAATGAAAGATGTGATATCTGAGTGCATTTCCTATTGTCCACAAGGCCACATTTCTTTGCCCTGACCACTGAGTGCCAAATGGATATGAACTTTGTCCCTAACGGAATATCACAGCAGTTAAATATTAAGGTAAAAAGGTAAAAGGTAAAGGACCCCTGGACAGTTAAGTCCAATCAAAGGCAACCATGTGGCGCGGCACTCATCTCGCTTTTTGGCCAAGGGATCTGGCATTTGTCCGCAGACAGCTTTCCGGGTCATGTGGCCAGCATGACTAACAAGCTACTGGTGCACGGAGAACTGTGACGAATGCCAGGGTGCATGGAAACGCCGTTTACCTTCCCCGCTGCAGTGGTACCTATTTATCTACTTGCACTGGTATGCTTTCGAACTGCTAGGTTGGCAGGAGCAGGGACAAAGTAACTGGAGTTCACCCAATCGCGGGGATTTGAACTGCTGACCTTACATCGGCAAGCCTAAAGAGGCTCAGTAGTTTAGACCACAGCACCACCCGCGTCCCTTAAATATTACAAGGGCTTTAAACAGAGTATGCAATCCACATACTATGCGTTAAGCATTACAGCATGTTAGAATCACCATAAAAAAATCCTTCCAGTAGCACCTTAGAGACCAACTACCATATATTCTCAAGTATAAGCCGATTTTTTCAGCACATTTTTTATGCTGAAGAAGCCCCCCATGGCTTATACTCGAGTGAGGCAGGCGGTGGCGGCGGAGGGACGAGTGGCCCGAAAGGAGCCCTTTCTCGCAGCTGGTCCTGCCACGAAAGCTCATACCAATAACAAACTTAGTTGGTCTCTAAGGTGCTACTGGAAGGAATTTTTAAATTTTGTTTTGACTACGGCAGACCAACACAGCTACCTACCTGTAACTAGAATCACCAAGGAAGTTTTAACCATTGTACGAAACCTGTCTGTACTTGCAGCCAGACAATGGGCAAGAGAGACAAAACTTTGTAAAGCTTTATCTACATAAGATTAAATTCGGATTTGATCAGGGAGTCATACTGAACGGGGACTAAGAAAGCAGCTTCCTGCTTTATTTTTATTTTTCTTGAATTGAAATAGAACCTAACCCATTTTTTGCATTGCGTTGAATTGGAACTAAAAAAAGATCTTAAGGCTTGCATTCAATAAGTGTCCTGTCAATGAGAAGATTCCCTCTTGCCCAATGCAACTTCCCCATGCGTGCACCCTGTGCCCTCCTCAAATCTGCTCTGGAGGGAAATCACAAAACAGATTTCAGGGGTTTGTGGTGAAAGGAGGTTTCCATTGTGCAAGCACGAATCCTTGGTGCTGCACTGGATGCAAGCCAAAGCAAGACTACAATGGGTTCAAAATCAGGGTTTGGCCATTCCCCCCCCTTCTCGTGTGAAACTCAGTAGCACAAACATGAGCAACTATGTGAATGCTTTTTTTAAAAAAAAAAAGGGAGAAAAAAGCTCAATACCAGGAAGCATCAGGCAGGTTAAAGGACAAAATTTACTTTAACCGAACAGTAGAAAATTGTAGAGCAACTCGCAACATGATGATGTCATGTCCTGCTTTCCTCAAGGGCAGACAGAGACCTGCTGCCTTCGACAGCTGCCTTCCATAACAGCTGCCTCCATAACATCTTACCCTACTTAAATAACAAAATAACCCAAAGATCAGTGTTGAAAGATGCCTGCAGGCCCCACAACCCTTTGCTTCAAGCTGACCATAAAGATAGCAGAATTTACAGAATTTTGAAAAGAGATGTTAGCATTACTGTGAAAAGTCAGATAAAAAGGAGGGAGGAGAGCCTTCAATTTACAGAATCTATCAGCACTGGAGATACCACTGCCAGTGATTCAGAAATGCCCCCAAGGAAAAAACCACACACTTCAAATTTTTTTTTGTAGAAGGGGCCATTTGCTATTATCACATTTGTTCCTTTCACTCATCCATTTTATCACCCCCTTCTTCCAAGTTGCTCCAGTTGGGCTACATGATTACCTCCATTTTATCATCACAGCAATCATGTAAGGTAATAATAATACAGTGGTACCTCGGTTTAAGAAGAGCCCTGTTTAAGAATGATTCAGTTTACAAACTCTGAAAAACCAGAAATAGTGTCCTGGTTTGAGAACTTTACCTCGGTCTAAGAATGGAATCTGAATGGTGGAAGGGCACCAGCAGCGGGAGGCCTCATTAGGGAAAGCGCGCCTCGGTTTAAGAACGGTTTTGGTTTAAGAATGGACTTCTGGAACGTATTAATTTCGTAAACTGAGTTACCACTGTAATAATTTATTATTTATATGCCGCAAATCTGACTGGGTTGCCCCAGCCACTCTGGGCCGCTCCCAACAAAAATAGTAAAAACACAATACAACATCAAAAATTAGCAACTTCCCTAAGTGGGCTGAAGATTACCCAGTGAGCTTCATGGGTAAATGAAGATTTAAACCAACACTCTAGCCCAGGGGTCAGCAACCTAAGGCCCATGGGCTGGAAGAACCCCACGAAGGTTGTTTGACCGGCCCACAAGCTGCCCCTGAACTGAGTTGCGCGCTGCGCTAAACCGGTGCAGTGTGAGGTGGGGACTCGCTTCCACGCTGCTGAAAATTGCGTCTGCACAGATACAGACGCCGAAAATGACATCTGCGCATGCGCAGACACAGAAAATCACAGGCGCACATGCTCACACAATCTGGCCCACAGAGGGATCTTCATGGGACCAATCCAGCAGCCCAGGCAAGATAAACCTTGCTGACCCCTGCTCTAACCACTGCACCAAATGGTGCTTCCATCTCCTTAACATTTTCTCGAATACAGAAACACAGCCAACCTATTTTTCAAGGGCAGGAGTTGCCCCGCTTCAGAATCCGGCACGTCCAGCACTTCAACCTGTGCTGTTTCCAGCTCATTGACTCATTGCCCTTTTTATCCAACGGGGATTAGTGCGGGGAGACTGGAACAGACAGCAATACCTTATGGAGTATGTTGGCACTGCACATAAACCCAGGATTGCCGGAGGTTCTGCACTTCATTCACTGAAGGATTTACGGTCGTTTTCTTTAAATGGTTATCAAGCAGCTATAGAAGTCAAGGGATTCGTTTTGAATTGATCTAATTATACCCTTCAATAACCAAACCAGTCATTTAGAGAAGTGTGCTTATCCACCAAATATCAACATGGGTGCTTGGGAATGTGACGCGTTGTGGTGGAATTTACAGCAGGGGTGTGGAACAACAGGCCCAGGAGCCAAATCTGCCCTTCCAGGGGCCTTGGGACTCCTCCTAGGCCACAACCCTTTCCCCAGCCACTTTGAGTGGTTTTCCCCCAGTTGGAATGTTTCCTTGAACACTGAGAATGTTTCTTGCTTGCCTGGGTGGAGGATAAAGAGGGATGTGTGAGTTTGGTTAGAAAGTAGGCTACTGCACAAAGCTAAAATTTACATTTGTTACTTTGGCCACTTCGGCCCCCAGGTGGTTTTCCCAGAAGAGAATGTGGCCCTCGGGGCTGAAGAAGGTTCCCTACAGATTTAATCCAAAAAGCAAAATGAAAAGCTAGTAGTCATCATCAGAAAAAAGGATGTGTGTGTAAATGTCAACCTGATTCTAGGACTTAATGAACAGCCTTTTTAAAATTTATTCCAGGAGTGGATAAACTACACGCATCTCACAGGCTGGGTGGCTGGGTCCGAAAAACCACAAGATTTCACCACCTCAGATACAGACACAGGCTCCCAGCTAAACACATCATAGGTAATGCATCTATAGGTGGTGTTCGAAATTAGCCAGGTGCCAGGTGCGTTTTGTAACTGGCACAGGTTCCAAAACCACATGGATATCTCTGGATGCCAGATTTGCGACTGACATCTCCATCTTGCTGTCCCCTCCTGCATTCTTAAGCAGAAAAGTTTATTAATTGCATTTATATCCCACATTTTTCTCCAAGGAGCACATGGTTCACCCCCATCAATAATAATAATAATAATAATAATAATAATAATAATATCTCATCACAAAAATAGCACCTAGACATTTCGTTGTCGCGACGATAACCTAGGCTTATTAGCAATTAGCCTATAGAGTGGTACCTCGGGTTACATACGCTTCAGGTTACAGACTCCGCTAACCCAGAAATATTACCTCGGGTTAAGAACTTTGCTTCAGGATGAGAACAGAAATCGTGCAGTGGTGGCGCAGCGGCTGCTGGAGGCCCCATTAGCTAAAGTGGTGCTTCAGGTTAAGAACAGTTTCAGGTTAAGAACGGACCTCCGGAATGAATTAAGTACGTAACCAGAGGTACCACTGGATATCTGAGTTTCTAACACTGTCTATAGCTCACCTTCCTGTAAAATGTACTTAGAGAAATGTGCTGGGAGATTTTCTTGCGAGAGGCCATTTAAACAATGGATCTTTATATGATCTGGTCCCGCACAGAACTGTTCAGCACATCTCGTAGATTGTTCAGAACTCTCTGACATTGTTTTATACGTACGTTTCATGCCTACACATGTTCTTAGCCTAAGGGCTACTATCTTTCCATGTAACTGGATATAGAGGCGCATTGTGAAGAACGATTGCTACCGTGATATACAAGAATACAGTCATAATAGGATTACCTGGCACAGGCCAACAGAATTCCTCCTGGGATTCCTACCAGGGTGTCTCCCAGAGGAAGCTGCCAAGCTGCAAATAACTGAAGGCGGGACTACGCACCCTTTTCTCCCTGCTGCCAACAGCGTGCTGCAAGCAGAATAGCTCTAGGTGACTCAAGCAAGCTACTGCACAAAGGGAGAAGAAGAAGAAGAAGAGTTTGGATTTGATATCCCGCTTTATCACTCCCTTTCAGGAGTCTCAAAGCGGCTAACATTCTCCTTTCCCTTCCTCCCCCACAACAAACACTCTGTGAGGTGAGTGGGGCTGAGAGACTTCAAAGAAGTGTGACTGGCCCAAGGTCACCCAGCAGCTGCATGTGGAGGAGCGGAGACGCGAACCCGGTTCCCCAGATTACGAGACTACCGCTCTTAACCACTACACCACACTGTCCCCACTGGAGAGGGGACTTTAGTTTACTTGTATCCTTTATACCTGGGCCCACTAACCAAGTTCTCAAGGTGGATTCCAATGTATTAAAACTATCAAATATGTTTTCCAACATACAGTAAAACAGACAAGAGTAAGTCCACGCAAAATAACATGAAAAGGAGTACAGTGGACGCTCGGGTTGCAAACGTGATCCGTGCGGGATGCATGTTCGCAACCCGCAGCGTTCGCAACCTGCGCCTGCGCACACACAGGTTGCAATTGGGCGCTTCTGCGCATGCGCAAAGCATGATTTAGCGCTTCTGCGCATGTGCGACTGCCGAAACCCAGAAGTAACCCATTCCGGTATTTCCGGTTTTCGACTGTCCGTAACCTGAAAAAACACAACCTGAAGCGTCTGTAACCTGATGTATGACTGTATATTAAGTTTTCCCCAGGCGAGAAATGGCTACCAAAGCAGCCAGATGTTTTTGTTTTAAAATGTCAGTACCAGAGCACACTATTTGCAAGTGGATTTGAAAACCAGCAGCAAGCATGTTCTTTGAAGCCGTGACCAGCAGATAGGTAGATTTGTCCTTACTACAACTTGTAATGGCCCCAGGCAATTTTGCCTTTGGTCTAATGTCTAAACTGGACATATACACCACACAGGCAGACAAAGAAAGAATGCTCACTGCTACCTGCTCTGACCTTATATAAACCAGATGCTCAGTCACTGAGTAACAGTCTCTCTCTTTGGGTGCCATTTCCAAGGAACCCCTGATACTGTGTGCTGAGATAGCTCAGTCAGTAGAGCATGAGGCTCTTAATCTCAGGGTCGTGGGTTTGAGCCCTATATTGGGCAAAAGATTCCTGTATTGCAGGGGACTCGTTGCCTCTTTCAACTCTACAATTAAATTTATGATTCTACTGCCTGCAAGGAATCCATGTGTTCCTGGCAACAATGTTTGAAAACTACCAATATATACCATAATGCTAAATGATCACAGTCTATTACTCTTTTAACTAAAAAAAGAAAGCAGTATTATAGTACCCGTTTGATTGGGCAGCTAGAGGAGCAAAACAAACTATGAACTTACTTGCCTGAGATCAAACAGGTGCCAGAAGAATAATTAGCATTCACCAAAAAATGAGAATGCACTTCCCCAGAATTTTTTTTTTAAATGATTAATTGCTTTAGCACAATACTATTTTACAGAGCTCAGTGCTTTAAGCAATACATCCCTCCCTCCCCTGATAACCTGTGTTGAAAGAGATCCTAGAATCCTCATATTTCTGGGAGAATGCCTATTAATAATTTGCATGTGGTAATAAAAAAATGTGCACCTTTGAAAACCGCCCATTCCTCAGCACGGAATCCAAGTTAAAAACAAACTGTTAATAACAACTTTGTGGTGGGCAGAAGCATCAAAATCTAAAAACAAACTATTATTTCTTGACTGGTTTGAGGAATTTCTTAATAATTACAAAGGATCTGAGTACTTCAGCCTTATGTTAAAACATACCCAAGTTTCCTCTTCTACTTCCATATTCTACGGCTGCCCATTTATCCTACATGAGGTAACAATTGCAAGTCAGGAAACTAACCTACTTTCCAACCTCTGAATATATCCCCCCCCTACTCTCATCTTACACTTGCACTATTTCGTATTTTTGCCAGTCTCCCAAATTAACACAGGACATAATTGGACACCAAGCCTTGATGTTTGTACCTTGTAACCGGTGATACATAGAGACAAAAATATAAACAGGCAGGCAGGAAAAACACCCTAAGACCTAGTACCAGCTGACCTCAGGGTGGCATGTTACCTAAAAGGTAAAGGAAAACTACAACTAAGTGCACAAGAGGAAACCTCCACTGGGATATTGCTAGTCTTCTTCACGCAATGCAGAATTAAACTGTGGAATCAACTCTGACAAGACGTAGAAATGGCTGCCAAGAGATTTGGGAGCCAGTGTGGTGTAGTGGTTAAGAGCGGTAGACTCGTAATCTGGTGAACCGGGTTCGCGTCTCCGCTCCTCCACATGCAGCTGCTGGGTGGCCTTGGGCCAGTCACACTTCTCTGAAGTCTCTCAGTCCCACTCACCTCACAGAGTGTTTGTTGTGGGGGAGGAAGGGAAAGGAGAATGTTAGCCGCTTTGAGACTCCTTCGGGTAGTGACAAAGCGGGATATCAAATCCAAACTCTTCTACTCTTCTTCTTCTTGACAAATTCATGGAGGAGAACGCTCTCAATGGCTACAAGCCATAATGGCTATGCTCTACCTCTGAATACCGGCTGCTGGGAGCCAGGGAGAGGGCTGTTGTACTTGGGCCTTGCTTGCTGGCTTCCCATGGCATCTGGTTGGTCATTGTGAAAACATGATGCTGGACTAGATGGAGCAGAGCTTTTCTTATGTTCTTATGGAGAGTGCAAAGTCATGCCATTAGCCCACCATGCAGGCCGTTTTTTTCTTTGCTCCTGCGTTCATATACAAATCCACATGAAGGTCCCACCAAGGAGGCACCAGACTTTTAAATTCTTAAACAACTCAGGACCGTAAGACCTCAAAGACCACCCCTCCCCATAGAAACCTTGCATTCATCATCGGAGGCCCTTCATTGTGTGGCTCCTCCACGTGAGGTTCAGAGGGTGGCAACACGAGAACGGGCCTTCTCTGTAGTAGCTCCCCGTTTGTAGAACACTCTCCCCAGGGAGATCCACCTGGGACCTTCATTATATATATTTTAGGCAGAAAACATTCCGCTCCAACCAGGCCTTTGGCTGATTAATATCCTGCAGCCTTTTAAATGTGTCTGTGGGGAGGGTGTGTGTGTGCGATTGGATTGCTGTTTTGTTTTAATTATTTGTTTTTTTATCCTGTATTTTATTCTGTGAGCTGCCCTGAGATCTTATGATTAAGGGCAGTATATAAATCTAATAGGGACGCAGGTGGTGCTGTGGGTTAAACCACAGAGCCTAGGATTTGCTGATCAGAAGGTCGGTGGTTCAAATCCCCACGACGGGGTGAGCTCCCGTTGCTCAATTCCTGCTCCTGCCAACCTAGCAGTTCGAAAGCACATCGAAGTGCAAATAGATAAATAGGTATCGCTCCAGCGGAAAGGTAAACAGTGTTTCCCTGTGCTGCTCTGGTTCACCAGAAGCGGCTTAGTCATGCTGGCCACATGACCCGGAAGCTGTACGTCAGCTCCCTCAGCCAATAAAGCGAAATGAGTGCCGCAACCCCAGAGTCGGCCATGACTGGACCTAATGGTCAGGGGTCCCTTTACCTTTACCTTATAAATCTAATAAATCAATAAAACAGAAATAAAAATTTCTACAGCAGAATTGTGGGATGAAGCTGCGTCAAGGCTGGGGTACATCATTTGCTGGAGAAAACCAGAGAACAATTCGCTATGAGAATAGGATGCTGGACTAGATAGGCTTTTGGTCAGATCCACCAGAGCTTTTCTCACATTCACTGATTCTAACATATAAAGGGCACCTAAGAAGTCTTGCCATTTCTTGGCTCTGGCTTTTGCTTATTATGTGACCTTGACCAACCCAGCTAACCTTTCGGTGCTTCTGTTTATACATGTTTACCCAACAGGCAGAACCGACGAGGATAATATATAAATATATTTTCACTTCCTCCGGCTAGCAGTATTATGCAAGTGCAACACATCAACTTTAACTCACTCCTTATGAGAAAGGAGTTTTTGTTTTTTTAAAAAAGTATTTTACACCTGGCTCCAGTTGGTGAGCCAACAGGTTCTAATAAATAAATAAAAACCAGCACCAAGCTGATCCCTAAAACCTGGTCTCCATTGACTGAACAAATATTTACTCAATGCATGCCTAGGGTCTAGTGAAATATAATGCCTTGGGAGAAGGAGGCGGGATTGTTCCTTCTACCTACATTCCACCCAGAAATGAACGCCTCCCAAACCCATCCAATGAGTCACCATAAGCACAGCTGAGACATTATATGAAGCCTGAGAAGCAGTGTTGCTCTGACCCACACTTCGCACTCACAGCTCAACAAAAAGAATAAGCAGCCGTACAAACCCAGAATCCTAAATAAGGAAACAGAATTCCTTCATTTCCCTAACTTATGCAATCTTGTTACGAACTTGCATGTACTGGAGCAAAAAAAGTCACATCAAAACTGAAGAAAAGAGAGGTCTTTATGCCCCCCTAGCTTTCTTTCTTATAAGTGAACCGCAAGTGTTTTCTTCCAAGAGAAAGTTAGTTACACTTAAGTTCTGCTGAAATCCATGGTACAGGCCACTTACAAATCACTTAAGTCCTATTGATTTGATTCGTGGGACTTAAGCATCCATTTTTCCCCAATGGATTGGAGGCAATATCTAAATCTGTCATGAGAGATTTACCAGCATGTGGTCTCTTCCTCCCCCCTTATTGCCATGCAAGGCAGACACATAATACAGTGGTACCTCGGGTTACAGACGCTTCAGGTTACAGACTCCACTAACCCAGAAATAGTACCTTGGGTTAAGAACTTTGCTTCAGGATGAGAACAGATATCACGCGGCAGTGGCGTGGCGGGCCCCATTAGCTACCTCAGTGGTACCTCAGGTTAAGAACAGTTTTAGGTTAAGAACGGACCTCCAGAAAGAATTAAGTTCTTAACCCGAGGTACCACTGTACTGAATTCTGTCTGGCGTGCGAGGAGGAACATGACTAATGACCCCTTAGATTATGGCCATATGCTTCACTGACCATATGCCCAACCTGAAGTAGCCTTTCCCTCTTACATCTAGACTTCAGAACTTTTAGACTGAGTTTAGAGACAGAGAAGAAAGCATAACAGAAGGGTTTGAATATTTTTAGCTGAACTTCTCTTATTTCCCTGGATCATCTGGCATTTTTGAACGGGTAATTTGTGTTGTTGTTGTTGTTTTTAAAAAGACATAAAGCACTGGTTACGCAGGAGCAATTCTTCTGTCCCCGCTTGATTTGCCGTCGAACAAGCACTCAATTACATTTTGGATCGAGAGATTCAAGTTAAGGAGAGAAGGGATATTTTGGCTAACACTTGGCTGTTATATGATGCATTTGTAGCCAGCAACAAGAACGACGGCGTACAAATGAGACAGGAACCCAAATCAAATCCCCAGCTGTAGCGCACTTTTAATATATCCTGCAGGCAAATCAGAAATTCCAACAGCTAGTGTAATGCTCTCTGTTGTAATCCGGAAAGCATGGGTTTTTTAAAAGAAAGAAAGAAAGAAAGAAAGAAAGAAAGAAAGAGCTTTGCATTGGTTTTTTATACTGTTTACGGTGAGCATACATGCATCCTTTTCCCCTATGAAAAGGAGTTTTAAAAGTATTCCCACCCCCTCCTAACCACTCCATAACCTCTTTCTCACTCCTGCTCTGGCAGGCTGTCAATGGATTCCTCGGGTGGTGTGGGTTAACACGCTGCACTCCGCAAAGCATACTTACTCAGAGTCCTTGCTGTCGCTGCCATTCACAGAGCCAGCGGGTTGCTCGCCTTGGCTTAGAATCTGGATCCCTAAGGACTTGAGAGCTCGCATCAGAATAGCTTCCATCGCCTCGACCGAGAGCTTCTCGAGGACAATAACGCGGCAGCGACTCAGAAGAGCCGAATTGACCTGGAAAGAAGGGTTTTCGGTGGTTGCCCCGATCAGCGTCACGGTCCCGCACTCAACGTGAGGAAGGAAGGTATCCTGGAAATGGGAGGGAAACAGAAGAAACTGGTCCCCATCAATGACAACTTGAGGCATTCCCTGTGAGTACAATTAATTCACAATCGCAATTGCGATTTTCCGTTTGCTCAGAGACTGAAGCAGTTCCGTTTGGGACGTTTCGCTGGCAGCTCGTCCAAAAACCAAACTAGATGCTCTTGTTTTCCCCCCATACATAATTAAGGTGTGTGTGGTTTTCACTGAGATGGCAGTGCATCTCTCCTTTCCTCTACCTTCAACAGAACCAGGATCTCTCTTCCCCAGGAGTGACCAGGACCCTTAAAGAAAAGTCTCCTAGCTGTGTGGTGGTGGCAGCAGTGGGGGGGCAACCTCTGTTCCACTTCTGGTGGGGAGTAAAGAGATTTGCCTCCCCAAAGGCACCACATTCCCAATACCAATCACACAGGCACATTTCAAGGAAAAACAAAGTGCATAGTTGCATGCCATATATTAAGCAAATTCTTAATTTGGTCTGTAACAGCAGCTTTAGTCATTCCATTTACAGTGTATGTTGAGGGGCTGTGTTGTGTAAAAAAGAAAAAAAGTTTCTGCAATTTTTGCTTTACTGTTCGAGATACAGAGGCAAAGTGTTCACATATTCATCATTACTGCAATGCTAAACTGACAAAAGTGAGTCCGTTGTGGCTCTTTCTCCCCAAAAGGATTATTCAGAGAGGTCGTAAAGAATCATGTAACTCTGATATTTTGGTGGAAAACAATTTGAATGCGACTTTAGGAATTCGTGGAACATTTTACGCAGATCTCCCCATCGCAGCAATCCATCATTCAAAACATCTTTTAGAACTTTCAACACCTCTTTGTGCCCAGAGCTCTCATATTCCATTTCGACTGCAGAACTGAAAACTCTAAGATGCAAGTGTAAGAAATTATAGAAAAAATCCAGTCAGTATTGCCTTTGCTTTCCTGCCTCTTCCCCCTCACCCCACCCCCAGACTTAGGGATGATGCATTTGCATGTTTGTTTGCAGGGTGGGAGTGTATTTTGAAATGCTGGACTGCCTGCCAACTTCCTAATCCCAAAGCTTGTGGTTTAAACTAGACTGTGGTCTTCCTAAGGCTGCAAATGAACTCTCAATTCAGTCAGCAAAGAGATGCCAGACGTGTAGTTTCAATATAGGTTAAAAGAAGTTTAGGTTCTAGTTTTGAAAGCCAAATGCACGCCAACAAACTCAGGGACAGATTCCTGCTTGCTGGGTGACCTTAGGGCACTGGTTCTCTTTCATTTCTAATCTACCTTGTAAGGTAGAGATAATAAAAAATGGGATAACCCAACCATGTAGGTCACACAGAGAACCTCAGAAAAAGGATGAGACATTATATTTTATTTCATCCTCACTGCAACCCTGTGAGGTGGGTTAGGCTAAGAGATAGTGACAGGCCCAAGAACACATCATAATAATAATAATAATAATAATAATAATAATAATAATAATTTACTATTTCTACCCGGCCCATCTGGCTGGGTATCCCCAGCCACTCTGGTCGGCTTCCAACAAAAGATTAAAAATACAATAAAATTAAAATACACCTAGAGAGCTTTATAGCCGACAGGAGATTTGAACCCTCGCCTCTCAGAGTTCTAGTCTGACACTTTAACCACTATGCCACACAGACTCTCAGTTGAGATCAATTTAAGTATTGCTCAACCACATTGTGTAGAAGCCATTCATTTCCAAAGGGAGGCCTTCCGACTACTTCCTACTGAGAAGGTAGCAATCGGTACCTGCTGAGACTTATTGAAACGGTGTATCTCGTCGATAAAGAGGATTGTTTTCCTCTTGCAGAGCCTCTTTTCATTTTGCGCTTGAGCAATGACCTCTCGGACATCGTTGGTTTTGGCACTTGTGGCCGACAGGGTCACGAACCGTGTGCCGTTCTTCTTGCTGCTGTTCGCGATGATGTGAGCCAAGGTGGTCTGAAAGGAAGAAAAGCGCAAGGGTGTTGATTTTCCTCCGAGAACACAAAAGACATGGCTAAAAGGCATTGTGAAGGGGGAAACAGTGTTGGGCTGTGAAGAAGCGAAGGAGTGTTTTGGGATAGAAAACGTCTCATTCTCTTTTTCTGACTGGAAAATATATTTGGCATTAGTTGAAAAGGACATATTATTCTGACAGGAAGAGAGCGTGAAAATTACCATCCTCTGGTGGGGAATCCAAAGAGCTATTTTAGCCAGTGGGAGAGAAGGTTTCTCTTTGGACAGCAGACTCTCAGGCCATTTATCACCAGCTGGCTTCAGAAAGCCTCTCCATTTTCAAAAACAGATTGCCATGTGGCTTGACAAGGTGCTGTTTCCAAAACACAAGCCCAAATACTCATTGGCCTCTAGTTCTTTGGATCCCAGGCTTCCATGGCACAAGAAACAGCTTGATACACCAAGCTTGGGAGTGCTCCCATTTGTTACTTCCATTATTATTACAGATATCGGCAGGCAGATTTGTGTGAGCAGAAAGCTGCACGCCATTCACACAAGGCAGCCATCTTGGATTTCTGCAGTTTGATTGCCTCCCAGATTTCTGCAGAATTCTTGCCTCCTGCAGCCCTCTACATGGCATTAAATGCAGCATTGAAGGATCCCAGACTTTCAGGAATAGCTTTTTTAGGGAGTACTGCAGCAGGAAGGAGGTGGGAAACTCAAATTCCACATGTGGAGGCTTTGCCTGAGAGAGATCACAATGCAGCACTATTCAGTGGCTGATGCTTGAGGTTTGGCAGGAGTCATCTGTCTCTGCCTGGCAGCCAACTGCATGTGATTACAGGGGCAGAAAGACAGGTGATGCTGAACACTTTTGTCTCTGGCCTTTTGGTATGTAACCCTTCCCAACAGATCACCACCTTAGGAACTGCCTTTGATAGGAAAAAGATCCTCCTCCCCATGCATTAAAAACCAACAATAATGGGGGAAATAGATTGTATTTGATTTGGTCAACAACATATCGGCATCTTTTCACCAAAGCCAGATTAAATGTATTCCAATCAGAAGCATTAAATGGCAGACTGAGAGGTATTCCTTATCAAAATAGGATCTGTGTATGCTCTCAGGACGTTGACTGCATGAGCCATATTTTATTGCATTGCAGACAATATGGTCAAGCTAGGGAACTATTGATTAAACCACTATTGGCAAATCAGCCGGGTCAATCTGAAGCCTATTATATCAAATATCTTCTGGACGACAAGTCCAATGATATCACAGTGGCTGTGGCAATGTTTCTTTCAGTAGTCATACGAATCAAAGATCAACATACCCATGACTAAACATATCAGGTCTCCCTTCCCTGTGGGGATTGTCTGTATGAATCTGTATTTTATTCAGAATCCATGTTATGGGTCGTTGGACCGCAATAAAGATTATTATTATTATTCATTTGGTCAAGAAAGCGGCAAAGATAGCCCAACTTTACCACTCTGTTCTAAAGACCGTTGAAATAGCGTGTGCAAAGTCATTTGAACACCAGATGCATCATATGCCTACTAAAAGCATTAATGTTATATACTTAGTTCAGATTATTTCAATAAATTAATCCAAAGGTTTTGTGTGTTGCATCAGACTAGTTCATTGCTGACTAAAGCTTTTGCCCACACAACTGAGCGTCCTTTTTGGCTGTCAGATTGATTTATCTTAAATCAATCGCCTTTCTGTCTTTGCCCCCCTGGCAGGACTCGGCAATTATTTATGGACCCTCTTTGGTACTCCTTACAGCAGGCCTTCTCAATTTGTGACCTGCCAAAGCAAACACAGCTACCAGCGCAGTTTTGTGACCTGCCTTGACAATTGCCACCATTTCTGTGGTCTAAGGCAAGACACACACAAGGCGGGGGCAGCTTTAGTGACCCCCGGTGGGGCAGCATACATGGATTTTGATGTGTGTGGGTCACAGTCAAGCATGCCTTCGGCACCGCGTTTCTATGAAAATATTTTTAGGTACAAATTTGGATGTTTCGGTACATTTGTCGCAAAATTCACGTTGGAAAACCCCAGCAGAGCAGAAATAGCTCAGTTTACCTAAGCTATCTTTTATAAACACCCCAGGAGAGGAAAAAGGGAAATAAAGAAGGAGGGAAACCCAACTCATAACAAGAGAAGAAAGAATACGCGACTGGAATAAAGAAAACTGCCCTACACTGAGGAAGGCTGTATATACTCTATACCTTTAAAGAGCATTCAATGCATGTTTTCCCCCCTCAAGGCATTTTGGGCACTATGGTTTGTTAAGAGCTGCTGGGAACTGTAACGCTGTGGGTGTCCAGAATCTTTGATGGCGGAAAATATGCTTTAAAGGTATCATGTGTACCTGGCCTCACCTAATATAAGACAGGCATCCCCGACCTGCGGCCCTCCAGATGTTTTGGCCTACAACTCCCATGATCCCTAGCTAACAGGACCAGTGGTCAGGGAAGATGGGAATTGTAGTCCAAAACACTGGGAGGGCCGAAGGTTGGGGATGCCTGATATAAGATGATCTCAGTAAACCAAACCAGGGTGGGAAATGAGGAAAACAAACTGGGGAAACCTAGGGATGCAACTATTCAGGACAAATATTATCTGGATATCCTGGAAGTGAGAAGAAGATGGCCACCGTGGAGAAAAAGAACCTAGAGTGGAAGCACCCGCAAACTCACGTTCTCTGTCCATCGGCCAAACATTTCCTCGTCTATTCAAGGAACCACAGCAAGATAAGCCCGAGTAAGACTATGAGGGGACATTCCTGAACAGAGCAGGAAGGATTTGCAGAGGGACAGGTGTGGCGAACCAACCGTCTGGATAGCAAACGCTTTAGATGTTTTCAGGGAAGCAGCAAGAGAGTCTTTTGGAATGCGAGTAGGAGGCAGCAGGCTTTCTCGATTTCAGAGTTTCAGCTCAGCTTAGTTCCTCCTCCCCATCCTGCCGCAATCAGATACCACTGTCAGGATTCAGTATCCACAGAAAGTCGAAGGATAGAAAGACTATATAACCTGACCTGATCAATACGGGCTCGTCTGGTTAATATAGACTCATATCCCAGTTGAGTCACGGACAAACCGAGTAGCTTTAGCTGTGAAGTTATTCTCTCTCAGACTGAGGGTTGTAGCAACCAAGCGTTGCTCAGAGTAGACCCACTGAACTTAATGGCCTAAGTTAGTCACGTTCATTAATTTCAGTGGGTCTGCTCTGGAGTAGGAGCAGCACTGGATTCCACCCTTAGCCACCAATATGTTAAAACCAGGCCTTTGGGGGGGCGGTTATTGTTTTGCTGCTTTGCTTTACTTATTTACTTGTTTTTATCCTGTATTTTATTCTGCGAACCGTCCTGAGATCTTATGATGAAAGGTGGTATATAAATCTAATAAATAACCAAAACAAAGCACAAAAAAATGGCTGCAAACTTCCATTAATTCAGTTGGTGCACTAATCAAGAAATAACAGCAATTAATTGGTGCAGCCGAGATGTAAGAGTTCAGCACGATGCAAATCACCCAAAGGAAACAGACAATCAAATGAGTTTTAATTCATTAACTAAAGGATTAATATATCTGTGTCTGATTAAACCAATTGTTTTGATAGGGGGGAGCATGCTTCCTTCAGTTTTAGAAGTTGCATGTGGTGTAGTGATTAAGAGCAGTAGACTCGTAATCTGGTGACCCAGGTTCGCTTCTCTGCTCCTCCACATGCAGCTGCTGAGTGACCTTGGGCTAGTCACACTTCTCGGAAGTCTCTCAGTCCCACTCACCTCAGAGTGTTTGTTGTGGGGGAGGAAGGGAAAGGAGAATGTTAGCCGCTTTGAGACTCCTTCGGGTAGTGATAAAGAGGGATATCAAATCTAAACTCTTCTTCCGGTGGCTCTTTTACCTGTTGCTGAACTATAGTTAAATTCATGCCACACATTTAAAGAACAATGCTACCACTTCAAACACTCATGACTCCCAAGAATTATGGGACCTGCTACAATTCCCAGGGCTCCCTGTGAATAGAGATTGACCATTAACCACTCTGAGAATAGGTAACTCTGTGAGTGGGCATGAGATTGCTTTGAAGCATGGGATGAATGTGGCCTGCAACTCCTACCATCCCCAAGCATTGGCCATGCTAACTGGGACTCATGGGAACTGGAGTCCCAACAACTTCTGGGGGGCTACATCCCCATCCCTGAATTTAGCAAGCATCATCTTACAAGAGGCATTCTCCTCCTGCATAAGAGTGAAGGGGACTTGCTTCTAAGACAGCGCCTGACAACTCCAAGATACTGACTAAAGCCACAGCTGCTTAGCTTCAGCAAGGTGATGGCCTCGTGGACCTTCAAATCCCACCCTGGGAGGGCTTTCAACGTACTGTACTGTCCCCAATATAAGCCACAATCCCCCCCCCCCCAATTCCAACCGTGAAAAGTTAAAGTGCAATTCGTGACCTTACAAAAATTGGCTTTTATGGTATTGCTGCCGAAACAGACATATGGTAAAACGAAACGAAAAACAAGTTTTATTGTCGATTTGCAAGCTTAAGACTGTTGTGTGATTTATTCTAATGCCATTCATCGTTTTCCCTGTATTTTACAGTGCAGTATTGATTTTTTAATTTGCATTTACGGTGCTACGAACAGGTGTTGAACCCACTAGTACCTCTCTTCTACATTTGCCATTTACGGGTGTGAGTGCCTGTGGAATTTTAAGGGAGCAGCTTATATTCATGTACTGTCTTTTTTTCCTATCCCCGCCTTGAACTTTAAAGGTGCGGCTTATTTGCGGGTGCAGCTTATATTCAGGCTAATACGGTACATTCGCACTTATGTTACAAATAACCAACTTTTTCTCAGAGAAACGGGTTGTCTGCTTTATCAGGGAAGCCATGTTAGACAATTAAGAAAAGGTTTTCAATAGACTCATCTAAGCAATCAGCTCATTCAGGAGTTCCAAAAGATATATGTATGAATAAGGCTTTTCAGAACTGAACTTTTCTTGGCTGGATGTTAATTCTATTCAGATTGCTGCACATACTTTAAAAAACAGCAACAACTGGGCAGCAGCCCCCTCTGCCCCCACTTTCTTCTCCAATAGCTGCTCTGGGCCAAAAGATCCTCTGCAGCTGGTGAGGGCAGGCGGTGACAAGCCTAAATGCTGCCCGAAAAGATATCCCAAAGATCAGAACTACTTCAGCAGGTGCTCCGAATCTGATCCTCTACTGGAGAGCGCTTCAGAGCCAGAGCTTTATGTCCTGGGGACTAACAGTGAGAGCAGGGCACTTCTGTTTGTTCCATCAATGGCAGCACATCCACCCCCAAACTCTCTCTCACCCTCTCTCCTGTTTCTCGGTCTCCTTAACCTTTTAGGCAGCCGAAGGTAGAAAGACTGTCATTGGATATAAGCCAGTACAAGCTCAGGCCAAGTATGTACGGGGAGCCTGTAGTCCTCTGGGTGTTGATAGGTTAACACTGGGACGCGGGTGGCGCTGTGGTCTAAACCACTGAGCCTCTTGGGCTTGCTGATCAGAAGGTCGGCGGTTTGAATCCGGCGACGGAGTAAGCTCCCGTTGCTCTGTCCCAGCTCCTGCCAACCTAGCAGTTCGAAAGCACACTAATGCAAGTAGATAAATAGGTACCACTGTGGCAGGGAGGTAAATGGTGTATCCGTGAGCTCTGGTTTCCGTCACGGTGTTCCGTTGCGCCAGAAGTGGTTTAGTCATGCTGGCCACATGACTTGAAAAACTGTCTGTGGACAAATGCTGGCTCCCTTGGCCTGAAAGCAAGATGAGCGTTGCAACCCCATAGTCACCTTTTTAACCTTTAGGTTACACTACAATTCCCTGCTGAATCCTGGCCATAATAGCTGGGGCTGATGGTGGTCCAACCACTTTTAGACTTTTCTAGGCTATCCTCTTCCATTTTCAGAATGGAAATGATTCCTGATTCAGGAAAGCATTATGTTTTGAAGGCTATGTGAAAAAGTTCAGTTCCTTTTTCATTTATTGCAGGGCAGAATATTCTGCATTAATCTATCCCCAAGCTGTAGATTGCAGACTGATCTTAGTGCATATTTGCTCATATGCATATTGCACTGCGTTCCGTAGAACATACTCTTAAGATATCTGTGTATACAGTTGCAGCCCTAATTACAAGCAACAGGTGTTAAGACATAAGAATACTGGTTTCTATTAAAAAAAACCAGGATACATAAATAGAATGTAAATGGAAAGGATTTTTTTTTTTTACAGTATGATATACAACAGCTAACATTCTCACTTCTAACACTGTCCCTCCTAGAAAATAAGGCTGTTTCTTCTTTTTCCCTTTTGGTCAAACTTACACACAGCTATGTACTAATTTTTCTGTGGGATCCATTCTCTCCTACTCTTTCCTTTTAAGAGATAAAAGTCAAAATAATCCAAGTCAGAGAGGAGTTATGCATTAAATCTGAACTTCTGTAATGTTTGCCACTACGTTATACATTGCTTAGTTTTCATTAAAAATTCTTAACTACATTTCCTGTAAAGGTTTGAGACTGTGCAAGGAGAAAGCAAACAAAAGCTTACTTCTGAGTAATCAATGTGTGATTTTAAAATCTGCACATGAATTGACCTAAATCTGATTGCACCCTGATGCCATGACGCTTGCTAACACAATCTCCTGAAACAAAACATAATGATTATGTTTCATTTGAAAATACAAAACACAGTAGTAAGTCTCCCACACCTCCCTCGTACTCTCTGGAATTAGAGGGTTCTCTGGAAGGCCCAGAGCAGAAATTTAACCCTTTATTTTCATATAATATATATATCCAATATTAATTAGTCCTAAAACACATGATTGCACTGTGCACTAGATAGCTGGTCCCAAAGACTTACCAAGATCAGCGTCACAATTGCCCTTCTCTATTTAAATCACCTGGTCCTCAACATTTATTGCTGGTAACTTGACCGCCCACCCAGAAGGCAATCAATGACCCTCCATTGGGTATTCATGGAATCCATATCCCCCTCCCTATACAATTGCAATGGTGGTGTGGCCAACAGCTGCTTCATGCTGTTAGCTCTCCCTGGCAAAGACCCTCCGGGCTTAGGATGGGGGAACTACATTTATTACAGAGGTCTGCTGCCAGCTGGGAAGAAGGCAGGGTTCTGAACAGCCAAGGAAACCACGCTGCATTTATTTCACAGCCCCATTGCCAACATTCCCAGGAGACCAGCTGTGAAAGGCAGTTCTGTAGGGTGGGGACCACAAACCCACGGACCACCATGTCAAACTAAGAGAGCCGGGCATTACACGTGAAACTTTCATTTTCTTCCCAGCTCCGTTTGTGGAATGCTCTCCCCAAGGAGGTTCGGCTGGCACCTTCATTATAAGCCTTTAGGTGCCAGGAAAAACGTTTCTCTTTAACCAGGCCTTTGGTTGACTGACATCCAATGCCCTTTTAAAATGTGTTGGGGAGAGGGGGTTATTGGGATGTCCTTATTTTTTATTTTTATTGTGTATTTGTTTATATGTTGTGATTTTATCATGTGGACTGCCCTGAGACATGTGGATATAGGGCAGTATACAAATTTAATAAATAATAAATCTGTAAGGAGGAGGTCCTCATCAAGGCCAGTGGCAACGAAGAAAATTAGGAGCTGTTGTGACAATATATACTTCCATTTCCTAACTTCTTAAGGAGCATATTTACTACGTTCCTATCCCACCATTTCCCCAAGGACCTCAAGGCTTGCTAAACGTAATTCTTTCCCCTGACCCTCCATTTTATCCTCACAATAATCCCGTGAGAAGAGGCTAGGCTGAGAGATTGTGATTTAGCCAAGGTCACACAGCGAGCTTTGTGTCTGAACGGGATTTGAATCTGGGTCTCCCTTGTCCTAATCTAACACGCTAAACCACACTATACCACACTGACCCACAATGTTATCACAGTAAATTGTGGGTTGTTTTTTTTTTTTGAGGGGGAGCAGATGTAGTTGGGGGGGGGTTGACGTAGAACTCATACTCTCAACTGAAAATGGTGTATACAGGTCAAGTATGCAAAATGAGATTTAACATATACACAGCAAAGGGGAACTACCTACAGAAATTCAGGGCATCTTTGTGTTTGGCCTCATCACCTATTAAACACTGCATGCAGTGATGGGCTCACCATTTCGAAATTTGGAAACTGTGGAAATTAGCCCTGAAGGGTACAAAAAGAAATCCCTGATTTGGCAGAGATTTTACCAGGGAAATTCCCGCTTCATAACAAACAGCCGAGATAGCTTTGCTAGAGTAATCCATTAAACGGTAACCAACCCCTGTCAGGTCAGTCAGATTCGATTACCCTCAAGTCTTCTTGCCTCAATAAACAAGGTAGAGATAACAGGTGCAGGGCGGAGTTTCATAATTTACTGACAATTTCACACAACATCCGTCCTAGTCTTGTTAATGCAGGGACCGAGCCGCTCAAGTCTAAATCCACTTCCACCCAAAAAAAGTCTTGTTGCGACAACGAATCTCAGCCACATGTGAAACCCCTTAAGCAACTGGTATGGATGAACAGGCACTTAGACCAGAGACAGCCAAGCCCCTATTTCCCCAAATGGCCTTGCTGCCAAGCCCTTTTGACAAAAATGATGTTTGGCCACATCTATCTTTATCTTCTGGGACTGGCAACTACAGATCATGTCTCTCTGTAAGGGAAAGGAGGGTTGGCATGTTGTTGTTGTTGTTTAGTCGTTTAGTCGTCTCCAGTTCTTCGTGACCCCATGGACCAGAGCGCGCCAGGCACTCCTGTCTTCCACAGCCTCCCACAGTTTAGTCAAACTCATGCTGGTAGCTTCGAGAACACTGTCCACCCATCTCGTCCTCTGTTGTCCCCTTCTCTTTGTGCCCTCCATCTTTCCCAACATCAGGGCCTTTTCCAGGGAGTCTTTTCTTCTCATGAGGGGGCCAAAGTATTGGAGCCTAAGTTTCAGGATCTGTCCTTCCAGTGAGCACTCAGGGCTGATTTCCTTCAGAATGGAGAGGTTTGGTCTTCTTGCAGTCCATGGGACTCTCAAGAGTCTCCTCCAGCACCATAATTCAAAAGCATCAATTCTTCGGCGATCAGCCTTCTTTATGGTCCAGCTCTCACTTCCATACATCACTACTGGGAAAACCATAGCTTTAGCTATACGGACCTTTGTTGGCAAGGTGATGTCTCTGCTTTTTAAGATGCTGTCTAGGTTTGTCATTGCTTCTCTCCCAAGAAAGGGTTGGCATAGAGGTTTGCAATTGCTACTCCTGATGGGTGGCTTTTATGCTTTTCATTTGCATTGTCCTGTTCAAGGGTCATGTACCACTCTCAGCAGTTGTCACCTAAACATACAACTGAGGATTAATACAAAACTTGAACCCCCATTCTCCAAAGAGAGGAGGCATTTGTTCCTCAGTGACAAAATGCTTCTCACTTGTTGAAACAACCACCCCTCCAGTGGCCATAGGTTCACAGAAGCCATTGGTTTCTTTTGGACGCTGAAAGCTTATTGTCTCTTCTCATTGGCTATTCCAAGACTTTCGAACTCCCTTCCTAGAGAAATTAGACTGGCTCCCTGGCAGGTAAATATCTATTTGCTCCAACAGGCTTTTGGGAACTGACTGATTTTACTGAAAGGGTTAGGGCTGGTGCCATGCTGTTTTTGTTGCAATTAACTGTATGTTTTCAATAGATTACAGATAGACTTAACTCTATCAATGTTTAATTGGTTCCTCCCCCCTATGTTTTTAGCTGTTCTTGTTTTTATCTGTAAGCCACCTTGAGTCCTTGTCAGGGAAAAAGTGAGCATAACTAAACTAAGAATAAAAATAAGATTGTCCCCGGTATAAAAGGAAACTTCTTGGCAAAATTAGACTGAATCTTGCATTGTATAAATATAAGTTTGTAGGGAAGTTAACAGAAACTATATACGAAATATGTAACTGTGTGGTATAAGATAATCAACAGATAAAGTACAGTGAGACTAATTGGAAGCCATTTTTAATATCTTGTTTTATAAGTTTTACAATCATTCACATCACTGGGAGTACAAATGATGTTAGTTATAAGAATTGTGTTGTTTCATATATTGCTATTGTCTGTTTGTCAATTTACAGTTTGTTTATTTGATTGTATGTCTGTTTGATGGTTTGTTTGCTTTCCTGGCATAAATGTATCTATTTTATAACAATAAAGATACATCACAAAAAAAGTATAAGAATGTCCCCAAAATACTTCTTTATGTTTGGAGTGGGTTTGAACTCTGACCTGCCACCGAAGTGTGACAGGAAATCACATGTCCATGCATTTTAATGCAGGCATGCCTTTAGGGTGTTATTCAGTCCTAATTTTTAAACAATAGTATTCCTGGAAATTGTACATAGGGAATCATTTGATTGGCGTTGTTTTCAGACTTTCCTTTCTGAATTGTAATGTGGCTATCTTACGTAACCTTTGTAAGAGTTGCTAAGAAATAAACACCTTTTCTCCACCCATGCTATCAAGACAAGGTGGATCATAACCAATTATACTGTTTTGGTATTCTAGAATTCATCCCTACTGTGAATTTTCCCACAACCTGTGAAAATCGTCAGTGACTGTAGTCAGTTAATATACACTGGCAAGCTGTGTCTCTGAAGAAGCAAAGTATCTCCTTTATGGTCGCACAGATAAGAAGAAGACTTAAACAGGCTGACTTTCCACTGTTATACAGTGGTACCTCGGTTTATGAACTTAATTCGTCCTGGAGGTCCGTTCTTAAACCAAAGCCGTTCTTAAACTGAGGCGTGCTTTCCCTAATGAGGCCTTCCGCCGCCGGTGCCCTTCCACCGTTCGGCTTCCGTTCGTAGACCGAGGTAAAGTTCGCTAACCAGAACACTACTTCCAGTTTTGCGGAGTTCTTATACCGAATAGTTGGTAAACAGGGCCATAGCTGTCAACGTTTCCCTTTTTTAAAGGGAAATTCCCTTATTCCGAATAGGATTCCTCGCAAGAAATGGGAAAAGTTGACAGCTATGAACAGGGCTGTTCTTAAACCGAGGTACCACTGTATTGCAAAAGGCAAAGATGGTCATAGTGGAAGGAGAGAGGAGTATCACTTTGTTTATGCTGACAGCCCTATATGCCTGGCACCAGCAATTGTAGTGGAAACCAATTCAGTTTAATACAAGGAATGCCAATAAGACTCGTGTGTCTATGGCAGAAAGCCACAACCTGGGAAGGAAGAAAAAGAGACTGATAAACAGCAAGGAGAAGAAATGACTCGGAAATCAATCAAGCTGTCAGAGAAGTGAACACTTCAATATGTTCCAAACTAACATACCCCATTTGTACCCCTGGCCTAAACTACAAATACTTTTGCCCTGTCATGATGAAGTTTGAACTAAAAGCTAAAAGACAAAAATAAGCCCTGTGAAACTTAATACAGATTGCCAAGACAGCATGTTGCTTTGAAGTTAACACATTCCCATCGTCTATTAACTCCATTAACGTAGTATAAGATTGCACATGGAAGACCGAGAACAGCTGGCTTGCAGCCTTCAGAGTCAATTTATTAAGTAATAACATGTCAGACATCCCCTTACGTAACCCTTTTGCACGGGTGTTAAAACATAAACAAAAAAAGTACAAAAACAAGGTTATACCAAACCTTCGGTTTGGCCAGTTCTGAGGTTCATTTGCAACAGCAAAGCTATTCTGTGCTTGGGTTACAGCCGTGGATGTTTCCCTGCTGCATCTCTAGACTAAAATTGGGTGCTTCATGGCAGACATGCAAAAATCTGAATCTTGCACATTAGAGGGTCATAAATCATAGCACAGCTTACTCAGGTTGCAAGCTTGTGTTTAAGCAGCTGGACCAGCCAAGACGAAACAGGGAAAACTTTTTAAAAGTTAATTTGTGGCTTGATAGAACAAACTGATGCTCCTGGTTCATGCTATTTGACTGTGGGCATACGCAGGATACCTAGGGACGCGGGTGGCGCTGTGGGTTAAACCACAGAGCCTAGGACTTGCCAATCAGAAGGCTGGCGGTTCGAATCCCCGCGACGGGGTGAGCTCCCGTTGCTCCTTCCCTGCTTCTGCCCACCTGGCAGTTCGAAAGCACATCAAAGTGCAAGTAGATAAATAGGTACCACTCCGGCAGGAAGGTAAATGGCATTTCCGTGCACTGCTCTGGTTCGCCAGAAGCGGCTTAGTCATGCTGGCCACATGACCTGGAAGCTGTACGCCGGCTCCCTCGGCCAATAAAGCGAGATGAGTGCCACAACCCCAGAGTCGGTCACAACTGGACCTAATGGTCAGGGGTCCCTTTACCTTTACCTTATACGCAGGATGCTAGTATTAAAGGTTCGGGGGTAATTTATTACCACTTCCAATAGCCACAGATTTGATGGTCACTTCAAGCGTATTGTTCCCTTTTGACCTGCACAGCTGACACTTAGACTGAGCTTTTTAGTCTCTTCCTGGAGCAACTTGGAGAATCTTGGAAGACACATGTCCCATGTGCTGTAGCATCAAGGTGTACAGTGGTACCTTGGTTTAAGAACAGCTTAGTTTATGAACAACTTGGATTAAGAACGCTGCAAACCTGGAAGTAGGTGTTTCGGTTTGTGAACTTTGCCTTGGAAGCAGAACATGTTCCGCTTCTTGTTGAGTGTGTTCCATTTGTAAATTGAGTTCCCCGCTGCTATGGGAAAGCACGCCTTGGTGTGAGAACGCTTTGGTTTAAGAACGGACTTCCGGAACGGATTAAGTTCGTAAACCGAGGTACCACTGTATATAACTTTTCCTCACTTAAATGCTTTATTCCTGATCTGTTGTTATAGGGTTGCCATATTTCAAGAAGTACAAATCCAGACACAGTTGCTCCAAAAAGTTGCTGAGCTTTCCTTGTTTTTTTGGACAATCGTCCAAATTTGCGATTGACAACAGCGGACATTGGGGTGGCGAGAGGGCTTCCAAAATCACCGTCTAGGAGGCAACAAGGAAGCAGCCACTCAACAGCGCTTTTGCTTCCGCTGGAGAACAGACAAAATCCCAGACATTTACTATTCAATTGAATTTCCCCCCAGGGCGCCAATTTAGCCCCACCCCCCTGACATTACCGGAATTTTCCGGTATATATGGCAACCCTGTCTGTTATCGTTGAGAGCAAATTATGAAAGCTTTTCCTGTGCTTGGTACCATTGAAATAACGGATGAATTCAGGTAGAGTCAGGGGAGGGAATCAAAGGAACGGGTACAAGTGAGTATAGGATGGAGAAAAGTAACCCAAATTTCTAACCTACATTTATTTAAGCTGCCGCCCATTGCACCCCCACAGAGCAGAGGCGGGGGCAGAGGAAGAGGTAACAACATGCCTAAAACACAGCAGCATTATGACATATTAAACCACACTCATCATTTAACCCAAGATCTCACAAGATTTCTGTGGAAAAGGGCCTGTCTTGATCAAGTTTTGATGGGCTTTTAAACAGAAAGCAAAGCTGAAGAGCTGGAGAAGAATATTGCGGGAACCCGGGGCAGAGGCAGGTATCAAGCAACTCAGAGTGCAACCTATCAGAAAAACGTTGGATTTTTTTAGTTTTTGGTATCCCATTCTGTTTTTCTTTGTCTGCAGTGTGCATACACATGTCTGTCTACCTTTGCCCATTTGCTCAGAAGTCTAATTGCTGCCCTACGAACTTCAGTTATTAACCTTTTTTTAAAAAAAAAGGGGGGGAGGGGAAACGTTTCAGTTCAAAGAAGACCGAGAAAGAATAATTCAAACATTTATTTTATTTCAGTATTTCCAGGTTGCTTCTCAGAGTTACCCAAATGACTGGGGCAGGGCTGGGAAAACTGGATGTAACTTCAGGACTTGGCAAATATGCCAAAGAGATGGCAGACTTTCTCAGTGAAGAGATACTACTTTTAAACTCATGAGTACACGCTGTATCTCTTTGGTTTTAGGTTCACCAGTTACACAAGAAGGGGGAATGGTATGTGTTTCCTTTTGTTTCAGGGACGGAAGGCAGTGAGGCCCAGTCACAGCAGTGCTGAATCCTAGATTTCATCTTTTTTTTTGGAAAAAAAGGGATAGTCCTCAATTCTGCCCTTGAAAAGACCACAAAAATGTGAAACAGAGATGAGCTACTCTCAATGTTATCGCTCCCTCAGTATGCCATGGGTCCTTTTTTTTGCGATGAGATCTATTACAGTGGTTCCTTGGTTTACATATGCTTCAGGTTACATACGCTTCAGGTTACAGACTCCGCTAACCCAGAAATATTACCTCGGGTTAAGAACTTTGCTTCAGGATGAGAACAGAAATCGGGCTCCGGTGACGCAGCAGCAGCAGCAGCAGCAGCAGGAGGCCCCATTAGCTAAAGTGGTGCTTCAGGTTAAGAACAGTTTCAGGTTAAGTACGGATCTTCGGAACAAATTAAGTACTTAACCTGAGGTACCACTGTATTAATATGCAGGTTGGGAGTGTGTGTGTGAACCACGTACTCCTTGGAGGAAAAGCTGGGTTATAAATGCAAAAAATAAGCTCTACTACTTAAGGAAACTGGAGGGGCAAGCCAGATGGAGATGTCAGTCGCCAACCTGGCAACCAGAGATCTCCCTGGGGCCACAATTGGACCCACGCCAGTCGCAAAAACGCACCTGGCGCCTGGCTAATTTTGAACACTGGACTGTGTCCTGTGGAGTCTGTCAGAGGGGAGGGGGATAGAAAGTAAGAAGGAGTCCCCCCGCTGCACAAAACATCTGGCTGTAAAACCTATAAAGCCTTGGATGGCTCAGGACCGCAATACCTGAAGGGCCGCCTCTTTCTATATGAATCTACCCGGACCCTGAGACCATCTTCTGAGGCCTTCCTTCATGTGCCTCCTCTTCGAGAGGTCTGGAGCGTGGCTCCCATCTGTGGAATGCTTTTCCCAGGGAAGGTCGCCTGGTGCCTTCATTATACACCTTTAGGCGCCAGGCAAAAATGTTCTTTTTTAACCAGGCTGTTGGTTGATCTGATTTACATCCTATGCCCTTTTAAAATGTGTGGGGGGTTTTTGTTGTTGGAGGGGGGGGGGGGCTACTGGTTTGTTGTTTTTATTTTTACTATGTATTTTGTGGTTTTTTATTTTGATTTTATTCTGTGAATTGCCCTGAGACCCCCGGGTATAGGGAGGTATATAAATTCAATCAATCAATCATTCAATCAATCAATCAATGGCTGGTGGTTCGATCCCCACCCAGGAAGGGCTGGATTCCTGCACTGCAGGGAGCTGGACTAGATGACTAGACGACCCCTGGGGGTCCCTTGCAACTACTCACCTTGCCACAACCCGGCGGCCCCCAGAGGATGAACGAGGGGATTTCGTGCACTTCCAGCAGGGAGCGCAGGAGCGTCCGTTCGCCCAGCGCCTGATCCTGCCCCACGTAGTCTTCCAGGACGCTGGGCCGCAGCTTGTCCGCCAGGGGCTTCCCTTCCAGCTTTCGGGCCAGGCTTTCCAAGCCCAGCTCGGAGCCACGCGCACCGGAGCCCCGATGATCCTCCCCGTCCGGCTGTTTCTCTCCCGTTTGCGCCCGGGATGGAGATGGAGACGGGGCGGCAGCAGCAGCAGAGGCGCCCCGAGGTGTCCCGGAGCTCCTGGCCTTGTGGAAAAGGGAGAACAGCGGGGCTGAATCGGGTCTACCCATCCCCGCGCGCTCTTCCCCGCTGCTCCTCTCCGGGGAGTTGGAGAGGCGAATTTTCTTCCGGCAAGACGCGCCCATCCCCGCGTCCTTTGGGCTGCTGCTGCTGCTGCCGTCGATGCCGCTTCGCTCCGCATCCTCTGGGACTTCGCTGCCTCCCGCTTCGCTTTGCTGCTGCAAACATCTGTCCAGATGTGAGTTGATGCAGCTGGCGGGGAGCTCCCGCAGGCAAACGGGGCAGCTCACGAAAAGCTCTTCCTGCGCGCCCGCTCCTTCCATTTCCAGGGCCAAGGAAAGAGAGGGGAATCCCACGGAATTAAGGCTGGCCCCTTGGCTTCTCCCCCTTTCCTCTTGAGCGCACCCGCTTTAGGGATCCTCTCCAAGAAGACAGAGATCCAAAACAGCCAAAACGAAACCAGAAGTTGAGCTATAGAAACATGCCCGGGCAGGAAGAGGAGAAAAGTCAACACCTCCTTTCGCGACAAACCCAGCGGGCTGTCGGGAATCGTAGTTCTTTATGCGGGAGGAGCGTAAAGGTCCTGCCATAGCTGTCAACTTTTCCCTTTTTTAAAGGGAAATTCCCTTATTCCGAATAGGATTCCTCGCAAGAAAAGGGAAAAGTTGACAGCTATGGGTCCTGCCGGGCTCGACTGAAGTTGGATCCGAGCTTGAGAGGCGGACGGAAAATGCCATAATCGCTAACATTTGTTGTGCATAATGTGCACAGCCTTTAATACAAATTAGACATACCTTTTACACATTACAGCGGTACCTCGGGTTACATATGTTTCAGGTTACATACGCTTCAGGTTACAGACTCTGCTAACCCAGAAATAGTGCTTCAGGTTAAGAACTTTGCTTCAGGATGAGAACAGAAATCGCGCAGCGGTGGCACGGTGGCAGCAGGAGGCCCCATTAGCTAAAGTGGTGCTTCAGGTTAAGAACAGTTTCAGGTTAAGAACGGACCTCCGGAACGAATTAAGTACTTAACCCGAGGTACCACTGTACTCGCCTCAGTACAGGGGATTTGGCGGTTGTGAAAGCTTTTGTACACTAAGCATCATCCTCGTGATTATTAGAGATCAGGCCCTAAGGAATCTCCGTAGTCAAAGACTACAAATTAAAGTGCAGTTGTGCCTGCTTTTGAAACACTGTGTTTTGTGGCAATCGATTGAAGATTTGCTCAATAGACACATGCAGGTCTGGCTGCTATGTTGTTCTGAATACATGGCTTTGCTGGGTGCTAAGTTTGCCGCCATGTAAACACATTCTGTTTGTTTCCTTTTATTGCAGACAACAGACAGGAGATATTGGGGGCCACTCCTATTCGGTACTTTACGGAACCATGATGGAGAAACACGTAGTAGCTTACCATTCGAAAATCTATAAGATCAACCGGATGGATGAAATGAACACGCGGTATTACAACAGCCGGGAGGACACCATGGCATTCTTCCAAAAATTGGAGAAAGTCAAAAGCGAAGAAGAGGTATGTGAAGATTACATAATGTGTGTGCGCGCACGCACACACACACACACACACACACAGAATCATCCATTCACACACAGAATGAAGTAAACACTTGTGTGCGTATAAAATGTTACAAAATATTGGTCTGCTTTCTGTGGCATCAGATGGTTGTTGAACAGAGAAGAATGTTCGTGAACATATTATCTTCTTGGAAATATAAAATTATTCCAAGCAGGTCCTGGCCAATACATTTTGGTGCCTGAGGCGAACCACAAAATGATGCCTCCCTCACCATCAGGGAAGAAGGGAGTAAGTGAAGATGTACGCCAGGAACATCTTCTGCCAGTGTGGCTCCTGCTGCCTCAGGCGGTCGCCTCATCTTGCCTCGTGGCCAGTCTCGATTCAAAGGCTGATTTGGCTAAGGATAGTCAAAAAGTTGGTCCACTTGATGATTCCTAGGGTAGAAGATGTCATGTTGCACATGGGTGTAGGATTGGAGTAAGGCTGTGATGGTTTGAAAGTGGTGTATAAACAATTTCAGTAAATGAATACAGTTGAAAGCAGTTGGATTAGTTGAGGGAGGCGACAGGACTGAGAGTTTATGGTTTCCATATTGCCTGTGTGAAAGTTTTCAAAGGACTGAAATAAAAGGTGTTATGAGGTTTTGAGGTGTCTTACAATGTACGACCACATGATTATGACTGTATGTGATTATGTCTGTTTTGAAACCAGCAGGAGTGTTTCAGACCATGTGGCCTTGTGTTTGTGTTAGAAAACTGTACACTGGTACCTTGGTTCCCAAACGGCTTAGTTGACAAACAAATTGGCTCCTGAATGCTGCAAACCCGGAAGTAAGTGTTCCGGTTTGCTAACGTTTTTTTGAAGCCAAATGTAAGGTTTTAAACATATAGGCATTGCCCCCATGTTTTATTGCTGCGAGTGACTGGACAAATCCTTGTGCGTAAATTTGGTGCAAAAGGATTGTGCAGTCTAAGATTACAGTTTTTAAGGTTGCTGACAGGAGGTTTGTTTTGTACATTTTCGGTTGTTTCAAAGGGCAAAGGAAGTAATTTTTAAAAATCTTTGCACTTGGCTAATTGTGGAGGGTCTCTGAAATTAATCTCATACAAGGAGCAATTGCACAACTTTCCTCTAGGTGGAAGTCTCCTCCACGTTGAGCACTCCGCAAAATACTGTCCTCCTTCTCCTGTCCACTTTTTGCTATATTAAAGGGAATCATGCAGGAGCAGTGATGGCAAATTTCACCTGTGGCTTTAATTAGTTAAAAATAGGTTTCATTGAGAAAAGAAAAAGCCCTGCATGGTTACTTCCAAGTACATGTATTGTGTTTGGATCGAGGTATTGACTGCTAGGTTTCAAACTGTATTTCATATGTATTTCCTTTCTACATACAGCCATATTTGGGTCAGAACTTTCATATTGCTTAAATTGGGGTTGGGGCAACAGGACAGAGAACCCAGGTAAGCGCTGCACTCCTGAAGCTTCTCACCACTTAGAGAAATTGGAAACAGGCAGCAGTACTTTCACGCACAAAGCCTGAAAAACACCCTGATCAGCTTGAACACTGACCGCTTGGCAGATTGGCTTTCCAAACCATGCAGTTACAAACTTTAGCCAGTGCTATCACTAATTTGCACCCCGACTGCAGACCCTCCAAATGTCCCTTTTTCCAGGGACAATCCTGGATTTACAGAAGCTGTCCCAGTTTCCAATTTGATCCCAGAATGTCCCGCTTTTCCTTAGGATGTCCCTATTTTTGTCAGAGAAATGTTGAAGGGTATGGTTGTTGTTGTTGTTTAGTCGTTTAGCTGTGTCCAACTCTTCGTGACCCCATGGACCAGAGCACGCCAGGCACTCCTGTCTTCCACTGCCCGCAGTTTGGTCAAACTCATGCTGGTAGCCTCGAGAACACTATCCAACCATCTTGTCCTCTGTTGTCCCCTTCTCCTTGTCTCTTTCCCAACATCAGGGTCTTTTCCAGGGAGTCTTCTCTTCTCATGAGGTGGCCAAAGTATTGGAGCCTCAGCTTCAGGATCTGTCCTTCCAGTGAGCACACAGGGCTGATTTCCTTCAGAATGTATAAGTTTGATCTTCTTGCAGTCCATGGGACTCTCAAGAGTCTCCTCCAGCACCATAATTCAAAAGCATCAATTCTTCAGTGATCAGCCTTCTTTATGGTCTAGCTCTGGGAAAACCATAGCTTTAACTATACGGACCCCTCAGCCAATAAAGCGAGATGAACGCCGCAACCCCAGAGTCGGCCACGACTGGAGCTAATGGTCAGGGGTCCCTTTACCTTTTTATATTGGCCATTGCCCAATTTCAACATTTAACATATGTAACAGATTTCCACCCCTTGTTTTGATGTCTCTGCCCTCCACCCACACCCAAGTCCCTTGCATCTCCTTGCATCTTTCCCCCCTCTCCTCCCTTTTCAGCTCTTAGAGGGATAGAAAACGCAAGAGCAGATAGCTTGCAGCAGAAGTTAGGAACTGCTGAGGTTGATGCTCGCAGCCCTGGCCCATTTGAGAATGTCAGATGAATTATCTTCCAAGCGAGGCTCTGCCCGTCTTCTCTGCACCTGTTTCGTGCTTGTCACTGAGCCATCACGTTGCTTCCCTTATAGGTCCGATCGAGTTTGCCGGTGGATTCCTTCCAGCCGGCAGCTTATCCATGCCTTCCATAGCTAGGTAGTGCTGGCTGGGCTGAGCAAGGCCACTGAATGAGCCCGGCAAAATTTCCCTAGCAATGCCCCAAACCTGCCCCCAATGCTAAAACATCCCCACCCATCCCAAAATGGGTCTCCTTTCGAAAGGAAAAGCTGTCTGGATCGCTGGTTGCTTCTGCTTCTTAGCCTCATTCCTTTGGCACGTGCTGTGGACTCTCTTACTAAACCATGGAAGCAAGAGAAAGACCGAAGTATCTGCAGACACACAGGTAGCTGAAAGGCTTTTGAGGAGGGTGGATACATTTCAATAGCAGGCTTGCCGTTTGATACAGAGTCAACTGTTGATAGTTCGCAAAAACAGGTTATGGTGTCCAGGCAACATTCTCTTTATATGCTTTAAAGATTTTCCTAAGTGTATATCTTCTTTTAGGCTTGCTGTATTTGAAAAACTGATAAAAATGCAATTTTAGAAACTGGAAGAAGGGGACAAAATAGAAGTGCAAGATGATGTATTCTAGAGTTATATAATAGGTTGGTGTAGAATTCTAGGCCAGTGGCATATTTTGTCTTCACATTTTGAAAGGTTGCATCCTTCCACCTTCATGGCCATCCTAAATTCTCATTGATCCATGAAACATCCTCTAGTGACCTCTGCTGGGAGAGACAATCTTTGTAGTTAGCTAACCTGTTACTTGTACCATTCATTATCAAGTCAACCCACTATTTGAACCCTCCATCCGTTGGTATGCATGTTTTTGTCTCCTACGTTCTCTCCCCTGAAAAGTATTTACAATCGAACTTCTCCATCCCAACAGGCAAATTTCCATTATTTTACCCATTATTTGGTAGAGAGATCACCATGTATTCTCTTTTCCCTCTCCATTTCCCCAGGCAGGAACAGATTTCCCATAGGATCAATTCATATTTGATGATTGCAAAATAATGGTTTTATAGATGAATGCATATATTTATTTTTATTCCTCAGTTAAGGACTCAAAGCTGGCCTTAGCATGTGTAAGATTATTCAGTTAGGAAAAAAATGTAAGCATGGTTTTACTAGTGGTGATGGAACAGAGCAAATATAGGTGGAATAACACTCCTCTTTTGCGATCAAGTACATACCTTGGAAATGCTCCTTTGCCCAGTGTTGTCATTGGAGGCACAGCTGGCCTTCCAACTCTGGCTGGTTCACCAGTCATGGTTGTCCTTGGACCAAGATAGTCTGGAATCAGTAACCCATGCTCTGATGACCTTGCACTTGGATTGTTGTTTTATGTGCCCTACATAGCGTTGTCCCTAAAGGCTGCCTAGAAGTGGTGAAGAATGTGGCTGCCTAGTTCCTCATTGGAACAGCCAGACTGGAAGGTGTAATACCTATCCTAAATAAGGTAAAGGTAAAGGGACCCCTGACCATTAGGTCCAGTTGTGGCCGACTCTGGGGTTGCGGCGCTCATCTCGCTTTATTGGCCGAGGGAGCTTCCAGGTCATGTGGCCAGCATGACTAAGCCGCTTCTGGCGAACCAGAGCAGCGCACAAAAATGCCGTTTACCTTCCCGCCGGAGTGGTACCTATTTATCTACTTGCACTTTGACATGCTTTCGAACTGCTAGGTGGGCAGGAGCAGGGACCGAGCAATGGGAGCTCACCCCGTTGCAGGGATTCAAACCTTCTGATCGGCAAGTCCTAGGCTCTGTGGTTTAATCCACAGCGCCACCCACGTCCCGCATCCTAAATATTATCCTAAATATTAATAATATAATAATAATTTATTACCTTTGGCCTGGCCTCCCCAGCCACTCTGGGCGGCTCCCAACAGAATATTAAAAACATGATTAAAAAAATCGAACATTGAAAACTTCCCTAAACAGGGCTGCCTTCAGATGTCTTCTAAAAGTCAGATAGTTGTTTATTTCCTTGACATCTGATGGGAAGGCCCTCTGCCTGGTTCCCTGTAACCTCACTTCTAAATGCACTGGATTGACTGCCTCTGGGCTACCAAACCTGGTTCAAGGTGCTGGCAAGGCCCTAAATATTTCAGGTATTTATAGGAGCACCTTTTTCAGTGCCAGTCAATTCGATCCTTGAGATAAGCATCATGGCGCTCCAAGATTGCACAGTATGGGGATGGATGAAAAAGTCTTCCCCGTGGTGGAATTCAAACTTTGGACTAGGTAGAGAGGTATGTGTATCTTTTGTTTTGACTGACAGATCCAGTTTTTAATCACAGTGAAATATTATTCCAGGACACCTCCTATAATCCCTAGGGAGCAGGACTAGTGGTCAGGATGGTGAGTGTGGTGTTCCAAGAACATCTGGTGACCCAGTTTGAGAAACACTGAATTTCAACCAATAGCCCATTTAGCTCGTATCAGTTGCAGCTCTTCTTGTGATGTGGGGAGTGACAGATGCCATTGAAGATGGTTTTTGTGAAGCCCTCATGGTTTCAAAGAGACTTATCCTTCAGGGTTTGAAGGATAAACTCCCAGCATCCACCACTCAGCTGGTCTGAAGACCTTCCTGTCCTTTGCACATTTGAACGTGTCTAATATACATATTCTACAAAGTTGTTTGTCAGTTTGCTATGCGTTTGGACACCCCTTAAAATATAACCAAATTTTGCATGATGGTTTCTGAGACCAAGGAGCAGGCTTCTGTAAATATATGGTAGTTGGACGCCACTTGGAATCAAGATGGCAGAATGAACCGTTCAAAACTGCACTGCTTTTTTTGTGTGTGTCTTAGAATTCCCAGGCAATGTTGAATATGAAGCTGCTTGTATCTCATCAATCCCATTTGGCTATCTATCTGGGCACATGGACTACTAATAGTAATACATATGTTTACGTTAGAATTGAGGGAATACTTTTATTGCTAATGTGATCTGGCAATACTTCTTCCGTTGTTCTTTTGTCGTATTCGCGAAATATAAATTTATTATTATTATTATTATTATTAAGTAAGGGAGTCACACTTGTGTTATATTTTCTTTCTAATTCTGCTGTGTTATAGCTTCCAAGTTAGGCTGGAACTGTCCAGCGGCTGCTCTTACAGTCATACTTCAGGTTACAGATGCTTCAGGTTGCATTTTTTCGGGTTACAAACCGCCAAAACCTGGAAGTACCAGAACAGGTTACTTCCAGGTTTTGGCAGTCACGCATGCGCAGGAGTGCCAAATTGCAACCCGCGCATGCGCAGACACACCACTGCGGGTTGCGAATGCTGCAGGTTGCGAACGTGCATCCCGCACAGATTATGTTCGCAACCCAAGCGTCCATTGTACATGCAAACCTTCCACCCATTTTGATAGTTATTGCACCTTCGTGTGCCCATCCAAATTTCTTGGAGATTTCTGCCATTTCCATATTGATTCTCTGGCATGGCTTATATGCTGGGCCATATAAGAAGGGGCATTACGAGATCATTAACTATGGCTGTATCCTAAAGCCAACAGCATTTTTATTTTTCATGGCTTCTCTGCAACAGTGAAGTAAAAACATACTCTCCAAGTGTCCCGGTTTTCCAGGAACAGTCCTGGAATTACAGAAGGCACGCTGGTTTCTGATTTGACCTTGGGATGTCTCTTTTCCCCCTTTTCCCTCCCCTCCACGTCTTGGATAACAATTAAAAATGGTGTGTGTGTGTGTTTGTGTGTGTGTAGTTACAAAAACGGAATCCTATTTATGCGGAAAATAAAATCCCTGCACCAAATGAATGAAGCTGCTATACGAATCCCTTTCTATAATTTTGAAGGAAAAGGTCATCAATCCACTTTAAATTCTTTAATTGCGATGCTTCAGCAGCCAGCCATTTATTAGGAAACTCGGGGAGCGTTGATTCATTTATTGTAAATGGAGCCCTATTATTATTACATCCTGCCTTTTTCCCTGACAGGGACTCAAGGCAGCTTACTGCTAAAATGTTATTTCATTTCATTTATCTGTGGAAGGTGTTGCACATGATATTTCCTCTCACACGTTTTTCTTTACAACAATTCTGCAAGGTAGGTTGGGCGCCGAGGTTGTAATTGGCTCAAGGTGACCGATGTAGATGTGTATATGATGCATAGCTGTCAACTTACAGATTTGAAAATAAGGGACCAGCAGCCTTGAAAATAAGGGATCAGCAGCCTCGAAAATAAGGGATCAGCAGCCAAAATAAGGGATCAACAATTACTTTGATAAAATATATATTTTGTTGCGTGCAAATGGCTTTAGATACCTATTAGGTCCATAAATTACCATATAGCATATATTCAACACAAAAAACAGCAACAATTTGTTGTTGACAAAGGACAGCTGGACATAGAAGGGGCCCCATTACCTTCAGTAGCTTATTTAAGGGACATCATCAATAAGGGACAGCAGCGGGACATGGCGCTGGGATAAGGGACTGTCCCGCCAAATAAAGGACACTTGACAGCTATGATATGATGTCTTTGTGTGTGGTGAGATCAAATGTGGGAGAAACTTCCTGAGGAACAATAGGATGTTCCTTATATTCTTTGGAGCAATGTTGGGTGGGTATTAAAAAATAAATGCTTTAACCAAGCATTTAAACCACCCAACCGTAAGCCACCCAACTTGGCCAACAAGACTCAAAGAAATGAAATCAGTCTCAAAGGCCCACATTGTGAGAAAGAGAGAATGTGTACATTTTGATTCAGTTAAGTACAGCTTGCTAGAAAGGCGGATTGTGACACAGGTCCCAGCATATGCGCTTGTCAATCAAAAGAAAGACGTGTTTCTCACATTGCTTGAGGCTTGGCATCTGTTTCCTCTTACATGTCGCACTTGCTATGTGTTAGCCACTTGTCTGCTGAATAAAAATAAGATCTAAGAATTTGTTAATTAGTCCCACCAGATCTGGATGTCTGTGTACGAGCACTTCATTACTCTCTCTTTTCATATTACTCTTGATTCTTATCTGGTTACAGTCAACGACCTTGAAGGAAACCTGACCCCATAGCTACATTCCAAAGTCACAAAGGGTAGCACAACATTCAGCAAATGCCATTAATTCCTTAATTAATGTGTGTGTGTGTGTTCTACGAGCCACGGTATTTTCAAACACTGTTTCTGACTCGTGCCAATCATAGAAATGTTCCTTCTGGAATTGCATCTTGTAATATTAACTTGTTTGTGTTGGATGCATTTATGATAGATAGAAAGGGCAATGAACAGTGACCACCATTGACCAAACTGCAATTAGTGATGCCACAGAAATGTGTAGTTCAGGCATAGGCAAAGTCGGCCCTCCAGATGTTTTGGGACTACAACCCCCATCATCCCTAGCCCACAGGACCAGTGGTCGGGGATGATGGGAGTTGTAGTCCCAAAACATCTGGGGCCCCGAGTTTGCCTATGTCTGGTATAGTTAATCAGTTTGGAGGCCAAAAAATGACCGGTTCAAAAATGACCAGTCTTTTTGTACAAATTTTGTATGTTGGGAGAATTGCATCACAACATTTGGAGAAATGCAGATGTTAAAAACTAGCATCAATGTACCGCATTTTTCACTCTATAGGACGCACTTTTCCCCCTTCAAAAATTAAGGGGAAGTGTGTGTGCGTCCTATGGAGCGAATGCAGGCTCCTTGGCTTCAGCGATAGCAACGTGAAGCCTCCGAAGCACAGAGGGAGCGCTCCCTCCGCGCTCTGGAGGCTTCGCGTTGCTTTCACTGAAGCCTGGAGAGAGAGGGGGGTTGGTGCGCACTGACCCCTCTCGTTCTCCAGGCTTCAGGGATAGCCGCCTGAAGCCTCCGGAGTGCAGCGCGAGTTCCCGCTGCGCTCCGCAGGCTTTGGGTTCCTTTTGCTGAAGCCAGGAGAGCAAGAAATGGAAGGGGCTCCGTTTCTCCTGCCGCTTCGCTGAAGGGGCACTGAGCAGAGAGGAGGAGAATTTTTTTTCTTGTTCTCCCCCTCTAAAACAATGTGCGTCCTATGTTCGGGTGCGTCCTATGGAGCAAAAAATATGGTCTTTGATACTTTACAGAATTACTTAGTCAAAAATAGACAGACCCTGCCCACAAGGAGCTTACAATCTAGAATAGACAAAGTTGAAATCAACAAACAGAGGGGAGGAAGATATTAGTTTACGACGAAGATGGATATGAACCAACCTCTTTAAAAAACAGATTACATTTGCATGTGAGGATTAAAATGATAAGCATGGTACAACCACGTACATTGTAGTGGCAGTGGGAAACTCCCCATATTCATTGAGTACTTCACATTTATGAGAGTCAAAGGACCCCTATATCTTCCTGCACAAGATTGCTTTGTTTATTTAAAGAAACAACCAATATATCCATACCACTATCGGCCTGACTCTCATTTGCATTGCAGCACTTCTGGCAGCCAAAAGAGACCTTAAAATGAACTTTGCTCTCGTTTACACCCACTTTAAATCCCTTTTACATTGCCAGAAAATGAAGAGGCTTTTATATAAAGTATCTGAGAATGTCCCTGGCCCCTCATTGAATGGGTTAGTCTCATTTCATTCATCATTCGTATTTTGGTAGAGTGATTCTTCCTGTCATCTGACTGGGTTACCTGCGCATGTGGAAGAGCTAGGTCAGTTTTCATCTGTTAATGATAATGTGTGTTGGATGTTAACAGTTGGTGTGGGTCTCTTCTACCACATTATGTGTAGCTTAAGTGTCAAAACTCTGAAAACCTTTGAGCAGCAAGGCTTCATGCCATTGTAATGTCTATTTCTTAATGCACTTGAGAATTCCATTCATCTTTTAAAATAATTGGGTGGGGTTCAAAAATTCTTTATCCTCAGACATATTTTTTTTTTACAAATTTCCATCAACGCAGCATATTGTGATGCTGAGTAAATTCAGGCAAATAGTATTAATTGCTATGGATTTGGTGTTTTTGAGTGTTAGCTGCAATAATCAGCGCATTCCTGGCAGCTTAGTGTATAGATAAATTTCAAAAATGCAAAATGTTGTGCTTGTTTTCTACAGAGAAAACTATACTATCCCTTTAATTCACTTGAATTGACGTTGTGTACTATGTAGCGTTTCGAATGCTTAGGATACGACTGCACACCCTCCAACATTTCTCCGATTAAAATAGGGACGTTCCCATTCCATAATGATAATTTTACTATTTATACCCACACATCTTATTGGGTTGCCCCAGCTCCTTGGAGGAAAAGGTGCGAGATAAATGAAATAAACGAATGAGTTAACATACCCTCCAACATTTCTCAGATGAAAACAGGGATGTCCTATTTCATAACAACAACTAATATTTTATTATTTACACTCTATCCATCTGAATGGCACTCTGGGCAGCTTCCAACATATGTGAAAACATAATTAAACATTAAAAAGCTACCATACAGGGCTGCCTTAGATTCTGATGCCATCTAAAGTTACTTATCTTCTTGGCTCGGGGGGGGGGGGTTGCTTCCCAACTGCCCATGTTTTAATTAAATCTTATGTCAAGATTTAATTGCCAGTCTGGTTAACTTTTGTACATGGAATGGGGAAGACATATTTTCCTTTGTGCCAGGCAGTGAATTGTCTTGGGTGGGGACCCACATGTTGTGGGGAAGGAGGGGGGAAATTGACTTTGCCATGGCTACCGGTACATGGACAATGAAGTCTGTTAGCAAACAGAGGAAGGTAAACTGCTCTGAGTTCATGAATGCCAGCATCAAATAGAGAAGCAGCCTGACAGGAACTTGGGAAGGAAACATTAAGGTTGCAGTGACCTCCAGTGGTGAAAAAATATCCTAAGGATAATGGTTTGTTGACATCTGAAGCCATGTACAGAACAGGACAGAACTTTTCAGCTGTATTAGGGATTTTCTGACCCGAGAGTAACAGTGGAGCTTACTTTCAAGTAAATGTGTATAGGATTGTACTGCTGTTGTGTTTTCGTGTGATTGCTGGTTTCACTTTTTCTTTGAGTCTTGTTTTGTGTGGTGATGCTGGGATATATGATTTTAAAAAGTATAAACTTACAACAAAAAACAGTTCCGAATCCAAATATTGAAATTGCTGTGAACCTCCTGACTTCCCCCCATTCCTTCCGTGGTGATGTTGGGGATATATATATGAGAATGATTTTAAAAAATATAAACTTACATAAAAAAACAGTTCCGAATCCAAAGATTGAGATTGCTCTGAATCTCCTGACTTCTCTCCATCCCTTCCATGGGTCTTAACGGTATTATTTACAACTGCATATCAATACTTATCCAAATATGAAATCCTTCTAAATTATCCATGCTTTCCATTACTTTGCAAGTGTGGTTAAAATCCTGCTGATGTTTTAACCTGCTTACAGTGGTCTCGTAAATCAATTATAAACTTTTCCCGTTCCTTGTTAAAGTTTTTGTCTTCTTGGTTATTTTGGTTTTTCGTTGTGTTTTGTAAATTTGTATTCTTTTATTTGATTCTGTAATCCATTTTGAAAGGTACGTGTAAAAGCATTGTATGAATTAATCAGTAATAAACAGAACACCAAAGACTGGCATCAGCACCCAAAATTCAAGTGCTTCAGAAATATCCACTAATGATGCCAAGGCTATCCCCCATCCCCATACTAGGCAGCTGAGTCTGAAAGCTGACTGCCATTTAAATTACTCACAATGCCCGCAGCATGCTGTCACTTCAGAGCACTGCGGAAAATATACCATGCCTTCTGTGGTCGCTTAATGTGGGGATGTGTTTCTTGGTCTGACCTTTTCTGCAGTTAAAGAAAATATTTATTATCATTCCAGCATACACCTGTATATAGGGAGTAAGAAATAGCAGAAAAAGGTTTAACTTCATGAGAAAACAAATATTATTTTTCTTAATATAAGGCCATGTGGGTATTTTCCATTGGTTGGAAAGCTAATGGAAGGAGATGTCTGCCTGTTTAAAAGCTTTTCATTCTGTCCTCCAGTCAGTGTAGAAATTCAGGGCAGTGCACAATTAGATAGATCGGACATGAAATGCAGAAATAAAATAACAGGAGGCAAATCTTAAAACGCTCACTAAGTTATAACAATGTATCTGTGAGGCAAGTTTCTATGTGGAGAGCTTTTTAGAGACAGGTTGCCACTACCAAAAAGGTCCTTCCCTTTGTTGCCACCAGTGCCGGATTTACGTATAAGCTATACAAGCTATAGCTTAGGCCCTGACTCTCTTGGGGCCCCCCAAAAAATGTAAAGAAAAAAATACAATTAGTTTGATAAAATACATATTTTGTTATGTGCAAATGGCTTTAGATACCTATTAGGTCCATAAATTACCATATAGCATATATTCAACACAAAAAACAGTGACAATTTGTTGTTGACAAAGAACAGCTGGACATATAAAGGGCCCTGTTACCTTCAGTAGCTTAGGGCCTCATCAAACCTAAATCCGGCCCTGGTTGCCACTTAGCATAATTCTGCTAAAAGTGCCTGAGGAAGGGTCTAGGTCTGGGTAGGATGATATGGGAAGAACCTGGCCTTCCGTTATTTGGCTTTTCTGTGAACAGAAAGAGGAGAAACTGGAACTTCCAGCCCACAGTAAATTGCAGCAGTGATGCAGATGAAATTCAGAGCCAAAACAGCAAAGTTACCAGCTAACATGGACTGTGTTGATCTACCTTGCCCATTAGATAAAAAGCATCTCTGTGCCGTGCAAAGTTGTGTGAAGGGTTTCATTGCAGTTTGTGTGCTAAGGATAAAGATAACTTGACACACGGTCAGGAACAAAACTAGGTGCAGCTTTAATTGCAGGTTTTATTATTTATATATATGTATGTGTGTGTGTGATGTAAACAGCAGTCACAGGAGAGTCCAAGTGGTTGTGGGATCACAGGGCATGAGGAGGGAGAGTTCAGTCCTTCCTCTCCTGCTATGGTTCTGGCTGAAACTAGCAACAAGCTGCTTTTTGCATCCCGCTGGGGGCGCAATTTTGACTGGGACCACCCTCCCCACTTCCAGGTTAATGCCACATCCTGTTTGGCCCTGAGGGAACGATCTGCACATTCATGCAAATCACCACTTACCTGCTGCCAAAGGCAAGTGAACATTGCTGATGGACAGGGACGAGTTGATGTCCTTAATCTCCCTGTCCTTTTGCTTGCATACTTTCATTTATACATCTGTTCCCTCCTCTGAGTAAGAACAGCCTGCCTGCTCCACCTCCCAGGTTATTGCTGGCAGGTCTTTGCAATGTATGTCTTTCCAAAAAGAGCATCTCCTGCAATTTAGTCAATTGATTTAAGTAGGGTAGTGCCATTGCAGGCACAAGGAAGAACAATGTGTGATATATAATATGCAGGGGGAACTTTAATGCTTTCGTTTGGTAGATAACTTGATCAGGTATAATAAACTAGATTTTCACTAGGCTGGAAAAATAATAATCCATCTATGGCTTAGCAGGAGAAAGGATTGCAGGACTTCTGTTTCTAAGCGTAGTGAGGAAATTTTGCTTTCCACTTTTCTCTTGCACTGCAGATGGCAAGAATATTTTGATCCAAATTGGTGTTTTAACCTCATAAGTTCTGGTGAGGAGACTTGAACCCTTCCACTTAACTTCCCTGTGACCCATCAAATTGGGCACTTTGCTTTCATCCCGATTCCAATACCAGAAGTAAACTAGACAAGAGGAGGAAAATAAATTCCCTTAAGCAATGGACAGAGAGCAGAAAGACTGCGCTCCTCTCAGCCATGCCTCCTCTCAGCCATGGGAGCCAGTGTGGTGTAGTGGTTAAGAGTGGTGGACTCGTAATCTGGTGAACTGGGTTCGCTTCCCCGCTCCTCCACATGCAGCTGCTGGGTGACCTTGGGCTAGTCAGACTTCTCTGAAGTCTCTCAGCCTCACTCACCTCACAGAGTGTTTGTTGTGGGGGAGGAAGGGAAAGGAGATTGTTAGCCGCTTTGAGACTCCTTAGGGTAGTGATAAAGCGGGATATCAAATCCAAACTCCTCCTCTTCTTCTTCTTCTTCTTCTTCTTCTTCTTCTTCTTCCCAACCTGATATTGCTAAAAGTAAACTTTCTACCTGTAAACTCTACCTGTCCATGGAGAAGAATCATTTCAAATATATGTGGCTACCACAGTCACATCTCATTTTGCCATAACACCACCACGGGCAGGCTTGTAATGTGTATGCTGGCTGTTTTCACCTTCTTTTCAAGGTTAATCAGTTAAAAATAGAGGTTTGCAGAATCCAGCTCTAGAAACTGTCATGCAGAGCTTCCAGTATCTTCTCGGCTAGGCACACAACACCTGCTTACTGTCTGAGCAACCTGTCTTCAGGGACTCCCTGGAGACCACGGTCACGTACAGATTAAGGATGTGGCTTTGAGGTCCAATTAAATGCTGCTCGTGGGCATCTAGAAATAGCCTGCCTACTTGTTGGAAGTTGGAAAGCAGGGGGAAACGTGACTTGCGCAGATGCCAGGAGGAAAAGGTGGCAAATAGTGCGCCCCTTGGATGAGCTAGACATGTGCTTCCTTCCATGTAGGGTTTGTGCAGTTATAACACTGACATCAGGTTTCATGTCCATGTGAGAGATAATGGACCTTTGAAGAGATGTTGACAGCGTTTGTGCATCATGGAAATTTGGAAACCTGTAGCTGTCAACAGAGCAGCAGGTGCTGGTGCAGCAGAAACTCCAGCTTCTGATTCGGAAAGTGGTGGTGTAAGCTTGTCGTTGAGTCCTGTGTGTTCCGGCGAAAGTAACCTCCATGCATCTGCCTATTTTGGGCCGTTACTGTTTCCGTGATGACTTTTCTCCGCGTGTTGTGTTTCCGAAACCATTAAAAACACCTGCGTTCTAGCCAAACCCAGCAAGTAAAGTTTTAAAGGGAGGAAAGATATTTATCCCCAAATGCTTCCTCTCTGCGTGTTCGTGCGTGTGTGCATATGTGTGTGAGAGACTTTTATTAGCCATTTTCCTGCTTAAATCTTGCCAGCAGAAGGGCGAAGTGGAAATCAGCTAAATGCTTCCTGCTTCACAAATGCAATAACTTTGCTATAGTTTGAGGTGTGTGTTGTTGTTGTGTGCATGGCAGAGGGCCTTCTCGGTTTCCCCAGCCACTCTGGGAAGCTCATAAGAGAATATTAAAAACACGATAAAACATCAAACATTAAAAACTTCCTTAAACAGGGCTGCCTTCAGATGTCTTCTAAAAGTCAGATAGGTGTTTATTTCCTTGACATCTGATGGGAGGGTGTTCCACAAGGCGGGCACCACTACTGAGAAGGCCCTCTGCCTGGTTCCCTGTAACCTCACTTCTCACACTGAGGGAACCACCAGAAGGCCCTCAGAGCTGGACCTCAGGGTCCGGACAAAACAATGGAGATGCTCCTTTAGGTATACTGGGCCAAGGCCGTTTAGGAATAGCTGGGTTATGAGGAAAAGAGGGCAAGGAAAGGAGAACTGGGAACACCGAAATGGAAGGATTGGTTGGTGGGGTGGGAAGTAAAATGTAAACAATGTTTTGCAGCAAAGAGCAACTTGCTTGAAATCTACAACCCGACCTGATCTCCCCCTGGCTGTGCCTAGAATTAGAACAGAATCGTATTTAAAAACAGATGTCACTCAGGTCCTTAGGAAGAGTGTAATAGTAGCCACAGGAGTAAATAGATACCAAGTCCCACCAAGTGACACAATTATAACCTTTTGTAGGATTCTCCCCTCTCCCAGAGGTCAATGGATCAAAATAGCAGCTCTGCCCCTGCTCCCTCGTGCCACACTTGCACGTGAGTGCCCTGTAGACAATACGGAGGCACCAAAGACCCCATAGTTCCCAGTTTGTATGGTATCCAGGCAAGAAGATGGAGAATGGTGGCTTTGGCACTTAGAATCATAGAACTGTAGTACCCCAAGGGCCATCTAGTCCAGCCCCCTGCAATGCAGGAATCTTCTGTACAACACAGGTCTTGAACTCAGGCTCTACTGACCGAACTGAACTGAACATGCGAGCTGAAAATTAAACAGCAGGGTGAAAAGGACCCACAATGTGTAGGCTATGGGAAAGAAAATAAAAGTGCTCCAAGAATATAGTACAGTGGTACCTCGCAAGACGAATGCCTCGCAAGACGAAAAACTCGCAAGACGAAAGAGTTTTTCGTTTTTTGAGTTGCTTCGCAAGACGAATTTCCCTATGGGCTTGCTTCGCAAGACGAAAAACGAAAACGTCTTGCAAGTTTGTTTCCTTTTTCTTAAAACCGTTAATACCCAGGGTGACTTTGAGGAGCAACTCATAGCATGCGGTGTGGTAGCCTTTCTTGAGGTTTTTGAAGACTTTGGTGATTTTGAAGACTTTGGGAAACCGTGCTTCGCAAGACGAAAAATTTGCAAGACGAAAAAACTCGCAGAACGAATTAATTTCGTCTTGCGAGGCACCACTGTAATCCCAAAATGCTACATAAGAAAAGAAAGAATCATCACACCGCTGACTTTTTAAGACAGGAAGGCCTGTACTCATACTTTACTACTCAAGCAGAAGCTAAATAGACTATAACTCGGAGCCAAGTCAGAACATGGTTACTGGATTTTACTGGACTGCAGTCAAAGAACAGCGGGTACTTGCTTTTGTAGGAGAAAGGAAAGCGTTTTTCTCAAACGATCAGGCACCTTTCTTGCTCAAGCTCTGGCTTGTGGCAGAGGCCAAACCAAATAGTGTTGGAGTTGCTGAAGCTGATGAGCTGCAGCAGTAGCTTCTAGAATAACATAGGTAGGTTCCAACTTTGAAGCTTTGAACCCCTAAGCTACAGCTTGGGTAGGGGCATGGTCTAGGGTTGCCATTTTTGAGCTATTTTTATGGGGAAACGGCAAAAACGGCACTGCCAACATGGGCTGCTGTACGTTTGGATTTTCCAGGACATTTTCCCAATTTCCACCCGGACACTGCTGCTGACTGAAGTATTCTGGATATCTCCAGGAAAATCTTGACGTATGACATCCCTAGCGTGGTCCTCAGTCGGATCCCTATATGCATGATGTTAAATATTCATCGTTTCGAATCTCTGAACCGAAGTATGGCTCGATTTACTTCTTGTCAGCAAGAAGAGAAAACCTGGTCTAAGTTAGAAATAGGGTTTCATTCAAGCTTATCATAAAGAAACCTTTAAAATATATATATATCCCTCTAAGTGAGGGGTCCACTGTCCCTCAGACCTTGTGGGGAGCTGAACTATATTTTGAAGAAGAAAAAAAGAACTATTTCCTATGCCTCACAAATAAGCCAGAGATGCATTTTAAATAAAAGAAAACATTCTACTCGTGTAAAAACATGCTGATTCCTGGACCGTCCACAGGCCGGATTTAGAAGGCGATTGGGCCGGATCTGGCCCCCGGGCCTTAGTTTGCCTACCCATGCTATAAGTGGTCTATTTACAGTGGTGCCCCGCAAGACGAATGCCTCGCAAGACGGAAAACCCGCTAGACGAAAGGGTTTTCTGTTTTTGAGTTGCTTCGCAGGACGAATTTCCCTATGGGCTTGCTTCGCAAGACGAAAATGTCTTGCGAGTCTTGAGATTTTTTTCCCGTTTCCCCCCCCTTTATCTAAGCCGCTAAGCCTTTAATAGCCTTTTAGCAGCTAATCCGCTAAGCCGATAAGCCTTTAATAGCCGCTAAACTGCTAATAGCGCTAATCCGTTAAGCCGCTAATAGGGTTGCTTCGCAAGACGAAAAAACCACTAGACGAAGACACTCGCGGAATGGATTAATTTCGTCTTGCGAGGCACCACTGTATAACTTTCCTGTGTAATTCTGCATTAATTTGTAATGTTATGTGTTAGTGGTTTTTATAATAATTTAAAATGTGCAAAAAAGGTTGCAAAACTATGGTTCTTAATGTATGTCATAGATGCCAATTCCCTCGAGCCCTGCGTGCCTGAACATCTACCAAATTCCCCAAGAAGGGGCCAGGCACCCACAAATTTTGGTGCCAAGGCCATGGCAGCCATGGTCGCAGGGCCAAATTGGCACTCCTAATGCATGTGTCTTATCCTGAATAAACTGGTTTTGAGTACCACAGGGTCGTACTACAGAGCTGGTATGTTAGGATTAATGGGTTTCAAGATGGTGACCAAATTAGATCTTACTGGTAGAATGTATGATGTGGGACAAAGAAAGCAACTGAAAATTTTCATGTAGATTCTTAACAGTCTTACTGGAGCATGTTCCCAAACACAATAAAATTCCACTAACTATTTCTCTATTCTCTCAGGGCATTCCGACCAGTGTGCGACTAAAGAACCAGTCTATTTATTTTCTTTACTGTATAGGAAGTTGGGTAGGAAAAAACCCCCACAGAGCTGTGTTTATATACTCCAGATAAATAGTACAAGTGAATCCTTGATAAATTAGAAGAAGGGAGAAGTAGAGCGGGTTGACAATAGGATAGCAATCCCTTAGGAATTTGAAGGCCACATGGGATTGCGGAGATAATCCACCAGAGCTTTCTTTGTCATATATCGCACAAGGCCATGGCATTTCCCCAGTGATTTCTGCATCCACAGCTTGTGGCAAAGGAGTTTTGAGTAGTATCCTTTTAGTTCTACAAATAGAATGGGGAGGTGGGGGGGGGGAGAGATAGAGCTGATGGGGCCAAATTAGGGGACAGGAGAAGAGGGCCTCTGAGGTAAATGGAGAGTCTGTTTCATAACAAGATGCTGCTCTTCTCAAGTTTCTCCATCCCAAGAGTGGAACCACTTGACACAGCAGTAATTTACAGCCGGTCTTTCTCCAAGAAAAAGAAAGGCTTCCCCCCCCCTGCAAAAAAACCATCAGTCATTTGGATTATTTCTTGTCACCATTAATTAAAAGCCGATCTGTCCTTTCCATTTACAGTGGGGGTGGAGGAATCTTATGTCCATTTCCATTTCCTCCTGCCATATTAGATTCCTGGGTTAGAAATCTGCAGCCTATTCCTTAAATTTTGGTGGATTTTGTAACTTGAGAAAATTACGCTCCAGTTGCATGTGCATAATTTTGTGGTGGTGATTGTTTGGTTCAACAATATAGAGGGCCAGGTTCAACTACACAGTTGCAGTAGTTGGAAACAGCACAACAAGTCCCTCCAGGACAATGGGGCTTATCTCCCTCTTCCCCTCATGGGCCCCCATCCCTAATCAGTTGGGGGGGGGGTTAAGTATACCCCCAGAACGGTTCATGGAGGAGGAAAGGGGAGATTGTTCCATTGGCAAGCAGAAACTTGCAATCTCCTTATTGCCACTTCAAATACCATCCCATAAACCTTAATGTGTCCAGCTATGCTTTTACAATAGAGACCAGAGACTGATCACCAGATGGTAGACCACAACTCCCATAATCCTTGACCACTGGCCATGCTGGTGTGGGGAGTTGTAAAGATGGGAGTTTGAGTCCATCCTCATTGAAAGGGTGATGGCCCCCCAACCTCAATATAGTCGACTGATGCAGATCTGACAGCAAAGCAAAATCAGAACCATTAGCTTTAATGGAACATAGTTGCAGATAAGTGTGTATAGGATTAAAGCTTAAAGGTATGTGCAAGTGTGTCTGCATGTGTGCATCTCTGTGTGCACACATGTGCCCAAGGAGAGCCATAAAGGCTGTAGTGAAGTGGTGGAACCTCTGTCTTGCATGCAGAAGGTTTCAGGTTCCATTCTTGGCAACTCCAAATAGGGCTAGAAAAGCTCACACCTGAAACACTATAAAGCTACTGGCCAATCAGCATAGACATTCATGAGCTAGATGGACCAATGGGTGGATTTGGTATTAGGCAGCTGCCTATGTTCCTATAAAGAAAAGGTTGGAAAGTCCAAAACAACCAGGATTGAAAGCCCCACATCTAAAGGGGAAAGAGTCTGGGACAGCACTGAGATGGGGGTCCACATTTTGCTCCGGTGTTGAGAAACCCAAAGGCTCACATCCCCATTTCCCCATGAAGCTCATTGGGTGAGCTTGGGAACGCCAATGACTCTCAGTCTAACCAGACTCACAGTCTGGTTGTGGTGATAAAATGGGGACGAGGAGAGGTCATGTACATCATGTTGAGCTCCTTGGAGGAAAAGGTGGTCTGTGAATGCAATAAATAAACCTGCAAATTTGTAAATTAAGTGATCACAAGAAGGACAGCTTGAAATTCTGGTGCTATCTCTTTGAAAGGAATTGTACCTCAGGAAGATTGCCTGGAGCTTTGCAATATTTGGGGAAGGAGGGGGTATGAAATTGCATGTGAGGATTTGTCTGCAGCAGAACGATGTCAAAAGTGTTGCTGATTAAAAAATTATTGGGCAAAATGTTGGGAACGTTTCAAAAGTCTGAGGTAACTTTTGTGTTGCAAGGACTTACAAATTAAAAGTAATGGTTGTGGTCAACAGTTTTACTCAGAGTGGAGCCCCTGAAATGAATGACCGCTCCCTGCATAAAACGGGGGGCGCCCTTTGCGTGGACGCGCGCAGCCCCTGGATCTGGAGCGGCTCCATCAGCATAGGCTTGGCTTTGCCTTCCCTCAGGTGGGATACCTGGAGGTCTCCGCCTATCCCAGTCAGTTGTGCAATCCCACCTGGGGGAAGCGTTGCCAAGGAGATCAGGCCAGGTAGGGGAGGGATTACCTGCCCACACAACAGAGGGAGGATCTTACCTGGGAATCCTCACTTGGCTCCAGAGCTTTTTGCTCTTTTTTTCCAGTTTTACTCAGAGTGGAGCCCCTGAAATGAATGAGCCTAAGTTAGTCATGTTCATTAAGTTCCATGGGTCTTCTTTGAGCATAACATTGTTGAATACAAGATTCCCCCCCCCCCCCCGTTATACCTTGCTTAACCCTCTTTTCTTACTCGATTCCTTTAGCCATTAAGCACTGCTTGCCAGAAGTGCATTAACCACGAAAATGTTCAGATCTCTTGGTGAGATAGTGTCTTCCCTTTTCTCCATACAAATTTCACAAGTTGTCGAGTTCCTTTCCCATGTCTTTCCGTTCTCCATTCCATGCTCACTTAATGCTTGCGGCCTATGAATGGCATTTGCATTAAGCCCTAAGATGTTGGGGTTATGGTTGTTGAGGGTTTTTTTGCAATGTTTTGGAAGTATTACTTTAACACAGAACATTAAGGAGGTTATGAGATTGCCAAGGTGTAGCGATTTGGGGCTGGCGGGAGTCTACGTCCTGTTCTATTAGTCCATGAAAGAAGCCAGCTGTGTTTTCTGGACTGGCACCAGATCCAGCCAAGCCTAACTTTTAAAACAAACAAACAAAACAAAACAAGCATATTGCTTATTTTAAGACACTCAAGCCTATCAAACGGCAAAAGTATGCCTAAGAAAATGAGCATAGTAGCAGGTGTGAGAAACAGGGGAAGAAGCCGATGAATTGCTCTGTGTGTGTGTGTGTTTGCGTCATTCTCTCTTTGTGTGTGTGGAGGCAGGTGGCACTGTGGTCTAAACCACTGAGCCTCTTGGGCTTCCGATCAGAAAGTCGGCGGTTTGAATCCGTGCGACGGTGGTGAGCTCTCGTTGCTCTGTCCCATCTCCTGCTAACCTAGCAGTTCGAAAGCACACCAGTGCAAGTAGATAAATAGGTACCACTGTGGCAGGAAGGTAAACAGCGTTTCCGAGCACTCTGGTTTCCATCACGGTGTCCCATTGCGCCAGAAGCAGTTTAGTCATGCTGGCCACATGACCCGGAAGGCTGTCCATGGACAAACGCTGGCTCCCTCAGCCTGAAAGCGAGATGAGCGCTGCAACCCCAGAGTCGCCTTTGACTGGACTTAACTGTCCAGGGATCCTCTCTCTCTCTCTCTCTCTCTCTGGGTGTGTGTGTGTAGATAGTTATAGTGAATCCAGAGTGAGGCTCCGCATTTCTGTACAAACTTACCTTGGCAGTAAATTCCATTGAACATGTATAGGGCTGCATCTCTAGGCATTTACTGTAGGAATGACTGAGGCTGGATCCAACTGCTTTAGAACATGTTGCTGATAATGCCAACTTTGTAGATTCAATCCCTGTATGGGACTGCAGGGGGTTGGTTTCTAGATGATCCTCAGGGTCCCTTCGACCTCTACAATTCTATGATTCTATGGTTGTAATTTTGTTTTTGTTTTTTTCCTATTGGAAGAAAATGCGGGATATAACAATGAAAAGAAATGAAAGTGCCACAGCGATAGGAAACTGTAGTAAGGAAGCTTGGCTCTGGAAACATTCGGTCTAAAGGTCAGACTTAAATGTTCAGCAGAAGCAAGTGGTTAAAGTTTCCCTAGACCAGCTGTTCTCAACCTGTGGGTCCCCAGATGTTGTTGGACTACAACTCCCATCATCCCTGAGCTCTGGCCTTGCTAGCTAGGAGTGATGGGAGTTGTAGTCCAACAACATCTGGGGACCCACAGGTTGAGAACTGCTGCCCTAGACTGTCCCTGTTTGGGGTGCAAGTGTCAGGGGTGTAGGAAGGGGGGGTGCGAGCGGGCGGGCGGGCCACCCCGGATGTCATCCCTAAAGGCATGACAAAATGGCACACTGTGGGAGGCGGCACTTACTGCGGGGCCTGGCCTGCAGTGCACCGAGCCATGCATCTCTCCTGGGAGTGGCTCAGGGCCCTATGCTGCCCCAAACGGCAGTATGGGGCTTGCGTCCGCCAGGCAGACTCCGTGGGCAGCTTGCTGCGGTGCCCCTCTGAATGGATCACCGTGGTGCTCTCATGGGTGGCTCGCCCGGCCCCACCCCCGCCGCTCTGGGTGCTGGAGCTGCTAGCTACACCCCTGGCAGGTGTGCTTGAATGTTGCTGTTGTTGCTGTTTGGTCATTTAGTCGTGTCCGACTCTTCGTGACCCCATGGACCAGAGCACGCCAGGCACTCCTGTCTTCCACTGCTTCCCGCAGTTTGGTCAAACTCATGCTGGTAGCTTCGAGAACACTATCCAACCATCTCATCCTCTGTCGTCCCCTTCTCCTTGTGCCCTCCATCTTTCCCAACATCAGGGTCTTTTCCAGGGAGTCTTCTCTTCTCATGAGGTGGCCAAAGTAGTGGAGCCTCAGCTTCACGATCTGTCCTTCCAGTGAGCACTCAGGGCTGATTTCCTTAAGAATGGAGAGGTTTGATCTTCTTGCAGTCCATGGGACTCTCAAGAGTCTCCTCCAGCACCATAATTCAAAAGCATCAATTCTTCAGCCATCAGCCTTCTTTATGGCCCAGCTCTCACTTCCATACATCACTACTGGGAAAAACATAGCTTTAACTATACGGACCATTGTTGGCAAGGTGATGTCTCTGCTTTTTAAGATGCTGTCTAGGTTTGTCACTGCTTTGTGGGCTTGAATGCTCCCTTGCAAATAGCGGCCATGCATTTAGAAAAACATTATGTGGGAGAGAAGAAAAGCAGTTATACTGTTCCTGTGGCTGTTCTTATATGTGCAAAAAGGGTTGTTGGTTTTTTTGTTTAGATTTGCAATAATTCAGCATGCAATACCCCATTGGTATCCTAGAGTGGTATATTCCAATGTCAAGGCTTCATTCTGCTGAATGTATATTCAAGCCTGACGTATAAAACGCTAATATGAAATCCAAACCGTGGAAAGAAGCTGGCAGGGAGACAGCCGCAGTGTTACTAGGTGGAATGTCAAGGACGAGGAGCTATTGCATAAGAACGACCAAGAAGACAGTGAAAGTTAGAAATGGAACATACAGATTAAAAGAATGAATTTTGCGGTGGCAGTGATTACATTTCTGCAAATTGAAGCCAGGTATGGATGAAAGACTTCATCTGAATGCAATTCAGCAATTAATCGAATCGTGTCGTAATTGAATGAAAAGCAGACTGGCTGTGTGTCTGCAACTATACCAAGCTCTAAAAGTACTGTAAAGAAAAATAAATCTTTGGAGAAACATGTTATCCTGCATTCCCAGACAGAACAGAACGTGGATCTGGGCAATAATTTTTTAAAGAAGTGCTTGCAAAAACTGCAGATACTAAGCACAGTTTTAAGAGGCATTCTGTCCCCATTTCCACACTCAGGAGGAATGCCATTTCTAAAACGATGTCTGCTGAAATATAAGTGTGCGTCATCTAAAAATAATGCATTTTCATTTTACCCAGATGTAAATGTATGCTATTTTAATTTATGGTTTAATGGGTTAATAAACTAAAACTTGCATGATCAATAAATTTCTTTAACTGAGTTGCAGCACTAGTTATGTTTATGATTATGATTATGATTATGATTATTATTCCCCTCCCATCTGGCTGGGTTTCCCCAGCCACTCTGGGTGGCTTACAGAATATATAAAACATAATAAAGCATCAAACATTAAAAACATTAAAATGAATATCCCCAAACAATCTCATGAAATTTACGGTATTGAAAATGCATCCAAGTTTGACTCTATAAAAGCCACTGTAGCCTATTTATTTATTTCATAAAATGTATGCATCACTTGATTCTAAACAACAACAACACCCTCAAAGCAGTTTTCAAAAAGATAAACAATAAAATCAATTTTAAAAAATACAACTCCACATTAAAACACTTGAAGTGGTTCACGCGTTGGACTAGGACTTGGGACACAAGGCTTCAAATCCCGAGACAATCTAATCCCCATGAAATTCACTGTGTCACCTTGGGCTAGTCTCTGTATTTTAGCCTAACCTAAATGGGAACGGGTTGAATCATATACACCACCTTGAGCTTCTTAGAAGGAAGGTGGGGTATCAGTGCAGAAATCATATACGCAAAAGCTTGCTTTGCACCTTGAAATGAATTATAGAGACAATATTTCTTCAGTCGGATAGTAAAACCTTGGGATAGGCTGCTGTTAAGCCTGTTGTTCATAAAGTGCCATTTACGTAGATGATGCCACATTAGTAGTAGTGGTAGTAGTGGTAGTAACAACAACAACAACAACAACAACAACAACAACAACAACAACAACAACATCATATGATGACGAAGAAGAAATTCTTACTCTTCAGATGGGAGCAATGTGCACTCACCTTGTAATCACCAAGAAGTTTGCTTGTATATTTTGCAACGTCTTTATATGATTTCCCAGAAACAATTGCTTGCTTGCAGAGATTCCTAAATCATGGAAGGAAGGACGTGATTTCTACACACACACACACACACACACACACACACACACACACACTTGTATCTGCTGAACAGGGGTTACTGGATTTTTCACAAATCCTTTTTCTTCTGTTGTTTCCTTACTGATTTACAAAGAAGTTGTAGTTCTCAAAACATTCCCAACACCATCAAAGAGCAACAGATTTCCACGTAAGGATATGAAAGCAAATTCCTACAGTGATAATTTCTCCCCCTCACCCCCGGTTGTCGCATACAGGTGATGTAACATGGTGCAGAAGTGTAGGAACATGATATTTACTCTGACAGGAAAACGATGCAAATGAAATCTTTTTTAGACATCTTCAGTTATTGGGGTTATTAAGTCAGAGGTGACGGAAGAGAAGCAATGTTTATTTAAAGGGCAAAGTTGGCTGCAGAAGACAATTTATGTTAACTTACTTTCACAATGTTTAATCTCAAATACATAGCTTAAATCTATTAAAAACACACACAGACACACATGTCTAGGATAGAGTTAGCAGCAACAATAAGAGAAGATGGCGGAAACAGATCTAGGTCAGGAGCTCTAAAATCTAAGCACCACATTCCCTCAGCTTAATCTGTGGCAGTGAGTGAAGTTGAAGCCAGTGGTGGGTGTGGCTGGAGCCAAAAATTGAACTGGGCTGCTCCTTCTCTCTCTCTCTCTCTCTCTCTCTCTCTCTCTCTCTCTTTATGCCGCCCCCCCCCCCCCTTTGCACACACACTAACTCTTTTCTGGCATCCTCTGAAAATCTCCCCCTTCCCAGCTTTCTAACTCTGCTCTGATACCAAATTTAGCCGAAAAAGTGACTAGCCAACTGTATTCCTGCTCATTGCTCTTTCACTTCAGATTATTATTATTATTACTACTACTAATATTACTGTTATTTTATTTATGAGACGCCCATCTGACTAGGTTGCCCAACCTACACTGATTCCCTAAGGTATTGGAATTATTACTGAATTCCTTAATCCTTTGGTATTGATAATGGACCTCACCTGATTTGCCTTGAAGATAATAATCTGAACTGCTGTGAGCCATAACCCTATGAAATGTATTAGTGCGTATATTGATGGTTCCGACTAGCACTGAATACAAGACCACGGACTCAGCTATACAGCTGCAAATAAAACGTTTTAAATGTGTTCTAAAGTGCAATATACAAATGTGACACTAGGTGGCGACACTGAGCTATGAAAAATTCAATGTGTTTTTTAAAACGTTTTTTAAAAAAGCATTTTCACAGCGCTTTTTATATGTGTGTAGATTCCACCCATGCCAAAGTTAGATTGCTGTTATCATTCTCCTAGGTATAAATACCACTGAAGAGGTATTACGCAGGGACCTATTACCAGTGCTGTTATGTAATTGTACTGGCAAATCATGGCTCCCGCACTGCAATTGATCAGTGAGGTATGATTCAGACATTAAGCACCTCTGATGCCCACTGATTACAATGAAAGTATGCAGAACATGCATTATTTTCCCATTGAAGTAGTTGAACTTAAATGTGCTCAATTTTGGCTGGATTGTACCCATTACTAGAGAGTACCAAGGAAGCTTTCAAGGCTGTTGAATGAGATTATTATTCAAATAATAACTTGGTTTACATCGAAGCATGTTTTAGTAGCGTGTAGCAGCTAATCACTGTCTGAGCATATTCTCGATTTTGGTGTATGCTTGGAGCAAATTTTCCCATGATCATGATGCTGTTTACACAATCAAAGGAGAGCCAAAGACCTCTAATTAGTTGAGAGCTTTCCCCACTCTCAGAACCCAATCTACCTTTGATCGAAGGATAAATAACTTCCCCAGATTCCACCCCCAAGTGTCTTACAAAACGCTGGTCATTCACTAAAATGATGTTCTAACTGCACATCTAAAGAAGGTGATTTGGACAGTACCCCAGTTTTAATGAACAAAGGAAACAGTAAGAATATCCACCAGTGTAGTGCAATTTTAATACTTTATGAAGGAGTTAAGATCCCAACTGAAAGAGCAATCTGAAAGCTCCGACCTGACCATCCTTGCACAAAATTTTGATCAGTGTAACTTTCCTTCCCATGGAAATCGCATTTGCTATATTTTTAGTTGATTCCGACAGAGTGAGAAGCCATTACTCGCATCCAATTTTCCACATAACTGCTTCTGACTGCTGTCCCTTTTAAAGTCTTTTCAGGCTATCCATCCAGAATTAACTTTCTTTTAAGAAAAGGCCTTTTGTGGTTTATAAATTTTTAAATGCAGGATGGGAGCTGCCAGAACAGCTTTGGAGAGCAACCAAAGATTTGAAGCAGTCTCCCTAACATGAAATGAGGTACAGCTCCGACTGCACCTGGAGACAGTACCTCTTTCATTCGCCATCTTCAGAGTTATAACACCTCTGGCTTTCGCCTCAGAACATCAGGAATTTTCCTTCAAACTGGCTTCTTGGAACGAGGCTTGTGCACTATTAGGGGATAATTTATCACATCATATTTCTCTGACTTGAGAAATTCAGCTCTCTTTTTCTTCTTCTTCTTTTCAACAGAGTGGTATTAAAAAGGAAAGAGAAAGAGAAACACGACAGCAAGGGCTGCTAAACTCATGCAGGAATCTTCAGATGGGGCCAGAGATAATGGACAATGGGGACTACAAGAGAGCTAACAGGCAGCAGGGGGATAGTAGTCACCATCAATTATAACTGTACATAAAACTTCTCATTAAATTCCTGGTCCTCCATTCTTCACCTGTAATTCACAAAGAGTTTCATTGATTAGGCTGGTTTCGCGAGATACCTCTGGTCGGCCGGAGTGAATTCTTCTCAGTAGTATAACACTGCTTTCCATCCTTGGTAGTTCAAGCATCTTTGCATTTAATGCGCAAGGATTTGTTTATTTATTTTTATATGCAAATTGCATCGGAGGAGGAGGAGGAGGGGCTGATAATTGAAGGAATCAGAACTGGCACTGGAGGGGATTTTAACCATTTTCTCCCCCTCTGCAATGCTCAGAAGGTTCCCCTTTCCAAAGCTACTCTTGGCCTGGGGGGGGGGCAGCAAGTGGGGGAATCCCCCACTGTATAATTATTACAACTCCCCTCCCCCAAAAAGCTGAAACAACATGCATTTTTTGGTAAAAAAGAAAATGCAGGTCCAAAGATGTCTATGTGTCATCTTGGCTCTGAGTAATTGTGGGAAATATTAAGGGTGGTGGCCCTGAGAAAAAAAGAGGACAGGATTATAAATAATCGTTCTGGACAACTCAAACGTTTGGACTCCCTGTTACCTTTCACCCAATATCTGTAAGTGAGACATGTTTTAACTAATTTAGTATGAAGATGTGGCTCACTTAGAGATTGTACAAACCATGAGTTATGATTGCCGCCATAAATCAATCCATAGTAATTTAGGTTGAATATATAAAGTAATTGCTGAGATAGATACAGTGGTACCTCGGGTTACAAACGCTTCAGGTTACAGACTCCACTAACCCAGAAATAGTACCTTGGGGTAAGAACTTTGCTTCAGGATGAGAACAGAATCACGTGGTGGCAGCGCAGCGGCAGCAGGAGGCCCCATTAGCTAAAGTGATGCTTCAGGTTAAGAACAGTTTCAGGCTAAGAACAGACCTCCAGAACGAATTAAGTTCTTAACCCGATGTACCACTGTATATAGATAGATGATAGATAGATATAGATAGATAAATAAATAGACACACACACACACACACAGAGAGACACGAACGACCAAATAGTACCTAACTCCCACTTGATTGAACAAAATGTATCCAACAATTAGTGAACAATGCTGAGGGTGTAAAGAACCCAATCCAAATTTGGTGATACAGACCTATTGAGAATCCGCTTTTACAGAAATAAGATATATCATTGGCTACATTCTTCCAGGCTAAATCACAGAAAACATAGAGCAGCAAGGGATTAGAGGGGTCATTGAGGCCAGTCATCCCCCAACAGTGTAAGACAAGTCCCTGTCAACACTAGAGGGAAGACACAGAAATCAAGGAGGGAAGGCAAGGGAAGGAAATGATAATAACACAAGGGAGAAAAGCAGGCAAATGTGTACTTAGTCTGTGCTTCATTTGGACTAGGAAATTGATGTGCTTCTACCCTTAATCCTAACATTTATGAATCAAGCTTTTTCAATACACTGGAACCTGTTTGGGGAAAAAATAATATTTCTCAAACAAGCACCGAGAAAGGCGAAAGAAGTGAAGTGCCTTCAAGAAGAGAAGTTGTCTTTACACATCTTTTAACACGCAGCAATTGCATTTGGCTTTTTGAGGGGAAAATTAGTCAACAGAGGTCTCGTGAATCCTGGGGAAGAACATACTAATTTTAATGAGCCACAACTATAGGCAAAGTGTTCCCTGTTTTCTGCTATTGCATGACAGGGAGAATTTTAACAAAAGGCTGCAGCTGACATGTGATGGTAATTACAAGACATTAGGTGTCTTGTAATGATTTATCACCAAGGGGATTTGCAGAACACTTGTGGCCAGTTAGCTTTTGGTAAGGGAGGTCAGGATTCATAATTGATTAACAGGTGGTAGAGTCATTGTGCCCGGAGGCCATATTGATGCTATAAATTCCCTATCTGCCTCATTGAGCTCTGGGCCAGAACTGTCTCTCTGTGTGTGCTCTAAACATTGTCAATTCCTTTGGGGAGACCAGAAGGGAGCTGAATGGAGTTCCAGACAACCTTTCGGGATGGCCCTATTCACACCGCATCCATATATCATTAGAAGACACAGCATGTCACTTACTTTTTGAGTATTATGCGATTGGTTTAACTCTTGTAACGAGAGATCCCCAAACGCAGTTGAAATCCACAGGTTCAGATTCTTTTTTTAAAAAAAAAAAAATTATATTCGAGTCTGAGCTAAGGTTTCGGTACAGTTGGATCCTGAGAGTTAGGACTCAGCTACATTAGTCAAAACGCAGTGTTATAAATGCGTTACAACACCGTGACACCAGAGGGCGCTGCAGAGCTGAAACCGCAACTCAATTATATTTTCAATTGTGAGCTTTTTTGCAGAGCGTATTCAGAGCGGTTTTTTTAATAGCTGTGTAGATTTAGCCTTATAGTGAGTTCCTGTGTTTACCATTCCTGATCTGTATTCACCTCTGAGCTTCACTCTGTTTTTAGATAAGGTAGTTCTTTTACTATTGTGGTTTTTCAAAATGTTTTGAGGAACTCTAAGCTTTCTCGGGAATTGGTCAGGATTTCATCAGTGGGACCCATAGGGCCTGAAAGAAAGCTTATCCACTGCTGCTGACCTCCCCTTGCAGAGCCCATTGCTAGGGAGTGCTGGGTATGTTCTGGCTGTGTTCTGGTGTGTAGTCAGGTCCAGAATCAGCACGCAGTGTAGCTGGGCAACTGTTAAGTTTTGTTAAAATGCTTATATACGCATCACTTCTAAAGAGGAAGTGCATCACTAAAAAGTAACAAAACAGGATACATATTTGCATAAAAATTGTATATACTAATTTATACGTAGAGATGCATTTTGTAGATACAAAATGGCCTAGCTAAATCTAGGAAAACAGCTTACTCTATGGTTTTAACCCCTGTATGCTTTCACAAAAGGTAGGCATGCTGGTTATATATGGGGCTGATTTATCCCACAGTGTACTCACGCAAGGCAGGTGCTGGCATTTTTACAAGGGCATGGATACCTTTTTACCAGGAATTAAGGAAGTAAGAAAAAGAATAAACCATCTAAAGTAACAGGGGAAAGTGAGAAGATTAAGCTTGGGAGAAGGGTGATATACAATGACTTCTGATTTATTGGTGATAAAATGGAGTAGTGATAGTCGCTTGTGAATGATTGTATATCCCTATAAGTGGCGCAAAGCCAGAAAAAGCCAGGACTGGACTCGGCCGCTGCTACAATATTTCTGTTCGAGTACCTGTCATGTTCAATGCCAGCAGCTGCCATAAATTATAAGATGCACAGTCTGCGCCTTCAACAAATAAGCACTCTGGTGAAAGATGCTAGGTCAACGCAGGAGTGCAATACGTAACCAAGACGCTTTGGGAAAAGGAACTCCAGTTTTCTCTTTCTCATAATACAAACTCAAGACAGCATTCAATCAATGGCATTTATAGGGATTTGCAACAAGCAAGAAGTTTGTTTGATGAAAGAGATGAACCTGGAAATGCATTACAATAAGATCATGTGAAGCTTTGTCACTGTTGTGGCCTTTCCCCCATAGATGCTGTGGTATATTACCACAGTGCATTGATGTGGGGCTGCCTTTGAAGACTGCACATATTTCAGTGAGTTCAGAGGTAAAGGTAAAGGACCCCTGACAGTTAAGTCCAGTCGCGAACGACTCTGGGGTTGCGGTGCTCATCTCGCTTTACTGGCCAAGGGAGCCAACGTTTGTCCGCAGACAGTTTTTTCTGGGTCATGTGGCCAGCATGACTAAGCCGCTTCTGGCGAAACCAGAGCAGCACACGGAAACGCCGTTTACCTTCCCACCGGAGCGGTACCTATTTATCTACTTGCACTGACATGCTTCCACGCCTTGTTGGTTGGCAGGAGCTGGGACCAAGCAACGGGAGCTCACCCCATCATGGGGATTCGATCCGCAGACCTTCTGATTGACAAGCCCCAGGCTCAGTGGTTTAGACCACAGCGCCACCCACGTCTCCAGTGAGAACATGGATGCAAATAATAATAATAATAGTTTTTATTATTATTTATTATTTATACCCCGCCCATCTGGCTGGGTTTCCCCAGCCACTCTGGGCTGCTTCCAACACAATATTAAAATCAAATGCCTTCACATTCTCGGTTTTCTATCATGTTCCCGTTGAAATCTGCCTTTCCGAAGGACCGTACTGTAGAGTCTACCTCAGTACAGTGGTACCTCGGGTTAAAACCTTAATTCGTTCCGGAGGTCCGTTCTTAAGCTGAAACTGTTCTTAACCTGAAGCACCACTTTAGCTCATGGGGCCTCCTGCTGCTGCCATGCCGCCGGAGCACGATTTCTGTTCTCATCCTGAAGCAAAGTTCTTAACCTGAAGTACTATTTCTGGGTTAGCGGAGTCTGTAACCTGAAGCGTCTGTAACCTGAAGCGTATGTAACTCGAGGTACCACTGTAGCTGCCTTTCCTTATGACCACTGACATACGACCAACCTTTGGCCTCCGTTGTTTAACTTGGGATGGGGGTGGCTGGAGGGGAGATTGTGTTAGAATTATGTGCGACCCTTTTTCACTGGTAATCCTTTGTGAGCTTCTCAAATGCCTCAGAGAGGAATGTTTCTGTAGAATTGTGTTGTTTTACAGATGGTGCAAACGCCTCTCCTGGTGCTTTGCGGATAACAGGGAGGTGGTGGGTTTTTGTGTGTGTGTTGTTGTTGTTTTTTGCAGATGTCTAAGTGTCAAGAGGGTTTAGCTATTCTTTTAGCAGACGCAGTTTGGAAATCCCCGAGTGTTTTAAATCATAACTCTTCCTCGCTGGAGCTTCCCTGCTTCTGGCTCCTGTGGCATTTTCAGGGATGCCTTTTGTATTATTCTTTCCATGAAATAGAGATCCCTAACCTCTGGATTCTACCCCTCCCTCCTTTTCGGTTTCCTGCTTTTAAATCAAAGCCGTTTAAATCGGTGTCGGGGAAGCATTCCCAGCTACGTTTGGTGCGTTAAATCTTGCAGATGTCTATTCTGTACAAAAGGGATCTTAATCCTGGGCTGTGTGAGGGCAGAACTTGTTATGTGGTAGTAATGGAGATGTATCTCAAAAAGACTGATGCCTCCATCCCTGGCATCTTATTGTCAGTCATTGGCACCATCAGCAGAACACAAGGAAGGTTTTTGCTTTTTAGTAATTTGGTAACCCTTGAAAACCAGAAAGAAGTATATTCTTCATCAGGGCTCTGGGGAACCACATCCTTTCCCACCTATTGTGATAATATAGGCTAAAACACTGTAAACATTTAGGTGCCAGCAGTTTTGCTTTGATTATTATTCTTATTATTATTGCTGATAAATGCAATCTCTGTTTGGTTCTGGGGTGCAGTGAGTTTCGGGATTTATTTATTTATTGCATTTACGCAGCTGCTGATTTTAGGTTTTATTTTATATTTGTATAGAATTTGTTTTCAGACAAATAGGGCTAATTTGGGAGTTTTGCCTTCCTCATAGCAACTGTTACAACTGTGACTCAAAAAAGGCATTGGGGTGAGAGGGATATGTAAAAATCTCAGGGCACGCTGGTAAAGGGGTCTGGGTTGAAGTTCTGTCCAAAGGTCCAGATGGCGGGTGAGGGGCTGACGGGCCAAAGGACTTCCATTCGGTGGCGGGGGGGGCGGTCACCATAGTTGACCTGCCTCTTGAAGACACCCTTAACCCAGAACAAACCATTGTGAATAATCACCCAGTAGTCAGAATGGATTATACATACCCAGTGCCTACGCCAAAGCCTACTGTCATCTGTAATCAATAAAGTTGTGGCCAATTTAGTTCCAAGATCTTGTTGTGTCGTTTTTGTTGCTACTCCATTACTGCTCCTTTCCAGTTCCTGGGTCACACTGCGCATGGGCCTGCAACCAACTTCTCAAACTTGGCTTGTTCAATGCTCTCTGCGTGTGTTTGCGCATGCGCACATGTGCATACGCTCGCATGTAAGTTCCAATATGCATGTTGAAAGTTTCTGTGCACATAATGGCCTCCCCATTCATTTCACTATCAGGAGAATCTATTTGTAGTTAAGGAGAAGGCGACTCACCCGGGAGATTTATGTGCACCTCAGAGGATGCACAGAGTTTTGGATCAGAGCCCAGGCAAGTCATCGCTTGAGTTTCTATATTTACCTTTTGGGTTATACAGGGCACGGAAATTATTTGTGTAGATGAATGTGGTTATTTTATACTTGACAGATTTGAACTATGGTTGTGGGGAGAATGGCTGCTTTTTAAAAAGCCATACCCTCCCTTTCTCATCGTGGCTAAAGCTATGAAAGAATGCCAGCTGCTTAAGTAGGAGGAACCAAAACTATTCCTGCAACTGCTGCCATTATACAGTAATTATGTTTGTTGCAAAAGTAATAATAATGCACTTGCTCTGTGCAATTCTTACTTTGCTAGCAGCCGGGATAGAAAATAATAGCAAATAATGTTTTCCTACTATGTTAACTTGGTTGTTGTCAGTAGGGGGAGGGGAAGACTAATGCACCTCTAGCAGAGTTACAGATTTTCTAAACTATTTGCGCACAGCATGATTAAAAATAAATAAATCCATGTACAAAGAATTTCTGCAAAGCAACTGGCACTCTAATCCGAACAATTAGCATTAAGCTGTAAAAATTCCAAGCACCCAAATTTAGCTTCCCCTTTAGCGCGGCTCTTATTTTGTTCAGCTCAGGGATCCAATTGGATAGCAGATTCATATCTTTCACAAGCAGCCGTGTTGCTACTGCCAAAGGGTTTTTGGCATCCCTGGACTTCTCAGATGTCTTGTAGCCTTTATGGTGTCCATTTCCACTTGGGTGCAAATAGTTCTTCTGCCCTCCCCAAAGACTGACGTCACTGACGGCAAGTGCATTTAGATGCTCAGCAAATGTCTGCCTGGAACTTCATTATTTTACTGCGCTTTCTAAAAAAAAGTCGAGAGTGGACTGCTCTTCTTCGGTACCTAACTTGCAGAACTTTAAATGGATTGAGCCTGATGTTTTGACAAACACCAGGCTTATGTCCCTCAGGAAACTGGCTGCAAAGCCCTCTGAATATGCTATTTTCATTGATATCATCTATGCGTCTGTGTAAATCGGCAGAATGACCACCTCCAACAAAAAGTCCGTGGTAAACTCCTTGGCCAAAATATTTGACCCGAATGCTTTACAGAACCAGCGACCTTCTGGTGAAGAGGAAGACTCACCTGCTCCCCAAATTTCAAGCAAGGATGTCAGCCCCCCTGAACAAATGAGCGGGCTGGATATTGCTTCCTTGGATCAGAAAATAAGCAGGTTGTTGACTGGGCAAGACAATGTCCTTCAGAAGTTGGATTACTTTTCGCAGGAAATCTGCTGTATGGAAAAGAACATGGCACTCTTAAAGGAAAAAGGAAGGGACTCTGGACTCCGACCGTCCGCCATAACGCCTGAGAAGCCAAATGGTTCTGATGTCACAACATTATGCCTAGAAATTGACAAGAAGCTTGCTGACATGAACAGAAGCGCTGAGCAACAAGCCAAAAGGTTAGATGGGCTTGAGCAATTGGTCCTGGGAGTCCAGCAACTCCTTGGCTGTTTGGTAGAAAAACTGAAGACTTCAACCATCACGGACCTCATCCGCAGAAATGAAGTTCCTCATAAACTCCTTAGAGTCGGTGGCTACCTGCGGAAAGATAGATCGGGAAACCTTTTCAGGATGCAGACATTCTCGGACAAAAAGGATGCGCTGTTCAGCAAATGGAATGAAAAGGTGAGCCCAGCTATTTCAGAGCCTAATGTGCTTTGCCCCCTTCCCTCCTTTGTGCTCAGTGGAAGTTGTTTTGGGCTAGATCCAGATCTTCTGATACAGGAAAGGTTCCTTCCATTTTTGACAGTGACTGAGATCCAGCTGCAGCTCCTCACGGGAGGAAGGGAGGGGAGGGGATAGCCAGAGATTTCCTTTCCACGCTGCATCTCCCAGTACCGCCTCCAGCGTTCTGGAGGGTTCAACCTCAACCCTTCAAAGCCGTTTGGGAAGGTGCAGGGGCCTGCAGAAAGAAGGGAGAAATTTCCCATCCAGGGCTCTATCTATACTTTTAGCGAAGTTCTGCTCCAGGCAGCCCTGGATCCAACCCCTTGTTAACTGTAACAAGTCATTCAGGTTTGGATTTTGTTTTTGTTTTTTAAAAGCTCCTAATTTTGAGCATTGTGAGCAATGCAAAATCAAACCATAATAATGGCACGTGCAGCTTTGTCTTATTGTTTGGGTAACAGTATGCTCATTGCGTGGACAGGCGGAGTCCCCAGATCCCGAGCGGTCCCCCCCCCCATCATGTGGAATAACGACTCAAGACAACGTGCTATGGGATTAAATTGGCCACAACTTTATTAAATTTCAAATGTGGGTAGACCTTGGCTCAGGCATTGGGCGTTCTCCCTCCCCAGTCCCCAGCCGGGGACCTAGGGAGCATTAGGGTTATCCAGTGTGTGTGTGGGGAATGGGCCGGCTCTGGAGAACATATGTTCAAGCAGAGATAGCCGCCCCTGTTACGCCGCCGCCGCAGGGGAGAGCAATAACGACCTTTCGGCGTACGGTCAAAGCCTCCCTTCAGAAACCCCTTTAACGGGGAACCCTGGTATCGCCGCCACAAAGAGGAAGATGGACTAAAGGCCCAAGGCCTGATACTGCCAAAGTTGTGACATTTTGCTATGGGAAAGGCAAAACCTGCCAATGCAGGGAAATTCCTTTCTGCCCCTTTAACAGCGACCTTAACGTAGCAGCGCCCACATACCTGTGAAGAAAAGTTAACCTGGAAAACCTGTGAAGAAAAGTTAACCTGCAAAATAAGACATTAACTGAGGGTGGGTAGGGTGGGAGAAGCTCTGGAGCCAAGTGAGTATTCCCAGGTAAGATCCTCCCTCTATTGTGTGGGCAGGTAATCCCTCCCCTACCTGGCCTGGTCTCCTTGGCAATGCTTCCCCCAGGTGGGATTGGACAACTGACTGAGGTAGGCGGAGACCTCCAGGTATCCCACCTGAGGGAAGGCAAAGCCAAGCCTATGCTGATGGAGCCGCTCCAGATCTAGGGGCAGCGCGTGTCCACGCAAAGGGCGCTCCCCGTTTTAAGCGGGGAGCAGTCATTCTAGAAACCACAAATAGGGAAGAAATCCCGCTCTCGTTATTCTCAGTTATTATTTCAGCACAACCTGTTTCTAACAAAATGTCAGAATTTATTTCTGAGACTCTGGTCATTTGGGAAAGTGCTTTATGAACGTAAATTAATATAAAGTACCTCCCTGCAGATTCTGTGTGCTGTGATATCAAAAAACCCACAAACAAACAAAGTGGCACTTTTTAATATTTAATTAAAGGTATTTTGCACTTTCATTCAGTGGAACTTTACATTTTCAGTTCCCTGAACACCTTTGCTGCAGGTTATGTTTTTTTTGTAAAATATAAAAGGAACGCTGCACATGTAACAAGCTATTTCAGGATAGGCATGGGTGTAGATATTGGACTACTTTAGATGTAACACTAAACCATAGTTTAGTATTGCAAGAGTGAACCTGGGTAACACCTGAACTCCCTAGTCCTTCAGAGCAGTCACAAGGGCAGTTTGGGTGCTTTCACTTCCATTTTAGATTAACCGTAGCTTGCAGTTCCATCTAAACAAACTACGATTCATTCTAACTATGGTAGAAACAAACTAATATCAAACCCAAGTTTACGATGCTGGCTTGTTTTTGCAAACCACAGTGAAGATTTACCATTAGACCATAGTTAAGTGTTATAGGAGAACCTGGCTATTAACTAGTGGCAGGCAGGTGTTCTCTTCCATACAAACCATTCAAGTCTAAATCAGTTCCATTATTAGAAATGTACCCAACCCTTTCAGACCTTTTTTGGATCCACTTCATTGCCACAGAGATTCTGAAATGCGATAGGAAAAAATGGAGTTTCACAAGCTGGTCCCTAAGTCCATTGCTAATGAAATATACTCGGAGTCGAGAGTGGATTTCATGCTCTTTATTCAGCTCATAGTGGTGAGGAGGAATGGAAGTTCCCCCACAATATCAGCTTTATATACATTATTTACACAATGGGCTGCACGTGATTGGCTAATTCCGGAATTCTCCTGTAGGCAAATCAGGTTGTGGATTCACTTCCACCTGGAGCTGGATTGGGTGGCTCCTGCGGACCAATCATACTGCTGCATTGTTCTAGGACCAATCAGACTGCTGCATTTTGGATCCTATTCAACTCAGTACATAACAGCTAATATGACTGGAACGGAACTGCTTCAATTCATAAGTAATAATCATAATTTGTACAGAACATTCAAAGTGTTCAGTGTGCATTATCTCAGTGATCAATACAACATCCCTGTGAGTGAGGCCTGCAGTATTATCTCCATATTGACCATGGAGCTTAGACAATAGTGTCTTGCCTTCATAGTCAGCCTGTAGCCGAAACAGGATCTGAACCAGGGACTTTATAGTGCACAGCTCACCATCCTAGTCATTTCTCTATACAGTGGTGCCTCGCAAGACGAAATTAATTCGTTCCGCGTTCGTTCGTCTTGCGGTTTTTTTCGTCTTGCGAAGCACGGTGTCGGAAAAGTTTTGGAAAAGCTTCAAAAATCACCAAAGTCTTCAAAAACCTCAAAAAAGGCTACCACACTGCGTGCTATGAGTTGCTCCTTGAAGTCAAGTCGCAACTGTATTAACGGTTTTAAGAAAAGGAAACAAACTTGCAAGACGTTTCCGTCTTGCGAAGCAAGCCCATAGGGAAAATCGTCTTGCGAAGCAACTCAAAAAACCAAAAACCCTTTCGTTTTGCGAGTTTTCCATCTTGCGAGGCATTCGTCTTGCGAGGTACCACTGTACTCATTAACTAGTTCATCTTACTTTAAGACTTTTCACTGCTGCATTCAGGGGCTTTGCAAAAGCATTATCCTTAAACAGCCCCACTTCCTTGTTGGATAACGCCTGGCTGGAGTAAACACATGTAATTCAATAAGGGCCAAGGGAGTCTGGGCAGCAGCAGGACAGCATCTTGTGAAATATTTCCTTTCAGTCTTTCAGGCCAAGGTTTCCCCATATAATCTAGATTACCTTGCAAGCCCCGTTTTAAAATAGTGATAACCTAATGTAAAACCAATGTGTTGTGTAAGTGAATGAAACCATAGGAAGCATACGTATACAAGCTGTTTCGGGGTATCAAAACGAATCCATTGCAGGATGCAAATACATTTTAATCAACATTTAGGTTGTATATTGGTCAGATCTGCTATTATTTGAACAGCGTCAGTTTGGGATAAAGTCCCACAGATTTAAACAAGAGACAAAGAGATGCATATGAGTAATCAAGGAGCCATAAAAGTGCTAAACTTTAATGGATTGCACCTAATGTTACTGTGAACTATGAGTTCCAAGTCTGATTTATTTCGGTCAATATTACGTGGCGAAAGGCTGTATCTGGGAAAGCGTGCTCAAGATTTCAGTCCTTCTGGGTAAACGATGCTGTCAGTTGCACAGATGTGTGTCTAAAGAAGTCCAAATGGGCAGGATCGTGACACAGTGGAAAGCATAGGTAGTGTTTTAGTCTGAATGGGGCCATATTCCACCTCTGAATGGGGCCTCCTGCTGCCGCCGCGCAATTTCTGTTCTTATCCTGAAGCAAAGTTCTTAACCCGAGGTACTATTTCTGGGTTAGCGGAGTCTGTAACCTGAAACATCTCTAACCTGAAGCGTCTGTAACCCGAGGTACCGCTGTACTGTATTGTATTGTGTTATACATCAGAGTCATTCGAAGAACAAGATCAGTCAGAATAGACTGGAAGTGCCTATGTTAAGGTTAGCCAAAATTCCTGTTTCTCAGCTTCTTTTGCATAAGGACATTCTGATTGTCTATATAAATGAGGTCATCTCACACAGTTGACTTTATGAGCTGCTGAAATCGACAAACACTCTCTGCAAAAATCTTATTTCAACTGGGGCTCTCTGAAAATAATCTGTGCATTTACCATCTTGTTTAGAAGCCTGTAGCATCCACTGAATTCATCACACCCACAACCCACACACACCTGTTTCTTGAAAGAGTTCTATCTCCTGACACATTTGTTTAACCACTTTTGTTGTAAAATAAAGTCTTTCCCCCCCTTTCTCCAGGTACCAGAGGTTTTTTTTTAATTAAAAAAAAATAGCCAGTAGTGAAAGGGGATATATCAGATCCCCAAAATTATAATGCCCATGCTTTCTCAAGCATAGTAATTAATACTTGTGTTGGGAAAAGTTATGGTTAAAATAACCCTAAGAATTCATACCTTATGATCCAGACCTTGAACATTTCATTCACGGCAAAGTGAACTTTTATCAGGAAATGTTTTGAGGGCAGCCTCCCAGCAGCATATCTCTGGGCTCCCTTGACACCATGACTATCAACTTCCAAGGAGAATATTAAAGCACTTTTATTCCTCAATATTTTTCCATATTGTTAGATTTGCCATTTTAGATGTAATTGTAATTGTTTTAGCATACTATTGTAATATACTTTGTGCTTCCTTCTGAAATTAAATGGGGGTACAGACATGAAATTAAACTTGCCTAACCGGACTGTATTTTAAAGGAATCCAAGATCAGTCCAACTGTCCATGAAAATAATCATTGGCTCAAGCTCATAAACCACAGCTGGATTTGTTAAACATGCATATTAAGTAAAACCAGGCTATAATTCAGATTTTCTTGAACAAACATTGAAATGAACTCGCTGTAATTCATTACAGCTGGGCTTGTCTCTTTCTTTCACTGCGACTGCCTGTCATGTTAGGCCCAGTATTTACTGTTGTTCTGAGTGCAATTGTCAATTAGAATATCATCATTCACTCTACAGGGAGGGAAAACAGTGGTTTTTCTATAGAACTACTGAAAGCTCTGAGGCTTATTCCAAACTGGATTGCACTTAAGAGACATGTATCATCAAGGCACTATTTATTTATTTATTATTGCTAACCATATAGTCAGTGGGCTGTGTTGAGGCCTCTTCTTGCTTAGGCTTTGCTTGTTTCTTTGTTTAAAAATTACGAATAGGTTTCAAATCTTGGGATGTGTGTCCCCCCCCCGGTTTTCTGATACATCCCTCGTGTTTGGGAAGGGTGTGTGTGCTGTTTTGGCAATGGATGCAATAGTATTACCTGGCTGAACTTTGGAAATAAAGGGAATAGCTAACTTCCATCTTCCTCAGCTCTGTGGTTTGGCTGGAAGCAGTTTCCCAGAACTGAAAAGAGTGCTCAAGCTATAGAGAAAGATCAAGTCTTCAGGTGGCATCAGGGTGCTGTCAGTGGCTCCCGGCTGGTTGCCCAGGAAGTTGTAAAGACAAGGAAAAGTTTCTTCCGGTCCTTTTTTATTTCAAACTTTACAGAGAGAGGCTATAGAACCCAACCTCTTGGATAATGGTGTTGTCCTGAGTGAATCTCCACCCCCCCATCTCTCCCATTTCCTCATTCTTCATCCTCATCACCTCCTCTATGGGTGCTGCCTCCTCTGCCTCCAAGCTCTTTGCTCTCCTACTTTTAAGGCTTGTTGGGTTCTGGGAGATGGTGGGTCTGGAGTGCTTTCTAATGACAATGTGTCAGTCAGCTGCTGCTCCAGATTTGCCTGCTCCTATCCCATAATTTCCCATCTTTCCCCCTCATCTGCCTCTGAGCTGTGATCTCCCGCAAACCCCTGTTGTAAATCTATACTGTCTTCCTCTTTCTCCTCCCTGGAAGGGTCAGGATTCTATGATTCTATGATTCTATGATTCTAGGATGGGGAGGCGGTCTCCACCATTCCTCCTCTGCCTGGTCCCTGACAGGTGGCCTCTTGCTCGGAAATGGCTCACTAAGGCTTGATTGATGCATTTGTGCATAATTCATAACTTGACAGTTTCAGCACTCAACGACTCCTTTAACCAATGCAGTGACTATTTGCACTGAAAAGTGTTGTCTTTACAAAGTGAATATGGGAACATAAGTGAGTTCTGGTAGATCAGACTCTGGCATCTTGCTTCCTACAGTGGCGACTCTGGGAAAGCCAGAAATAAGACATGAAGAAGTTTCCCCCTCCCTAGCAATTGATACTCAGAGTTATCTTGTCTTAAAACCTGCAGGTTTTATATAGCTATTAGGACTAATAGCCATGACCTGAGTAATGAAAGAAGTGATCAACACGCATGTGTAAAATGGCCCTTTGTAGTGTTTTTAATGTGATTTTAATTGCACCTTGCATTGTATTAGCAGTAAACATTATGGCGTGGTTGTTAGAATGGTGCCTTCTGGAGATAAATAGAGGAATTCTGACTCAAATCATCATGTTCACCGGTTGATGGTTACTGCAGAGCTGAAGCCATTGCAGCTCATGCACCATAGACAGAGTTTTCTTATTATTGGAAGTTGCTTCAAACACATTCAACTAAATTGTTGTGCTAACACAATATTGACTCCAAGAGAAGAGGGGAAATGGTTCCACCTGACAAGCAGAAATCCTTGAGCTCATAATAATAATAATAATTTATTATTTATACCCTGCCCATCTGGATGGGTCTCCCTAGCCACCCTGGGCGGCTTCCAACAAAGTATTAAAATACAGTGGTCTGTTAAACATTAAAAGCTTCCCTAAACAGGGCTGCCTTCAGGTGCCATCTGGTGGGAGGGCATTCCACAGGGCGGGTGCCACTACCGTGAAGGCCCTCTGCCTGGTGGAAGTGTTCTACCCAGAGGTTTCCAAATGCCTCACTTCACATAGTGACATATGAGTCACCAAGTTTAAAGTCATCAGTAGAGCTGGAATCAAGTGAGGTGGATCTGTGGTACCCAACCTTTTGTGCTGTGGTCATCATCCTGGAAGTTCTGTTGATCCTGAACAACACACGACAAGGTGAAAAGACTGGTTCTCTGCTGAACGCAGAGTCATGATGCAGTATGTGTGATGTGTCTTCCTTTTGTGATGCCTTGTGCTACTGCTTTGTGCTATGGTGCTGCAGGAGAACAGCAGCTAAAGGAATTTCTTAACATAAATGAGGGTTTTTAAGAACCCATTTGGTACACACGTAGGAGGCTGTCAGGAAATTTGAAACAGAAAAGTTTTATAAACCCCTTACAAACTCCACAAAGGTTATGTAGATCCCTGACAAGTTTATTCGGTATCCTCTGATTTTTGTATCCTATCAGTATGTACATCGGAACAAATGTCACAAGAAATATGGGGAGGAATCTAAAAGAGGAATGTTGGCTTTCAGCAGCCCCAGGGCATTTACTCAGGTGATGTCTCATGCCCTGATGCTAAAAAAAGTCAATATGTTGAGGCATTGGTATAGTTGCACGTGGGTTGCTGTCAGGGAAAACATGTCTACTCTGTATTGGTGCTTATATATCAAGATTCATGACGTTAGTTTGGCTGGGAATGGCATGCTGAAGTACTTGTTATCATCACTCAGATCAAGTAACTGAACCACAACTATTAATGGGACTGACACAGAAGTGGGATATCTGATCCTAATAAATCTCCAAGAGATTTTTATTTTATTTTTTATTTCCAGAAGCTCCTGATATAAACACTCATGTACAGGCAATGTAGTATTTGCAGATGCAAATTTCTATATATTATGACCTGTTAAGTGCAATTGAACTGAAGCCACAGAACAGTTCAGTTTTGGCACCCGATTTAACCTGATGGGATGATAAAGGCTGGGAGGTGGAGGCAACTTCATGAAATGTTCATTATAGTGCTTCTGGCAGTGGGAAGAAAATCAAAGGGTTTTATTAGGTGAATAAAGAAAGAAAAAAGAAAGTTGAGTATCAGAAACATTGCCAGGTTCATCCTGTTGGTGTATAAAGAAGGAATTCAGTGAAGTCAGGTGTTCATAAAAACTCCAAGTTAATTTTGGAACGAATTTCAAATTGCTACTAAAAGCACGATATTTATGCCTAATGACGCCTTCGTGTCTAATTCCTGCCTTTTTCAGCACATATTTCTTTCAAACAATCTCATCCAAGTACCAGGTCAGACTAAGGCATTCTGGATAGGAAACGGTGTCAACAGAGTTAACTTGGCTGCTCAGAGAACACATTGCCCCAGCAAGAATTTTAGGCAAATATTATGTTCTAGAAGGAGCAGCCAGAGACCTTATAGAAAGGAGATACTGTTGAGCATGGTACAACACCCGTTCGCCTTGAAAGCAACCTGTTCCATGGCGCTGCCAAATAAAGTGCGACCTGGCTGATTGAGGGAAAGTGGTAGTTGAAAGCAAATATTTTGCAGGGTTAGAGCAAGGAGCCAAACGGCAGCTGAGTTGGGGAACCTGTGTCTTTGGACTGAAACACTTCAGACCATGGAAGTGAATGTACCAGTGTAAAAATAATCCTTGCACACGGTAAACAAAATGTCAGGAAATAGATTTCAAGCCTACTCTTTTCCCTGATATGCTATTTTTCTATGTAAAATGTTCATCAGTGTAAAAATAATCCCTTGCACATAGAAAACAAACCGTCAGGAAGTAGGTTTCTAGTCCATTCTTTCCCCTGACATTCTATTTTTCTATGCATAAGGATGTTTTTGTTTCGTTGGGGGTTGATTCCGCCATGAGAGCCCCCACCTGAAGTCTGAAGTGGTATTCTAAGACATAGATTTGCCACCTCAACTGCAGTTGGGAAGAGATAGGCCTAAATTTCATGCTCAAACACAAAGGGAAAAAAGGAAAACTCCTCAAACCCTTTGAATCAAAGTGTGATTGCAGATTATCTTTCATAACCCTGTTGTAATATTATCTTATTTGAAACACCTCCATGCCTATGAGCCGTAAACCATGCTACCTCAAGGGGCTTCAGGGAAACCAAAGGGAAGTTTTTTGGTTGATTGATAAAGGGTTGTTGTTGTTGTTTAGTCGTTTAGTCGTGTCTGACTCTTCGTAACCCCATGGACCAGAGCACGCCAGGCACTCCTGTCTTCCACTGCCTCCCCCAGTTTGGTCAAACTCATGTTTGTAGCTTCCAGAACACGGTCCAACCATCTCGTCCTCTGTCGTCCCCTTCTCCTTGTGCCCTCCATCTTTCCCAACATCAGGGTCTTTTCCAGGGAGTCTACTCTTCTCATGAGGTGACCAAAGTATTGGAGCCTCAGCTTCACGATCTGCCCTTCCAGTGAGCACCCAGGGCTGGTTTCCTTAAGAATGGAGAGGTTTGATCTTCTTGCAGTCCATGGGACTCTCAAGAGGTGGCAATAATGTCTTGAGCAGGGGAAAAGGTGCGCAGAAAGAGCAGTTGTGGATGGATCTCATTTTCCCCAGTGGCACAGGGCCCAGGGTGGCTGAGAGGTGGCTGTCACAGATACAACCCATAATCATTTAATATTTTGCAGCCATAACAGTTGGTAGTGTATCTTGGGTAATCAGATGCTGGGGGCCGGGTGGGTGGAAAGGCAGCAGGGGCTATTTTACTCAGCAACATTCGGTTAACATTTCTGAAAACTGAATGCAGATCACAGTGGACTTGGGACTGATCCTGAGAGGCAGTTCTTACTTTCTGTGAGAAGTATATTCGTAAAAGCTTCCTCTAGATGTCACTGTAGCATTGTAGACTATGGAGAAGTTGTACCAGGCAGGGTGTATCACATACTGAGAACTCCTGTGAATGTGCTAACATAATTTGGTGGTAGCAAATCATACTGGTTTGTTTCAGCACCGTTGTTTTCTAATGCGTCTCAGTGATCATCACATAACAGATTAAAATCAGATAGCAAGACTATGCTTGGCAAACTGAAGAAAGCTAATGATAATCTCTGAACTTCTTTCCCGATGGCTATTTATTTCAGTGATATATTTCTCACTTGTAAAATAAACCCTCAGAGTGGCTTAGCTAAGTGGTTGTAATATGCAGAATGTTCATGGTAGGGATGGAGGAGAAATTTAGTTAAGTTCACACTGAAAGGCGAATTATCAAATTCACACTTTCCCAAGAAATATGAGAATGGAAACACATTCATCCTTCAAAATTCGCATTTAGCTGAATTTTTCGGTGCAGTTCTCCATCCAGGTAAAGTTTACAACAATGCATATATTAGGTTAAAGTGTGAATAAATATGACTACATTAATGAAAGTAACACAAGATGCATTACATTAGGACAAATTGTTTGCAAAAATGTGTGTATTAATTAATCATAGCAGCATACAAAATGCTGAAGAATTTCAAAGAGGATTTTTTAAAATCACAAATTGCTGCGGAAATTTGGAGAAATTAATATTAGGAAATGAGAAGCAGAGAACCAAAATTGACATATCCTTCCTTCCCTAGTTCATGAATATTCTAACTGTTGAGGACCAAGGGGCAGTTATAGATTTTTAAGTCAATGCTCCTGTTGTAAAGTATGAGGAAATTGTTAGTGGAAATGGGGAAGAGAAGCAAGGGGACTGTGAAGACATGGAGCAGGAGAGGCAGAGAATCAAAACTACAAGAAAGATGAATAAGGGTGGAATAACAACAACAACAACAATTTATTATTTCTACCCTGCCCATCTGATTGGGTTTCCCCAGCCACTCTGGGCGACTTTCAACAGAACATTAAAAACAGAATAAAACTTCAAACATTATAAACTTCCCTAAAGAGGGCTGCCTTCAGATGTCTTCTAAAAGTCAGGTAGTTGTTTATTTCTTTGACATCTGATGGAAGCCCTTCCACAGGGTGGGTGCCACTACCGAGAAGGCCCTCTGCCTGGTTCCCTGAAACTTCACTTCTCGCAGTGAAGGAACCACCATACATTGTTTTGAAACGATAAGCTATCTAGTATTGACTCTCTGAGCAGTGAAGACCGTTAATAACGGTGTTTTATGCAAATAGCCTACTTCAAAGTTTGCACAGAATTCAGTTCAACTCCATTTATAACGGTTGGTCATCACTGAATACTAAAAAGTATGAGTTTAAAATGTACAGCTAGCAATTGGGAGGGGAGAATCATTGTCCAGTCTGATAATAAAAACATAAGCAGATAACTGGCCCCAAAACAGCTTCTTCTTATTCTTCCTATTATTATTATTATTATTATTATTATTATTATTATTTATTTCTGATTTATGTCTATGTGTGTGTAGTGTTGGAGCAAAAATGGCAACATTACATATCGCATAATTGCCCAATTTGGAAAGAAGGCACCAAATTCCAGAGGCTTTCCCATAGCAGACATTCCTTTGAGAATTTCAGACAAAAATCTTTGTCTGGGCAAAATCTATGGTAAGAACCTTGACCACACTTAAACCACAAATACAAAGATGACAGCTCATGGGAACTTTTGCATACCTTCCCATAAAATAAGCCAATGTCATTGTTTGGAAGTGCAGGACCACGACTGCCTGTCTGTTCAAATAGGCATGTTCCAGTTGCAGGTAGTGGCCATGGGAAGTAATTACAGGGGTTGCCAGAGTTGGATTTGATTAGAAGTTGTGGGGAAATATGTGGCTTACAGAAGAGAAGGTGCAGTTTTGCAAAGGAAGTGTATTACGAATTAAAGGTCTAATGTGTTTGCTTGCTCCTTCCCCCCTAGGAAAGATCATATCTAGCCGGAAAGGGAACAAAATTGATAAAGAAGAAGAAACCACCAGATTCCTCAGGTTAGTTTTTGTCTTCTAGACATAATGACAATACCTTTCTATGCCTAGCCTTGTGACCTAGAGAAGAGGGACTAGACTTGTCAAAGGGGGAAAGGGCTTTAGCATCGCAGGGCATTCTGAGGTGAAATTTCTCAACCTTGGCCTCTTGCCCATGGGACCTGTGCCAAGTCTACACCTCTAGACTAGCTCGTTTTATTCTTATAAGCCTAAACTTATTCCTGTAAATACAGTGGTACCCTGGGTTACAAACGCTTCGGGTTACAAACTCCGCTAACCCGGAAGTAGTACCTCAGGTTGCAAAATTTGCCCCAGGAGGAGAATGGAAATCGCACGCTGGTGCGCGGCAGCAGCGGGGGGCCCCATTAGCAAAAGCGTGCCTCAGGTTAAGAACAGTTTCGGGTTAAGAACGGACCTCTGGAATGAATTAAGTTCATAACCCGAGGTACCACTGTATGTCAGCCATGTTACTTACCAATTAGAACATGGGTAGGCAAACTAAGGCCCCGGGCCTGGATCTGGCCCAATTGCCTTCTAAATCTGGCCTGCGTACGGCCTGGGAATCAGCATGTTTTTACATGAGTAGAATGTGTACTTTTATTTAAAATGCATCTCTGGGTTATTTGTGGGGCATAGGAATTCGTTCATTATTATTTTTCAAAATATAATCCGTCCGCCCCAAGGTCTGAGGCAAAGTGGACCGGCCCCCTGCTGAAAAAGTTTGCTGGCCCCTGAATTAGAAGATTTCTCAAACAGAATTTTAATATTTCAGACCGAACTATACATACTGCAAACTATACTTGCAGAATTTTTTGAGATGTTGTTTTGTTCTTTTGTTCCAGTACATGGGAAATCTTGGGTTACCTTTTGTATCAGTGTAGAATAAATGGAGGAAAGAGGGAGAAACAAATGACTTCCCCTCCCCCCAAAAAAACCAACAACTGAAATGCTGCGGGCCATACATGTTCTTCTTTCATTGAAATGGCTGCTGTTTTCTGTTTGGTTCCAGAGGAATCTGATGGGAGCCCAGAATCGTATTCCCACACAGAAAAGGTCCATAAACTCAACAAGGAGAATACGGAGAAGGCAAGTGCTCTTTTCGTTCAGAGAAGTTCCCTTAAACCTCTTACTCATGAGTCAAAGGAGAAGGCAGAGGACAGCCATAGCAAAAATTGGAAAAGCTCGCTCCCAAAGACAACAGGGAAAAAACTGGCAGAAGCAAAGGCCGTTTGTAAAAAACCGAGTAGCGACGATACAAAGAGTGATGCTTTGGGAGTTGTAAAAAAGCATCAGAGGTCTGAAGAAAGCCCAGAGAAAGCAGAAAAAGATGTTGAAGGAACAGATACTAGCAGAGATGAAGAAACAGAAGTACCAGAAACTACATCCCCAGGTGAAGATACAGCAGAAGATCTCAGCAGTCCATCAAAAAGCCAGAATCAAGATGTCAGGTAGGTTTTATATGATAATTCCTCAAATATCATGCAGCTACCTATTAAAGATTATTGCATGCATGAAGAATGGGGCTTGTTGTGATTTATGCAAAGGTCACATACAACACTGAATTTGCATTTTAGAAATCTGTCATACTTGACAAAACAGACGAACATATTGGTTTGGAGATGGCAAAATGACAAAGCTCCACTAGCAACCAATAACGATTGAAGTGTTGGTTTAGTTTATTTTATTTATTGTTAGTATAACATACAAACATAGTACTATTACAAATAAAAGCATAGGAAAATACCATTTTAAAATGTTGACAATGTGAGTTTTTACAAATGGTAATGATAGTTACTGATTGTTCCAATACTCAATCTCCCCGTTGAAAATTAATATTTGAATATTCTTCCCTTGCCTATCTAGTGATGTTTAGTATCTCTGTATCCAAAATATATAGAACTTAGTATGTGCGTTCTTTGTGATCTGCTCTGGTCTGGTCTGAAGTTTGCAGAGATCAATAAAGTATAAAATGGTGAAGACACCGGCTGCTTTTTGTGCAGTTATTTTATCGTATGCATTTTGTTTACCATATGCATTTTGTTTAGGCATGAAACGCAAACACTAAAAAAAGTAACGAGCTCCTTACATTGTTTTGTTTTAACCTATATTTTTGCTTCATTCCAACTCCACTCTCATGATGCCATTAGAATAATCTCTATCCCTCATCCTGTAGGCATAAGGACAGTGAAAAGGCCTCATTCCCTCCAAAAGATGAGCAGAATGGCAGCAGTAAGCGTCGTGTGAATGACTTTGGTCTTACCAAAGAGGAGAGCAAAAAGAGCAGGGTAGATGCAGCGAATGCTAAGGATGGACAGAAACCCAAAGGAGCGACGAAGCCAAAAGAGACACAGCCTGCCTTGCCTGGGAAAACAATTGGATCTGATTCCACACCCAAGAAGACTGAAAATAAGCAAGAAGCTTCAATAGGAGACAGTATTACAATTGGTACAACCTGGCTTAAAAAAACAACATAGATATGCATGGTGATAACGCCAAGCAAAATGAAGTGTACCTTGCATCTTTAATTAACTTCCCAGGAGTTAATAGAGCTTGCATGAAACTTCAGGGGTGTTATTTTGTTAATTCACACCAGCTGACAATCCGTTTTGAGAATGAGGAAATTCAAAAGCTTTCTGTGGAGTCCATTCTGAAGCCCCATGGCGACTTGTTCATTGGGGGTTGTTGTTGTTTTGTACCAACTAACAGGGCTTGAGGCTTTTGCAAAATGTGAGTCTTCTTTGTTTTGTTTTGTTTTGTTAAGTTAAGGCACAGTCCTCAAGAAGTTCACAAGATTCTTTTTTTACAGGAAAATTTTTCCATGGCGTGAGAAACCGTTGCAATACTACCCTTTAGTTAATTCTTTTTAAAAGTGGTGATATAAGAATCCATGGAAAGCCACTGGAGAACTTGATAGCTGCCCAGCTTGCTCCAAGATGGTCCCATGACTTGGATTCCGGATTCCTGATAAATCCAGTTCTTAGGAGCCTCTTAAAGCAAACTTTCTGGGGCAAATGGAAATGCTTTCATGTGTTGTTATTCACACAAATGGCTTTTAGTAAGTACCGTATTTCTCACTCTATAGGACGCACTGGACCATAGGACGCACCTTGTTTTAGAGGGGGAGAACAAGAAAAAAAAAATCTCCCCCTCTCTGCTCAGCGCCCCTTCAGCGAAGCGGCAGGAGAAACGAAGCCCCTTCCATTTCTCCTCCCGCTTGGCTGAAGGGGCGCTGCACAGCTCTCCCTCTCTGCTGAAGCCAGGAGAGTCTTGCTCTCCTGGCTTCAGCGAAAGGAACCTGAAGCCTCCGGAGCGCAGCGGGAACTCGCGCTGAGCTCCGAAGGCTTCAGGCAGCTATCTCTGAAGCCTGGAGAGTGAGACAGGTCGGTGCGCACTGACCCCTCTCGCTCTCCAGGCTTCAGTGAAAGCAACGCGAGGCCTCCAGAGCGCGGAGGGAGCGCTCCCTCTGCGCTTCGGAGGCTTCGCGTTGCTATCGCTGAAGCCAAGGAGCCTGCATTTGCTCCATAGGACGCACACACATTTCCCCTTAATTTTTGGAAGAGGAAAAGTGCGTCCTATAGAGCGAAAAATACGGTACCTGACTTACACAAACAGGCCCAGGACTTACCTCCCTAAACTCACAAGGTGGGTTGATGTGGTGGCTGTTTGTAGCTTTAACCAAATTAAGAGGTAGCCTCCAATTTCCACACCATAAGCCCTGTGTTTATATACCACCACCCCCTCATTCTTCCCTGGAATTCGAGTACAGAGGTGAGAATTTTGAAATTCAAAATATACTCTGGTGCATGTCCGGAGTGAAGTTCGGTGTTGAGTGTAGCCAACGAAACTCACCATCAGGCCTTGCTGTAGAAGGGGGAATTAATATTTTGTAAAACAAAGTGCATGTGTACTGAACATTGTAACACTGCTTGTTCCGTGGAAATGGTAGATAATGAGCATAAGTCCATTTCTTTATGTCATGTGAGGATTTCACATGCATTTCTTATCATTTGTAGAGTATATCTCACCACCGGCGGCTCCCTTTGATCATCGGATCGTCTCAGCTAAAAGAGCAGGGATCAATAGCTATTATCATGTTAACAAGGGCGAAGTTTTGGGAGGGTAAGTACAATTGAAGGTATTGTTAGCAGAATGAGGAATCTCTTCAAGTTCTTGAATATCACATTGTTGTGGATGGTTTTATGGTAGATTAGGCAATAGGGGTAACTAAAGTAAAACAACACGGACAACCATTTAAAGTGGTGTGGAAAATCAGTAACAAAGGCAATTGATAGTTTTAAATGTTAAGTTATATAACATATTATTTTCCATTTGGCATAATTAGCCATGTTTTCAAGATATAGGTTAAAAAGCTGAGGTAATATCCAACTGAGTCATATTCAGAATGGCCCCACTGAAATGAATGCACGTACGTCCATTGATTTTAGTGTATCTACTCTGAGTATAACTAACATTGAATATCACTCTGTATATCAATTAGTGGGGACAGTGTCCACTTTCAAGGTACACAACCATTCTTACCTGAACTCCAATTCTGTCCATTATTCCTTACAGGAATCATTCTCAGGGTAACTCCCACATTATTTTCCTCCTTCAGACTTACATTGGCGTGCCTTTCTTAAGTATATTTCCTCTTAATTTGAGGAGGTTTGACAGAAATAGCCAGGAGTCCAGCAGGATTGGTGGGGCAGGACCTCACAATAAGGGACAATTGCTAGACCAGGCTTCCTCAACCTCGGCCCTCCAGATGTTTTGAGACTACAATTCCCATCATCCCTGACCACTGGTCCTGTTAGCTAGGGATCATGGGAGTTGTAGGCCAAAAACATCTGGAGGGCCAAGTTTGAGGGAGCCTGTGCTAGACACTGTTCTGCCTCAAATAATGAGATTCTAGTGAGGATAGCAAACTTGAATGCTCATATCTCAAAGGAATGGCGATGGGTCTTGGATTCAGCAACGTTTCCCTCTTTTCCTTTCTTTAGTGGACGATTTGGCCAGGTGCATAGATGTGAAGAAAAATCAACGGGTCTCAAATTAGCCGCCAAAATTATAAAAGCAAGAGCTGCCAAGGAAAAGGTAAGGGCAACTGGAGTGCAGGCCTACAGCAGACCCTTGCCCAAGGGGTTTTGTTATGCAGATTACTTTGCCACTTCCAAGTGGCAACTTCTGTTCTACTGATTCTCATATACCTTGGTTTATTACGCTCCTGTTTGTACAACTTGTGAACACAGCTGTGGAACAGTTATTTCTTCTTCCACTTGAATTGCCTTTTGAATCCCAGCTCACTCGTGTCCACAGCCCATAATGAGATCTCCCTGTAAATCCATGGTTATAAATAAGCCGTATTATTTAATTTCTTTAATTTCTTTTATTGTAGTTAATTTTTCTGCCACTGAGCCATAGTCTTGGCCACTCTTTCCATTACACCAAGTTCAGGAGGGATTTATCTGTCCTATCACAGACACCAGGATTTCCCCACCTCTCACACTATTACAATATCCTTACCATTTCTAGGCATGAGCTACTTTCTCCTGTCCCCCCCCCCATTAGCTTAAAGCTATTGCCACTAGACAATATTTACAATATATTTTTGCTAGTAATAGGGAGATACCCAGTCCGATTGTCCTACAAACCTAGGAACATTTTGAATGAAATGTCAACAGCAGGAAGGAGCGATAGCCAGTGTGGTGTAGTGGTTAAGAGCGGTAGTCTTGCAATCTGGGGAACCGGGCTCATGTCTCCGCTCCTCCACATGCAGCTGCTGGGTGACTTTGGGCTAATCACACTTCTCTGAAGTCTCTCAGCCCCACTCACCTCACAGAGTGTTTGTTGTGGGGGAGGAAGGGAAAGGAGAATATTAGCCGCTGTGAGACTCCTTAGGGTAGTGATAAAGCGGGATATCAAATCCAAACTCTTCTTCTTCTTCTCTTCTATAGCAGCGAGGTCAAGCAATAAGTGTGCATCCAATTTCTGCCATATTTATCATCATATTTAGCACCGTTCTTGCATTCTTCACAGGACGAAGTAAAGAATGAGATTAATGTGATGAACCAGTTGAACCACGTGAACCTCATTCAGCTGTATGATGCTTTTGAATCAAAAAATGACATTGTTCTCGTCATGGAATAGTATGTTGAATGTTTCTTCTGTTTCCTTTTCTCGGGCTTTTGGTTATGTCCACACATGTGCATTTACACACACAGAGTAAATGGGCCTTTTATTTCTGAGCCTTATTTTGACGTGGGTTGGTTGTTTTGTTTTATTTTATTTTTTTATCTCAGAATAAAACTTTATTTAGAATTCGACAATAACAAAGACCCCCCCCCCCAGTTGGGTTGGTTGTTTTAACTGTAGTCGCTGTGAGAGAGAAGAGTTCAACCTCTCCCTATTCACCACCATGCATACAGTGGTACCTTGGTTCTCAAACTTAATCCGTTCCAGACTTTTAAAAACACCCCTAAAACAGCAATGAACAGCAAGTAACATGAATTTTACTAACAAAACCATTGATCCATAAAATGAAAGCAATAATCAATGTACTGTACTATAAAATAAATAAGACAGTATTGTAGATGTTAATTTAAAAAAATAAATAATAATTCTTACCTGCACTGATGTTTGGAAGGGGGGCTTTTATCCATTTCCGCAGTCATACTATCAATCAGTACCTGAACTGGGTTCCCACACAGTCAAAAAAACAAATTAACCAAAAAAAGCCTCAAAAACAGAAACGCAAAATAAATAGCAAAAACAAAAGTGCCAAACTTAATCCGTTTCAGAAGTCCGTTTGACTTCTGAAATGTTTGAAAAGGCGCAGCTTCGGATTGGTGCAGGTGCCCCGGAAACAATAGTCGACAACCACATTGGACGTTCGGCTTCCGAAAAACGTTCAAAAACTGGAACACTTCCGGGTTTTCAGCATTTGAGGACCAAGGTACCAGTGTATCTCTGCATGTGTAGATGTATGTACATAGAGCTTCTCCATAGGAGGGGAATTCGGACTGGCATGGAGGAGCTCTTTGCATGTATATCTGCATGTACAATGGGTACACATATCAGCACCAGGGGTAGCGTTACCCACCATGACCCCTTCATATGTTGGGTGAAATCTTCTACCAATGGCATTGTGTTCTCATGTTTTTGTGGGGGAAGAGTGGGATGCAATCTAAGTCATAGGAAAACCAAATCCTGAAATGCACATTTTGTAATTATTTTTGATTTTCTTCTTTTTTAAAAAAAGTGTTTTTATTAAGGATTTTCTAGGGTCACTTATGGGATGCGGGTGGAGCTGTGGTCTAAACTACTGAGCCTAGGGCTTGCCGATCAGAAGGTCGGCAATTCGAATCCCTGCGACGGGGTGAGCTCCCGTTGCTCGGTCCCTGCTCCTGCCCACCTAGCAGTTCGAAAGCACGTCAAAGTGCAAGTAGATAAATAGGTACCACTCTGGCGGGAAGGTAAACTTCTGGTTCGCCAGAAGCAGCTTAGTCATGCTGGCCACATGACCCGGAAGCTATACGCCGGCTCCCTTGGCCAATAAAGCGAGATGAGCGCTGCAACCCCAGAGTCGGCCACGACTGGACCTAATGGTCAGGGGTCCCTTTACCTTTACCTTTAGGGTCTCCAAGCCACATAAAGCATCTCAGCTTTCCGTTCATAGAATCCTTTCTACAGATCAGTCATATTTGAAGTGAGACACTAATATTATAGACCATATAAAGTTGGGGGAGAAGAGAGGTGGAGAGAGGGGGAGAAAGAAGCTGTTGGTAGACATTCATTCTTTTACATAGTGTATGTGCAGGGTTTTTGTGTCAGCGCCACACGGGTATGTTCTCTTTCTATTCATTTATTAGTTTTCATTGGTGGTGAGAGAGGTTTGGGGGGCACAGGGCATGGTTGGTTGCCTTCAGTTGGCTGCTGTGAGTTTCTTTAAATAAAAAGTGTGTGTGTGTGTGTGTGTGTGTGTGTGTGTGTGTGTGTGTGTAATGCACACACCCTTGATTATGGGTCTGTCCAGTAATGTGAATCTTGAATTCTCTCTTTTTCCCAGTGTGGAGGGAGGAGAACTGTTTGATCGAATTATTGACGAGAACTGCAGCTTGTCAGAGATAGATACCATCTTGTTCATAAAGCAGATCTGTGAAGGGGTTCAGTACATGCACCAGATGTACATCCTCCATTTAGACCTGAAGGTACAGTGCATTGATTACTCTACCCATGAGATTAAAGGCGGCAATTTTCCTGCCTTGAGGCACACTCACTTGGCTAAAAACTGTTGGATTTCAGTTTTATACCTGCAGTTGATTCTCTCAGACTTATTTTTGTGGTCGCTTAACGAATGACTGCACTATATTCTCAAACATTTGCTTTTGTCCCTAAGAAGTCTGACCAACACCTCTGCTCTGCTGAATTTGATACCTGGGTTTAGGTTCTCACGTTTCAATACCGATAAGTAAATTGATATCTGGTCAACGTCCAGGAACTTCGTGAGTTTAACTCAGCAACAAGGATGAGATGTGTTATGTACTGTGTTGAATAGGATTCAGACTGCAGCAGTCTGATTGGTCCTAGAACAATAGGATTCAGAATGTAGCAGTCTGATTGTACTGTGTTGAATAGGATTCAGACTGCAGCAGTCTGATTGGTCCTAGAACAATAGGATTCAGAATGTAGCAGTCTGATTGGTCCACAGGAGCCACCCAATCCAGCTCCAGGTGGAAGTGAATCCGCAGCCAGATTGGCCTACAGGTGAATCCCGGAATTAGCCAATCACGTGGGGCCCATTGTGTAAATAATGTATATAAAGCAGACATTCTGGGGGAACTTCCATTCCTCCTCACCACTATGAGCTGAATAAAGGGCATGAAATCCACTCTCGACTCCGAGTATATTTCAAGATGTTACACAGAGATTTGTGTAGCAAAACCCTGTGTCCACCTTTGATATGCAAAAGTAGATTTGGAAGGAGGGTGAATAAGTAGGAGTGCACCTTTGGAACCCTGAAAGGAAAAGGATTTCTGGACAATGTGGATAGCCTGTCACCAGCTCTGACAGCATAACAACAAGGCCATAGCAACCAGAGTCTCATGCCTGCTCTGCCCCATACTCTCCTTCCCTGATCCCATCTCCACCATATGGAACGCCCTCCCATCAGATGTCAAGGAAATAAACAACTATCTGACTTTTAGGAGACATCTAAAGGCAGCCCTGTTTAGGGAAGTTTGATGTTTTATTGTATTTTTTATATTTTGTTGGAAGCCTCCCAGAGTGGCTGGGGAAACCCAGCCAGATGGGTGGGGTATAAATAATAAGTTGTTGTTGTTGTTGTTGTTGTTGTTGTTGTTGTTGTTACCGTAGTTTTCTGTGTATAAGACGAGCTTTTTTTCTTTAAAAAAAAAATGTTTAACATTTGGGCTCGTCTTATACATGGGTAGTGCAGAGTTGGGACTGGTGATTGGTTCCAGCCATGAGCAGGAGTTTCTCTGCGGGGGGAGATTGGTGACTGTGTCAAGGGGTATATGCGATTGGGTGTTGCTGTAGCACTTGGGCGCTCGATTGGCGGCTGCCATTGGCAATCATGCACATGATTAGTTGCTTTGGCGAATGTCAGCTCAATAACTCTGGGCAACCCCACACCCCAATTTTCTTAGTTTTGAGTTCCCCCAAATAGGGGTGTCTTATACATGGGGGCATGTTATACATGAAAAAACACGTTAGTTAGTTAGTTAGTTAGTTAGTTAGTTAGTTAGTTAAAAGCAGTACTGTACCACTTTAAACAGTCATGGCTTCCCCCAAAGGATCCTGGGAACTGTACAGTGGTACCTCGGGTTAAGTGCCGTATTTTTCGCACTATAAGACGCACCAGACCACAAGACGCACCTAGTTTTTGGAGGAGGAAAACAAGAAAAAAAATATTCTGAATCTCAGAAGCCAGAACAGCAAGAGGGATCACTGCGCAGTGAAAGCAGCAATCCCTCTTGCTGTTCTGGCTTCTGTGATAGCTGCGCAGCCTGCATTCGCTCCATAAGACACAAAACACATTTCCCCTTACTTTTTAGGAGGGAAAATATGAGTCTTATAGAGCAAAAAAACACGGTACTTAATTCGTTCTGGAGGTCCATTCTTAACCTGAAGCTGTTCTTAACCTGAAGCACCACTTTAGCTAATGGGGCCTCCTGCTGCTGCCGCGCCGCTGGAGCATGATTTCTGTTCTCATCCTGAAGCAAAGTTCTTAACCCAAGGTACTATTTCTGGGTTAGCGGAGTCTGTAACCTGAAGCGTATGTAACCTGAAGTGTATGTAACCCGAGGTACCACTGTACTTTGTTAAGAGTGCTGAGAACTGTTAGGGGACCCCTATTGCCCTCACAGAGCTACAGTCCCCAGAGTCCCCAGAGAAGAGGTGTCAATGGTTAACCACTCTTGAGATGGTAGAGCACTCTTGAGATGAGCAAAGATGGAATCTCCTAGCGATTCTCAGCACCCTCAATAAACTACAGCGCCCTGGTTTCTTTGAGGGAAGCCACAACTGTTAAAGTGGTAAGAGTTAAAGTGCTTTAAATGTATATTGTAGATACGGCCTGCCATATTATTATATTTGAAGCAGGACTTTTGTGTAAGATGAGTCCTTGCTGAAGGGATGCAGTTTTCCCCTGGGTTGAAGTTAGGCACAGTGGCCTGGCATGAATTTTGAGGCCTTCGCTTGGTAGTGGTCCCCATGCTGGAGAATGGGTCCAGCAAACGCTCAACAAATGCTCTTGAACTTGTTTTTTCTCCAGGAATAGCCGCACTGGTTTTGTTATATTCATATGTGTGAACTGTTCTGACTTAAGCCAAAGCAGTACTTTGAGGGGTCCGCTGAGTGAACCTGAAGAATCTGATCACTTTAGGTGGTAATTAATGTGTGTGATATTGCTGGGACATTATATCTGTTTTTAGTGCTGAAACATTAGAACTAGCAGGAACCACCTTGTTCACCTCTGGCCAAGAGGAGAATTCGATTATTGGTCCTGCCAAGCTTTTGTCTGCAGAAACCATCACATCTGAACCAAAATGGGCTAGGTCACCTTTTTGTGCTTTTAACCTTTAGTTTGCTTCAGTTCAGAACCTTGCATAACTTCAACATCTTCCTATCCATTGATGTTCCTTTACATGGATTTAAGACTATATCCATGCATAATTTTATAAACTAGTGCCATGTATCTTTTAAATGCCTTCTCTAAACGAAAAAGTCCCAAATGCTGCAACCGTTCCTCATAGGGCAGTCGCTCCATCCCTTTGGTCATTTCAGTTCCCCTTTTCCAACTCTGCAATATCCTTTTGGAAGTGAGGCAACCAGAACTGCACAGAGTATTCCAAATGCAGTTGCACCATAGATTTGTATGATGGTATTATGATAGCAGAGGGACGCGGGTGGCGCTGTGGGTTAAAGTACAGAGCCTAGGACTTGCTGATCAGAAAGTCAGCGGTTTGAATCCCTTCAATGGGGTGAGCTCCCGTTGTTTGGTCCCTTCTCCTGCCAACCTAGCAGTTCGAAAGCACGTCAAACTGCAAGTAGATAAATAGGTACCCCTCCAGCGGGAAGGTAAACGGCGTTTCCGTGCACTGCTCTGGTTCGCCAGAAGCGGCTTAGTCATGCTGGCCACATGACCTGGAAACTGTACGCCAGCTCCCTCAGCCAATAAAGCGAGATGAGCGCCGCAACCCCAGAGTCGGCCACGACTGGACCTAATGGTCAGGGGTCCCTTTACCTTTTTATTATGATAGCAGCAATTTGCCTTTTTTCAGGGCTCCTGCACATTGAGTCAACATCTCTATGATTTATCCTTCTTGAATAACTGTAAATTTGTGAGACAAGTATGGATTCAAATATATAATCAGCAATGATGGTGCTTGAGGTGGGTGCCTGAAGACTCAAATCACACATCTGACATAGCGATCCTTTGAGCAAATTCATTCCGATTTCAGCTGAGGTTGTGACATTTGAGAGCATCACCATATAAAAAAAGGATTAAAGCAATTTGTCTCCTGACAGCCCAGATGCATTTAACCTTTAAGTCTTTCCTCTCAGTCAATATCTGTTGTTGTTATTGTTGTTGTTGTTGTTGTTATATACAGCCCTTTATCTAAAGATCCCAGGGCGGTGAACAACATTAACAACATAATTCACATAGTATAATAATCAAATCACAGAAAAAATCATAATAACATTCCCCCCTCAACACACACACACATTTAAAAGGCCCACATTTAATATGTTAGATACTGGTTAGGGAGGGGAAGAACAGTGAACTAAGAAGCTAAAGCTGAAAGATAAATGTTGAGTAATGGTGAGTTTTAAAATAAGAGTGGAGGAGGAGGGGAGCTTAAAAAAAATTCCATGTCTCAGCCTGGATTCATAATGGGCTGCAAAATCACAACACAGACTTCCTGAAGTCCAGTTTGAGTCCTTTCTGAAAGCTCACTAATGAGTTTTTTATCTTGACTGGCTACATTATGTCAAACAGAAAAGTCACAGCAAGCGAAAACCTACACTGGCAGAGCATTCCCAGCCTCAAATACCACATGATTACAGTCTGAGATGTCCACAGAGTCTAACCTGCTTCGTGATGCAGGCACTGCAAAGCATATTTTTGTGCTGTGTTGTATTTTAAATGTGCTGATTCCACTTCATGTAGCATTTCTCATAAATGTGTGCTCTCTTTTTTTTCCTCCTGGCAGCCTGAGAATATCCTGTGTGTGAATAGAGAGACAAATCAAATCAAGATTATTGACTTTGGGCTGGCAAGGAGGTACGTTGCTTTCAGTCAAGCTCCAGCATCTTTTAGTTCCTAAATCCAAAGTCCATTTTCAAGTGATCCAATACTGGGAGAAATGGCGCAATAATAAAGAAAAGACTCTCTAGGCTACCAAAAGATGGCCGGTCTTGAACACATTTCCTGATGAACCTGATAGTACACATGTTGGTCGAAGTTTTTGAACAGGCAATCTTCACAGAAGGGTGAAAAGGCTGCTTTTGTTGCCGAAAATGCTGTCATAGACTGGAAGAGGGATCAAATTTTGCTTCTTTCCAAATAATTCAGAGCAAGATGCTATCGTGATACAAGATTCTCTGCAACAGGCAGCATGCGGTCATCAAAATAAACACAGTCCTCTCAAATTCACATTCTGATCCTCAACATGTTCAGTGGGTTGACTTTAGTAGGGCTTATTTCATGCCATATGTTAAGGATGGAGGTACTAAACCAAATGGCAACATTACAAAACAATGGCCGTACAAGAAAAGGAAGTTTGGGGCAAGACAACAAGAGATGCTTTCTAGTCACCAGCATGTTTTATCTCAGGCATAGGCAAACTCGGCCCTCCAGATCTTTTGTGACTACAACTCCCATCATCCCTGACCACTGGTCCTGTTAGCTAGGGATAATGGGAGTTGTAGTCCCAAAACATCTGGAGGGCTGAGTTTGCCTTTGCCTGTTTTATATTCTCTGACATCATCCTGACAGCTATCGGTTTGCCTGCCCCCACTAAGCACCTATTTAAAGCATCTTTGGGTGGAATTCAATGTCGTGTTCAGTGGGATATGTGTGAGTTCAATGTGGTCTGCCCACACAGTGGGACTCCGCCCCCCCACTTCCTTCACTGTTGTCACACGTCCCCTAAACCTAGTCTGGGTTTTTCCCCAATCCTCCAGAGCACATTTAGGGAGCGTGGGGGAAGGAAAAGAAGAAAGTCCTGTGGACAAGTGGACCTTGTTCTGCTTGCTCATCAACTTAGTTGATTCCCAACCTTTGTGTTGAACTCTTAAGTATCTGGACATACTGTAGACGTCATCTTTGCTGTCATTGTTTCTCATGTATTTCGTTGTCGTTCATTAGATATAAACCAAGGGAGAAGCTGAAGGTCAACTTTGGCACTCCAGAATTCCTCGCTCCCGAAGTTGTAAACTACGACTTTGTATCATTTCCTACCGACATGTGGAGTATAGGTGTCATTGCCTATATGTTGTAAGTATGCTGCAGCCTACATTGTTAAGACTGTGTTTTTCTTCTACAGGTGATGGCAAGTTGATGAAAGCTACTCCTGGACTCTGACTGTTGCTCAAAGTCCAGAAGGTTTACATTGCTCCTACGTAATGCACAAAACGTTTTGCCTCTTTCCCTGTTTCCCGCAGGCTTAGCGGATTGTCTCCTTTCCTGGGTGATGATGATAATGAGACTCTGAACAACATCCTGGCTTGTCGGTGGAACTTTGATGATCAAGAATTTGAAAAAGTGTCGGAGGAAGCTAAAGACTTCATCACTAAGCTTCTCATTAAGGAAAAGGGGTAACCAGATACCAGTAGCTTCAATGTACTGTCCAACCAGAAATTGTTTCCAAAAATGAAAAGTTCTTTTCATATGTATCTCTCAAGTGGCAGAGTGTTTCAATGATAAAATCCATTATAAACAAGGAGAGTTTTGACGTGTGCATCTGGTAAAAGGAACAGGGATATAGTGGTACCTTGGGTTACATATGCTTCAGGTTACATACGCTTCAGGTTACAGTGCTTCAGGTTAAGAACTTTGCTTCAGGATGAGAACAGAAATCGGGCTCCGGCGGCGCAGCAGCAGCAGGAGGCCCCATTAGCTAAAATGGTGCTTCAGGTTAAGGACAGTTTCAGGATAAGAACGGACCTCCGGAACGAATTAAGTACTTAACCCGAGGTACCACTGTAGTTCAGTCAGTAGAACATGAGGTTCTTAATCTCAGGGTTGTGAGTTGGAGTCCCATATTGGGCAGAAAAATTGGATTAGATGACCCTCACGGTCCCTTCCAACTACAGTGGTACCTCTGTATGCAAACTGGATCCGTTCTGGAGCCCCGTTTGCACCCTGAAGCGAATGTAAGACGCGTCAGCACGTGTGTGGGTCACGTTTTGCCGCTTCCGCGCATGCAAGTGGCATCATTTTGCGTGTCTGCGCATGCGCGAGCGGCGAAACCTCTAAGTAACGCATTCCGTTACTTCCGGGTCGCTGTGTAGCGCAACCCGAAAATGCTTAACCTGAAGTGTATTCATCCCGAGGTATGACTGTATACAACTCTATGATGTGACTAGATTTTAAGAACTTTCCTGTTTAATTCAACAGGAGTGAACTGAGCGTAGGTTAATAGTTAAATATCATTGTTCGTTTATCTGTTTGACTTATAATTCATCCACCCACAATCCTAAGAGGCTTTGGGTAGATAACAGTACGCTAAACCTCAGTTTCACTGAGCAAACTCTCACATCATCTCTGTCTCCTGGTGACCAGAAGCCAACAACATTATACTGCATTTCCAGGAGATGTTTTCCAGGCCCACAGTGGCTAATCCAATGTCTATAGGAAGCCTACAAGCAGGATCTGAGTGCAGTGGCGTAGCGTGGGTTGTCAGCACCCGGGGCAAGGCAAGTAATTTGTGCCCCCTAACCCGGGGCAAGGCAAGTAATTTGCGCCCCCTACCCGCTAACCTGCCGCCGCTGCCAGCTTCTTCTTGCTGCTGCCTGGTCTGGTCTGGTGTGGTTCTCTCCCGCGCTCAGCGCTGCACTGGGCGGCCGCTGCACTGTCCCTCCCCCAGATAGTCCCTCGCTCTCTCTCCGCACCGCACGCCTGGCACCCACCCCCTCCACAGTGGGCAGCGACCCAGCGGCTCGGATCAGATTCGCACAGCCAGCACTGCAGTGAGAGAGAGTGAGTGAGCCACGTAGGGGCAGAGAGCTGCGAGTGTGAGCGCGCCCCCCCCAGATGTTGCGCCCGGTGCGGCCGGCCCCCCTGCACCCCCCACGCTACGCCACTGTCTGAGTGCACCCACTAGTATAAAGGCCCAGTCGAGATCAGGATTGTATTCTGAATTGGGATCCTATGTGACTGCTTTTAAGTGGCCAGCTTAAGCATGATTTTAAAAAAGGTTAATAATGTAAAGTGTAGTTTGTTTCTCAGCTGTAAATTTAAAATTGGCTTTCAGTCAATCCTGTTTTGTTTTCTTGGGGGGTCACATTTTAAACATGAATGCTACAATCGTTGTATAGCTATTAAATACTGACACTCATTTTTACCCCCCTTTAAGCTGGAGGATAAGTGCAACTGCAGCCTTAAAGCATCCTTGGCTATTTGACCAAACACTCCATTGCAAATTGCAGTCTAAGGTTTGTATATCAGAATAGAATTGTTTTCTTGTTCCTAAGCAGGGGCGCAGAGGAGAGATTGGTTTAGCTCATTGTGCTAAATGTGATCTTCCAAAATCCACAAACTGAAAGGTGAACCAAAGCAAAGCTTCTTCGAAATTTGCACGGCTCTGAATTTTGTGGTGCCGTCCTCCCGGCCAAACGATGCATACAAAAATGTGTGTTTTTGTGAAAGTAGCACTCACAAAAATGCATTCTGCTATGTGGAGATTGCTTCCACATAATGCTTATACTGGGCAAAATTACGTGCAAAAAGTATTAGGAGAACTGTGCACAAATTTGCATACAGATATGCATGTGGGCTGCATCTGCAGTGGGGCAAACTGAAGACTGGGGGGGGGGGGGAATGAGAAACTGAGAGTAACTGAAGTTGACAAATTCACCCATCTCTATTCCTAAGTCAGTTCTGCTATTGAACCTATCTGGCTAGACTCTTATGCCTGTGCTGATGTTGGTATTGTTGGTGTTTTAAAACTACCAACTACTAAAGATGAATGGGTAGTCAAATTGTGCGAGTACTTGGAGCTCGCGAAGCTGACAGCTGCAATAAGAGATAAACCTAAAAAGATGGTGAAAGAAGAATGGGAATGTTTAAATAATTATCTCGGGGATAAGGGTTCATCAATAAAGACCTGGTTATGTTTAGAATGATACCGCATAGGGAAATGTTCCCTGATACCAAGATAAGGGATTCTATGGAATGCAGATAGAGAGAATTGATAAGAATAATGATCTGTTGTGACCTTGACGGAAGCGTACAATAGACGAGCCTTCTTGTGTTTTGGCTCATTTCACACACACACCCTTCCTTCTCCTTCTTCTTTTCTCTTTCTTTTTTCTTTCCCATAATGCCTTATGTTCTATGCCATGTACTTTGATATTTTTTGTAGTTTTTTAGCCTTTTCCATTATTATTATCATCAAGGATTTTTCTTTTGTAATTTTGGTTGTTTATATTTATCTGTATTTGTTTAAAGCAAAACAAAAACAAAAACAAAAAACAAACAAACAAAAACTACCAATGTACATGTGGTGCCTATTTGTGTGAAGAAATTATGCTGGTTATTGTAGATGTGGATTAAAGAATCTGAGGTGCCCCACCCCAGCATATGTACTCTGTTTTGTGCCAAAAGAGCTTAGCCCACACCATTATAGATGCTCCCCACATGAATGCCTGATCATTCAAATACCCAATTTGTACAATCTCTCCCCTTTTGGAAGGGGAAAAAAATTAGGAAGCACACCTATTTCTCTGCCACCATAAAGGCAGTCTGTGTCTTGATAAGAGTCTGAACTAAGTCTTGGAATCCATTGCATGATTTGAGCCTTTTAGATGTGCTTCTGAGCCACCTAACTAGAAATAGCACATACAGGGGAACCTCTACTTACCACCATAATCCGTTCCGGTGGCCCGTCCTTTGGGCAAAACGGGTTACTGGTAGAAGCGCCGTTGCGCGCATGTGCAGATGGTGGCTTCTGCGCATGTGCAGACAGCGGCAGCCGCTTCTGTGCATGTGTAAACGGCAGAAGCCGCTTCTGCGCATGCATGAATCATGGCAAACCCAGTATTTACTTACGGGTTTTCCGCAGTCACGACTTGGATCGGGCCCAAATAGAGGCGGTCGTAAGTAGAGGTTCTACTATAGTTGCTCGCTGTTTTAAATGTATCACAAGGCTGGGACTCTTGTTGAGCCAGTATTGACATTCTCTTTTATCTCCCTGTAGAGAAAGGCTAAGGCTTCCACTGGATCTCAGGCACCTGTGACTCCATAAGCTCTATGAGAAATGGAAGGTTGGTAACATTTTGGGTATCAGTGGAAAATATTGACTACTGGGCCACTCTGTGAAGGCCACTGCTTTGCTGTGAAGCGTCCTCACTACATGGATTAAAGGGGTTTCTTCCTACCACCATGTGGCTAAAAGAAATCTCCAGATCTGTATAACGATAGATTATGAATGCATGCAACCATGTGCAATTGTTTAGGGCAGTTTCCATAACAAGTGCACAGCTTCAAGTTAGTGCCGGTGGGTTGACTTAACATTGACACCTGAAATAGTCTTTGATTAGTAGCACAAAGAAGAAGCGGCTCAGCCTCTGGGGTGGAACTGCTCTGCTCGCTTTCTGGCAAGGGAGTCACTGTTGCTTACTGAGAGGCAGAGCGGCAAGGCAGTGAATTAGTTTATTTGTTCTTGCAACCACTGTGGTCATTTCAACCATCATTACAAAGAAATATACATCCTATCCTTGCTATACAGAATGCACATAGATACACCATTAAAAAGACAATGTTAGCCAATTTATACATACATACATACATACATGGGGGGCCCGGGTGGCGCTGTGGGTTAAACCACAGAGCCTAGGACTTGCCGATCAGAAGGTCGGTGGTTTGAATCCCCACAACAAGTGAGCTCCCGTTGCTCGGTCCCTGCTCTTGCCCACCTAGCAGTTCAAAAGCACGTCAAAGTGCAAGTAGATAAATAGGTACTGCTCAGGCGGGAAGGTAAACAGCATTTCCGTGCGCTGCTCTGGTTCGCCAGAAGCGGCTTAGTCATGCTGGCCACATGACCCGGAAGCTGTACACCAGCTCCCTTGGCCAATAATAATAATAATAATAATAATAATAATAATAATTTATTATTTATACCCCGCCCATCTGGCTGAGTTTCCCCAGCCAGCGAGATGAGTGCCGCAACCCGAGAGTCAGCCATGACTGGACCTAATGGTCAGGGGTCCCTTTACCTTTACATACATACATACATACATACATACATCTTAAAATGCAAACCAAAACACATACGTTTCTATATTTCATTGACAATCAGGTGGCTACAGTCCGCCATATTATCCTTGATGAACAGTCTTCTCAGTTTTGGGGCAGCAATCACAAATCTTGTTGTGTTGTTTGTCACAAACTTAACAAAGCCAGACAGCAAATATGTGATCTCTACTTGTTCGTCAGCTTCAGTCGTCTGACACAACAATTCAAGGATAGCTCTCGGTTCAGAATACAGAGGGCAATGTAATACATAATGGTATAGATCTTTAACTGCTTGAGCGACACATATACAAAGCCGCTTTTCTGCTGGGATTTTCCTGTAGCGTCCCTCTAAATATTCTGAGGGCATTAGTCTGAAAATGCAAAGCCAGAAATGAACAAATTGGTAAATCATACAGATAGTTCTCAAAGCCATGTGTTACTTTAATTAACTGTAGCTGTGGAGAGAACCTTGATTTCGGGATCGCCTGTAGATCTTGTGCAAAGCAGTGAGGAGGACAGCTTGGTGCAAATTCGCCAGTGCACCCGATCTGGCACTGCTGCCAGTGCTTTTGCACCACAACGACCTTGCCACTCCCCTTCTTGCTCCCAGTAAGCAACAATGACCCACCTGTCGGGAAGGTAGTGCAGCAGCTCTGCTGCACCTGGCAAGACACTTCTGATACTAAGACTGCAGCCCTAAGCACACTTTTCCATTAGCAATGGATCCATTTGTAGCTCTCAGTCTAAGCCATCACATCCCTGAAAGATGCAGAGCAATGCAGTCCCCTCCCCAAAGTATAATTTGGTCATCTAGCCAGAATTCAATGTCCTGTCAGAACCATATCACAAAACTGTTCTGACCATTCTTGCACGGTATGTTTTCAGATTACCAGAATGGTTTTAAAAAACACACACTATGGGAACAAGTTCAAGGGACTATGGAGAATATCTGGAGATGGCTCCTTCTTGATTTTGGAAATGCTGAAAGCTCCTGCTTGCATAACCACTTGTTATTTATTTTTTTAAACTTGCGAATATTAACTTAAGATATGAAATACGCCACTTTGCATTTTGAGTACTAATTCTGAGTGGTGTTTTGGTCCATTTGGCAAGAGACAGTCAGCGCGATGGGGTTACATTTATAACTGGATGGCTTGTAGCATTGTTTTGCGAAGACTGCTCTGCAGAGCTTCAAGGTTTCTGGTTTATAGTAGATTCCTGTAAGTTGCATTACATGTCTCCATGTCTAAGCCACCAAAACCACATTGTTCCCAGTCACTTCAATCATGCACTGAGTCAAATTTGTGGGAAGAGACTACTTGCCTCAACCAGACAGGGTGGAATAAGGCAACATTTCTTATTTTGTCCGGTCTCCAATTTATTCCACATCTGGTGTGAACTCAGGCTCCAATCCTAACCCCATGGACCTGGGTGTAAGCCCAATTGAATTCAGTAGGATATGCTTCAAGGTAGACATGGTACCAATGGGTTGCTCGAGAGCAAGTAGGCAAATGCCTCCCTGCTCGGCTGTGAAGCCTTGCTTTTGATGCCAAAATAAACTTTCTCTGCGCAGAGCACCACTCTCCCGTGGCTGGCTCATTCACTGGCAGAATCTGTGAGTGGGCGGTCCTTAAACTTTCCCCAGCAGAGTAGTTTCTTGACGCCCAATCTGCGCCTCCCCTCTCAGCGCAGATGCCTGGGTATGGGTAACGGAGGGCCTCTCTCCTCCCCGCTTTGCCCAGGCAAGGTGTCCTGGCACCGCCTCGCCTCCTCCGAGCCCTGAAGCTCCTCTCCACTGGAGGTGTGGTTACTCTCCTCCGCTGAGGAGGTGCTGCTTCCCACGATCTTTGGGGGCTCTCTGTAATCCATCCAGCTTTTCCCCTCTCGCCCCTGAGCCGATGGCAGTTCCCTGACAACATGGTTAGGTGGTCTGCATGTATAGAAATAATAGCTACCCATGTGGGCCCACTAGAAAAAAAAAATAATTGCCATGATAGGGTACCTTTATTAAGACCAATTAAAACATCACAAGTGAGCAAGCTTTTGAGTTGCCCAGAACCCCTGTTTAGGATGAATGTTAAGCAAAGCAACAAGGACCTGCATATGCATCAGATGCAATGTGGGACAAGGGGACCTCTGACGCAGGAACATAGTTGCTGCTGTAAGGAAAGTGGCAGCAAACAAAACTGCTTAAAGAAAGAAGGAAATTCGGTGGGGGGGGCTAGACTGAAGATTTTAGAAAGTACTGTCTGACTGCTAAAAATAAATTAAAAATTAATAAATCCCTGCCTTGTAAGTGACCTCAAAGTCATCAGAAGTTCTCCACCCATTGCCTTTTTGTCATTCCCTTTTCTGAAAATGTGCCCAAATAATTATACTGAGAACATTTGGAACAGCCCTGACTAGGAGATAGTCAAGAATCTCTGTGTTTGAATGAATTCCATAGAGCTGAAGGAAGGTGGCAGCTTTTGTGGGGGTACAGTGGAGAGCTTAGGAGCTCTTTGTAGTTTGGAAGAGAGGGAGAGAGGTGGGGAGAGTTGTGAGTTCACTAAAGGCAGGACCTCTCTCTGGGGATCTGACGTGAGGTGGCAGATTTAATGCCTTGTATATTTGTAAATAGAGTAAATATTAGAGAGCCTAAGTCTCCAGTGCTTTTGCACCCAAAGGCAACCAAACCTAGATATTAAGTGGAGCATGCCACAGATTGAAAGGGGGCAATCTCTGAATGATCAAAGTGTGACTCAGGCAATGTTATTCATTTAACTGCATCCGTTAAGGGCCATTTTCTACATTCATAAATATCTCGTGATAAAGCCCTACCAGTAAACAGCCCAGAATGTCGCTGAAGGATCATGTGTACATAATTCTGCTGCTGATTTTAACGAGATCTTTATCTGTTTCTTTTGCAGAAAAAGCTGCTGTGTGGTTACTGCTGCTATGACGTTTGGAAATTTAAAAAACCCAGCAGTTCTGGTGCTTCAACTCCCCCCTTTCTCCCCATGATGACTTGAGGCTTTTTACTAAGTGGACCAATACCACTTTGGCTGCAGGATTGAGTCGCAGTAGTACTGAACTGCTTTCTTCCCCGGCTTTTTAGCTGTTTTCAGTAGCTGCTGAAGTTTCCAGGAAGGTGTTTCTGTTCAAAGGCGGCTGCTTGAATTTGTGCTTGAGGTTCTTATCATTGCTTGAATTTCAGCGTGATAGCTCTGGTTTTCCAGACTCAGCTGTTGAAAGAAATGGTGGGGATTTCTTTTAGATTATCAGATCTCCTCAGCTCAGCAGGTTAGGGTTGAACTCAACTGGGAGAGGATTGCTTTCAAAGAAACTGATTTGGGGGGGGGGGGGAGAGAGAAGCAGGTAGCAAATGTGGAAGACTGTGTGTGAAGTTTAATTTTTAAGACAAGGTGCTCTCTTCTTACCATATAATAAATAGAGTGATTCTATTACAGCAGTGTGTAAATGGCATGGAAGTATGTTTGCTCTCAGTGCACCATGAAATGCCTTTTCTGTGCCTGCTAACATATCACTCTGATACCATTTTTAATTCGGCCAGGTTATCTTAGGCAACTGCACAATTCGAATGCAGAGAAGCATGTGTTCCCCCATCTCGCTTCCCCCTCAAAAATTGGTAATCTTGTGCCTTCGAATATTTGTTCATATTCTTTAAGCATCATAATGAAAGGAATCCCAGTATATATTTATTTTTATGTTGAACAGAGCAGGTAAAAGAAAAGAAGAATGCGCTCTGAAACTGAGAATCATAATATTCTCCTGGCTTGACAGCTGGCGCAGTGGGAAACATGAACTGAGTGAGGCTCCTAATTCAAATTTCACCTCAGCCGTTGTCTCCCAACCTCAGCCCCTCATCTCAGTATTAGGATAACAAAACTGACCCACCTTACAAGTTGTTGTAAGGGTTACTGAGTCAATGCCTGTAAAACGTTTTGAACGCTCACAAAAATTCATATAAAATAGAAGGATTGCAGATATTGCTGCAACAGAATTAAGCCGTTGTAGTATTGTAGTAATGTTAAAATGCTGTCCCGCACATTTCATTATAGAAAATCTTCCATTTATCTAAATATGGCTGAATTTATCACTGCCAATGAAGGGTATTTAAGTTGTTATGTGCCCCCAATTCATTGGTCGACATGGCAATATCTCTATTGCAAGACATTTTTTAAAAAGCCCCATGGAGGCCTTGCCAAGAGCAGAACTTCATTTTCCTGTAGAATGAGGCAGAATCTTCCCTTTTATCCAGCCTCTCAAAGTTCTCATTCCTGTGGCATTTGGAAGGAGAGCTTGGGAAATACATGAAAAGAAGACCTTGCCCAAGAAATTAAGATTTGGTTTAACTGGCATATAAAAACACAAGTATTGCTAACACAGCAACTTTTTGCCATGTATGTGTGGTAGCTCAATGGGCGAGAGTGCTGTTCACATCACGAGTGTAATCCATGACAATGCAGCACCCCTCCTCTAGCGTAACAACTTTTCTAATTCTGACAAAATCTGCAGGCTGAATGTGGAAAGGGATTTCAATATACACTTTAGTGCCAGTATTAAGGGTTTTCTCTCTTCATAACACGCACAAGCTGCATGCGGTTTTCAGTCTTTGATAAATATACATATATGTCTTTGTGTGATCGTAGTATTCTAACTGCTGTCTTTGTTTGGAAAAAGAAGAAGGGGGAAGGATGACCCAGATCCTTGTATAAAATTAGAATGATTTAGATTCAATCCTTCAAATTTCAATCTTTTGTAAGTTGTGGAACCAATTCAGGCACAATGTTTTGCATTCATAGGAAGGCTCATGGAATTAGTCCTCTGAGTGTGTGCATGTGTACATAAATGCACACATACACATGGAGGAAAGGGTTGGTTTTTTTCTTTTTCTTTTTTGCAAATTCACACAGCTTGCTAGATAATCTCACAACTCATGATTGGGCTCCTGGATGTTTCCTGTTTATAAGATTGTTTAGATGTCTGGACAAACCATTGCCCTGCACACCAAAAATGAATGCGTAAGACAAGTTTTGGAATGGCGGGTCATAACTTTATTAAAATCAAGGACCTGCAAGGGAAGAACTAGAAAACAGTGCAGGCCAGCTATCTTGATGAAGTGGACAAGGCGAGCCTCTGAAGTCTGTTGGAGGTAGCCTCAATAGTCCCATCAGAGGCCACACACAAAATTCCTACTCAGTTCCTAAAATTCAACGGGCAAATCCTATATCACAAAAAAGGGAGAGCAGGGTGCCATGCTGGCCAGAGAAAGAGTTCAGAGAAGGAGGGGTTGGGTTACTAAGCCAGTCAGATGTCATGGATTAATAGAATTGTAGAGTTGGGATGGACTCCAAGGGTGATGCAGTCCAACCCATGCAATGCAAGAATGTCCCCATGTGACATGATGATGTCACAGGACAGTAAACTCTTATGATGCCATTTCCAGTGGGATAGAGGCAAATGTAGCCCTGCAATAATGTGGAGGACTGAGGTGCTGGGCGGCGGCGGGGGGTTGTCCAAGAGCCAACACAGTGATACAAAACATTATGCTAGAATTGGACCACGTGTAAGAGTTCTGTGGTCTTTGTGTGCTTTCTGTTGCTTCAGAAAGAGAATACTCCTACAGCAATAGTAAAAACCAGTACAATTTTTATTCTTGTTTTCAAATTTCCCATCGTGTTATCAGTGGCAACCCTGAGTTTCATGGCGATCTATTGTGGATAAATTGGCATCGGTCAAAGCCTTAATCAGGGCTATTTTCAAATGTCAGATCCACCTCATGACAAAACAGTGGCATGCCACCCAGGGGTACCCCAGTAGTTTCCAGGCTATTCCTGCTGCTTGCTCAGACATCTTTGTTTTATCAGGTGGCAATATTTCTGTAGCTTTTCTTGGGTTTCTGGCATTAAAAGTGGTATCTGCAGTGCTAGCTTTTGCGAGCACAGGGGGCCTATGAAACATACTTACATGCTAACAGAGGCTACTACATGGCAGAAGGAAACACATGATTTGAAATGATAGTAGCATGTTGGTGATCTAGTCCAGAAACCTCATGCCCACACCACAAGTTAAATGTAAGTTGCGAAAACTTTTCAGTGGTTGGGGATTAGAAATGTGGGCTATGTTCAGAACTGAGTGATCAGAGGAGCAGAAGGCCACGGAAGAAGGTTTCAGTAAGTTGGGTTCAGGAGATCACTCAACATAGAGTGAGGTACAGGTAGAGGTGGAACAGGGAACAAGGTAAAATAGAACAGGCTTGCAGATCCTACTTGGAACCAACATAACTTCATTAATTCATGGACTTTCAGAAGGAAGACCATGCATAGCCAAGTAGGTCAGAGAAGAGAAATTGGTGGCTCTTATGAGGGAGAGATTGCGGTCTGTCCGTCAGCCTCAATGACAGCATATGGAATAATAACCTACAGTGATGGCTATCCATCAGATCATTAGTTATCTAAGTTTAGTCATGCCACTGGAACCTGTGCTAGAAAATTAATTTATGTTGCTGCATCTTATTGTGCAACAAAGCAGAAAGTTGGAGGAATGCAGCCTATTCAACACAATGTGATTCCCTGATGCAAGGGCACACATATCCCACGAGGTTTTGAAAACCAAGCTCTGTACTTATCAATAACCGGCTGTAAACTTGCGAAAAGCAACACTTGGTGGGTAACATACACATTAAACAGCAAGAAATCAATTCCATTGAATTAATACATATCCTCAGAAATATGTTCTGCCCTGTATTTCTGAATGTCTGAATATAAGCAACCTGGCCATTGGTCTCCTTGTGCTTGCAAACGCTATCACAGGAAACACACCGCTGTCCCGTTCACTTCAAAGGAAGGGAGCGACTGTGTGTGTATCCCTCTACAAATATATGAAGTTTCCTGCCTTGCTGCTGAATGGGGCAAAACATCAGAGCCCACATAGGGAGTTGAACCAAAGCTGAACTCTGTGGATTATGCACAGTGCTATTTCCTCGGACTGCTCTGTTGTGAAAACCCTCCTGAACTGAAGGTACAAGGGTTGGGTTGCCATTTGGTATCCATTGCAAATGAACGCCATGGGTTATATCCAGTTGTGCCTATCCATTCATAGAAGGCTCTTTACGACAGCGGAAAGTGGTTAGGAAGCAATGTTGGCAGTCTCCCACTTTCTCCTGCAGATTTGAGGGCGCTGCAGAAGGAGAGGAGGAATCAATGAAAATTGGTCCCCTTCCCATACATTCACAAAAGCCACCACTGGATCGAAGAGGTTTCTATCAATGGAGGCACACAAACAAGTACAACCAGTGCTTTTTTTCCCCTTAATTTTTTTTTTTAGGGGTACTCTCATTTTGACTCAAGAAAATCACCATTTTATAGTTCAAATCGGGAAAAATAAATACAGTAAATGGACAAAAGTACAAAGATTCACAAAATGTTTAGGGGTATGCGTCCCCCCAGAAAAAAGCAGCCCCATGTTTTTGCAAGCTAGGCACAACTTCTACAAGGAAAATAACTTTTATTTTGTAAGTTCTTGGGTAAGGAGCAAAAGAAAGCAAACTTGGCTTTTAGGATCCCACAGAACAGTGTAGTAATCCTGACAGTGTTCAGTTTCTTTACACTAATCCCTAAGTGAGATTGACAGGTATTTCACAGTCAGGTGTAACAGTCTGATGCAACTAAACGCTTGTTTGTCGCTATGTACAATGCACTGCATACAATATGTTGAAAGAGATGAAAAATGCCACCTGTAAATAATGCTTTCAACAGTCGCAATTTCAAAACAGTTGTAATCATGGTATCATATTCAAGGAACCTTTTCTTGACTATTAAGATTATATTAAAGTAATACTTGATCAACTAGAAGATAACTACTTCTACAAGACTCATATAAATTATTATTCTATATTTATTGCACTTTGAACAGCATGCTTTTAACTCCACTTGGCTTTTTTATTTTATAAACGATATAACCACAGTTTGTTCTCTTCAGGTTTTTTGTGTGTGTGTGTGTTTCACAACACAGTTTTTCTGATTTTATACCAGGCTAATCAAAGAGAGTGAGTGTGTAACTGTATGTGTGTTTTTGCTTATCTGTACGGTATTTTGTTTTTAAGAGTTTTAGAAACTGTGAATTGCCATGTTTGAGAGCAGGTTGCTTGAGGAGGGCACTTTACAAGCTGTAGTTATTGCCTTCAGCTGTTCATTCACAGATGGGCAGAGGTGACTTACAGCTATTGCTTTTGCAACTAGGGAACAGAACAGACGTTTCTCCTAATAAACGTGTCAAGATTCAGAATCCAGTGGGGTGTAATTCCAAAACAATTGGATATTTAGTGTGACACAAATACAGCCCACATAAACTGCAAACTGCTATGGATTGGGTGTACTTTTAGTGATAGTTAGGCCTTAATCACTTCGCAGTGGCTTCCTGCCTCTATTTTGTTCTCTCTCATTTGTGTCACTGCACTGATTGGTGCACTACACAGTCATTCTTATATTAAGGCTCTTCTGGGCTTAGCTCATTCTGAGAATTTATGGATTGAAATGGTATAAAGGTTTGCGCAGATTGTCTCTTTCTCATTTATAGGAATGAGCCATTCTACACACACACAGCTGTGATTGGAGGAAAGGGCTTTCAGGTCAAAATATACTATTTCTGTGTAGACATATATGAGTTTTATTAGCTCAGCATCTCTCAACTAAGCACTCCACACATTCAAAAATGCCCATAACAGAAGGTATCAATTTTTTACAGCATACTACACTTGTGATTAAGGGACGCTGGTGGCGCTGTGGGTTATACCACAGAGCCTAGGACTTGCTGATCAGAAGGTCGGCGGTTCGAATCCTCGTGATGGGGTGAGCTCCTGTTGCTCGGTCCCTGCTCCTACCAACCTAGCACGTCAAAGTACAAGTAGATGAATAGGTACCGCTCCAGCGGGAAGGTAAACGGCGTTTCCGTGCGCTGCTCTGGTTCGCCAGAAGAGGCTTAGTCATGCTGGCCACATGACCTGGAAGCTGTACGCCGGCTCCCTCGGCCAATAAAGCGAGATGAGCGCCGCAACCCCAGAGTCGGTCACAATTGGACCTAATGGTCAGGGCTCCCTTTACCTTTACCTTTACACTTGTGATTAACCTTGGATTGCCAAGAATTAACATGAGATTTCAGTTGTTGTTGTTGCTGTTGTGAGGCCTGCAGATTTTGGATGCGCCAAAATCGCAGTCAACAATCTACAAGGTCCCTAAGAAAGCTCACATATTTCAGAGAATAATTCATGAGAACTTCAGGTTTTGCTTCTGGTTCGATGGTGACAAAAAGCTGAAATGACTTCTAGAGTCTTGTGGCATCTTAAAGACTAACAGATGTTTTGTTCCATTTCATCAGACAGAAGGCGGGCGGGCAGGCAGGGTTTAGTATTTGCACCAATTTCTGCAGCAGCAAAGCAGCTCATGCCATGGAGTTTTAAGATCTCCTTCCTCTCTCCACCCAATCAATTCTACATCAGTTTCATATTGCAGAAGAAAAGCTGGTTGCTGCCTGTAGGGTGCCTAAAAATGTGTGTGTCAATTTCCACTGAATAGCAACAAGACTTTTAGCTACATACCTCTGACCCTAATATGGTTTTAAATATAAATAATATCGGGTGAACAAAATGCAAGGTTTCAGTTATGATTCAGAAGCTGACAGTGATGACTAGTCCACAGCAGTCTTGCAAAGACCTTTAAAAAATGTTTTGCTCTCAGAAAGGATGCTGTATCTTAATGCATTATTTTTTTTATTAGTATAATGCTATGTGATTATGCCCAGTGTAAGTGAGGCTTAATATTGCATGAATCCACAGTAGGAACATTAAGGGTTTATGTGCACTTAACTTTCGCCCCATGTCTTCCAGGAACAGTTGTGCACTTGAAAGCTCTGTATCTGAGTGCTCTGTTGTTGTTTTTACCCCAGAGCTTTCCCTGTGAAATTTGGGTCTTCTGCAGATTGCTGTTTGCTCTGATTCCGCAGTAAAGAGTGGATTTTCACAGGGAAAGATGAGGGGGAGAGAAAGCACTCACACATGGTGCTTTAAAATCCAGGCTGTGTTTGGAAAGCATTGACGAAAGGTAAGCGTGGATAAGCCCTTAGACCAGAGGCTCTCAAAGTGTGTGACAGGATACGATTTCCTCCAGTGTTTCATCCTACCAAGGAATCACAACCAAGGAAGTGACATACTTGGTTGCACAACCTTTCTCAATGACAACTAATTAAATTAAAGAATGGGGATTGAGTCTACATGGATCTAACCATATACTAAGACCAGTGCCAGATTTACATATAAGCTAAACAAGCTATAGCTTAGGGCCCCACTCTCTTGGGGCCCCCCAAAAAATTAAAAGAAAAAAAACCTGGATGTACATTTCCAAAATATAAGATTAAAAACAAATAAAATAAAACCTACATACAGCAACAGTGGCAAATGGCTTTAGATACCTATCAGGTCCATAAATTACCATATAGCATATATTCAACACAAAAAACAGTGACAAATTGTTGTTGACAAAGGACAGCTGGACATACAAAGGGCCCCATTACCTTCAGTAGCTTAGGGCCTCATCAAACCTAAATCCGGCCCTGACTGAGACTTACACAGGTAGCAAAGTCCAGAGAAATTAAAATCCCAGCAACTAAATAATAATAAAAAAGAGTGTTAATTCATTGGCCCCACAGACTTCTCCATCAATTCAAGTGGCGGGTGGAAACAAAGATCTAATGCATAGAAAGGGGACGAGTTTGGAGGAACTCGGTATGCCTCTCTTATCAATTATCACACGTTTTAAATGAGAGCCAGCTCCCACTTTGAGAATCCTGGATTTAGGCTGACATATTCACCTTCCATGAAGGCTAATAGTTCAACAATTAACTACCTATATATAATGTTAGATGAAATATGCATCAAGGTTAACAGTTTGTAAATATGCTGTTCAGGTCTAGGTTTAAGATTTTGAAAGCCATTAGCCTTCCAAGTACGTATAACATGGTACTTAATACCTGTTCTGTGTTCTACGATATCATATTCTTGACAGTAACAAATGGCTTGAATAGACTTTAAACTATAAAAATATGCAGAAGTTTGTGTAATAAATGCATCTTTTTTAAAAGATGGTTTTTGTAGATTAACACATCCTCTTGTATTATTAAAATGTAAGACATAGCAATTGTGCGCACAAGTCATTGTAGAATAAACCATTACTTTATTTACTTGGAAGTTTGGGGTGGATTGTGTCTTTGTGTCCTAATTTTGCCCTTCAAATTTCAAATATGGTCTGCAGTTTTTGAATGTGAATTTTACCTCAGCATTCAGTTGTTTTACCACACTTCTTTGCATCTCTTCATTATTTGGTGACTGTCAAAAAATAAAACTTCATAAGCTATCCAATGAAAATCATTACATGCTAGTGACCAAAAGTTTCCAAATATACGGTAAATATATACCTTTGCAACAAAAGCACAAATCTGAGAGGAGCCTCCTGGCTCCCCTAAAGCAAAGGAGTATTTATTGTAAAATAGTTTTTGTGTGAAACACGCACTCCTCCCTATCCAGGCAAGCAAGGAGCATTATCAGAGCTCAAAGTTGAATTTCACGCAGGCAAAGACACTCAAGGATTGTGAAAAGTACGGCCTGCAAGAGGTGTGTCTTGGGAAGCAGTGGTGTGGCTGAGAGGTTTCTGTAGCAGATAAAAGAGTGATCTTCTACAAAGACCTCTAAACCAAGGTTTGTTATGGTATCAAAATAGCTTCTGTAAGTGGTTCAGTCTCTCTACACACATAATACATAGACACAGGTCCACTGCTAAACTATGAGGGTTTTAAAGCTGAACTTTTAACATTTGAACCTGGCAAATATGCACATCTACTTAGACGTAAGTCATATTGAATTCAGTGTGGGCTACTCCCAGGTAAGTGTGCATGGGATGGCAGCCTATCTGATATGTGTCCAAAAAACAACCATATGAAACCATGCTTTGAAGCTGGCTTGTGACTCGCAGCTTATATTAACTCTGTTTTGCTGTTACATCCGAACTTAGTAGAGAGAGTGCAAAAGATGACACAGATTTGTATAAAAAGTGTGAATGCTAATATATATAGATATATGTGCAAATTTGGGAATAATTACTATAATACATGGGTAGGCAAACTAAGGCCCGGGGGCCGGATCCGGCCCAATTGCCTTCTAAATCCAGCCTGTGGACGATGTGGGAATCAGTGTGTTTTTACATGAGTAGAATGTGTGTTTTTATTTAAAATGCATCTCTGGGTTATTTGTGGGGCGTAGGAATTCATTCTTTTTTTTCTTTTCATAATATAGTCTGCCCCCCCGCCAAGGTCTGAGTCACAGTGGACCGGCCCCCTGCTGAAAAAGTTTGCTGACCCCGCTATAATACATCTCACTCTAGTCAGAACGATGGTGGCCACATTACCTACTCAGTCTGCTGCTCATGTGCAACTTGAAGGCTCCTACTCTCCCTTCTTGCATGCAACTTCAAGTATCTTGATTTCCCCGGGACATTCCTGGAATTACAGAAGCCATCCTGGCTTCTGATTTGATACCGGAATGTCCCATTTCCCTCCTCCCTCCACGGCCACCATCACCGAACTCAGCGGGGGGATGAGCTGGTGCTTGCAGTGGTGCCGTACTTTCACGCGAGCCAGCTAACTCGTGGGGCAGCGCAGCACCAAAAGACACACGTCTCAGTTTTCACTAGAGGAATATGGGAGGGTGTGTTCTTGTGGTTCTTTATCTCTAAACCAGACTTGGCCTGGAAAATCTTTCAGAAATATGCCTGTCCTCCATAAACACATGTGTACCCTAATGTGTAAGTGCTTTTTAAGTAGGTTTCCCTTCTGTGATCATTAACTTCCCTTTCCTGTCCTTCTATATCTTCTGCGTGCCTCACCGTTTCCTTGTCTGCTTCCTAATTCTTCAAGCCTTTTCCAGGTTGCTCTAGCATTACCACTGCAAGTTATTTCCGTTTCTATTCCTGCCTCATTTGTCTGGACTGACTTGGAGGTTCTCTCAACCACTTTTATCTTACATTTGATTAAGACACCAAGCCTTAGCCTTGCAAACCATCAAGATCTTTCTTCTCTGTCCTTGAGAGGTCCAGGCCATGGGTGAGGAACACTTTATGGCGCGACACAAACATACATCAATTGCAAACATGTCTGAATTAAAAAACATTTTGTTCAACACGGCCTTTGAAGAATATGCCACATATTTCAAATCTTTGTTACTTTAGGGCATACAATTATAAATAGGTTGACCAGAACAGAAACAATTCTTGAAAGATCATATGTAATGTTAGTGAATTTCTCCCCTTTCCCCCCCTACTTATCCCAATTATTTCAAACACCTGCTCCCTGTAAATTTTCTTTGCTGGCTCCTTTAATATGTTGAAGTGTTTGAAACACACATGGTGTGTCTTTCTTTTTAATTATTTTCAAGTTAATTTTAATTTTCTGAATTTCTTCAATCCTTCAATAAAGTGAAACTTTAATTAATATTCTTCAGTTTAAAGTCTCCTAAAGTTTCCAGAGGGTACTTTACGGGCTGTTTTAATGACACTTTGGACTGGTCCTAGAGATTTTCCCAATTACGCAGTTAACGGCACCTTGTCCCATAAGCAAAGTATTTGAGAAATATTGTACTTTTGTCAAATAGTGACTCGCCAAAATATCCAGGTACGGCAATGAGAGGTACACCAGATTCTAGACAATGCATAATGGGTGGGATAAAGGTAAAAATTGGCAGATTATCCTTTCTTTCTCTTTTTGCTGCTCCCTTTCCCCCTTTCCTTTTCCATCCATGGCTAGTACCTTTTGATAGCTTACTTTATCCCCTGTACTTGTCCATTTCCCTTTTAAAGCCACACCACAATCTGCGGTTGGTGAATTCCATAGTTTAATTATGTGTTGTGTGAATTGTCCTGAACCCCCACAAGTAAGCTTCACTGGATGATCCTGGGTACTAGTGTTCTGGAGAGCATCTGCTTTGTTTGCTCCAAGTTGCATCACTTTACGCCTGTTTACATTGAAATGCGCTTGGGAATGATTTGGGAAGGAATTCAGCTTAGTTGTAGAGCATCTGCCTTGGTGCCAGGAATGTTGACGTAAGAGTAGCGAAATCACAGCTAAGAAGCTCATATCTTATATATGACTTCTTTGGAAATGAAGCCAACGTCCAGACTTTAACATTCAAAAACTTTACTAGTGGAAACTTAGAGTTGTAAATGAATTAAAACATAATATTTACAGTCACATGCTTACCCAAGTATGGGCTTACAGTCTCTTCTTCTAACTTCCAGACAACTGTATCTTTCCTCTCTTTTCAGAGCTCAGCACTCACCCTTCTGTATTTCAGTTAAGCCATGCCTTGCAGCTCCTATGAGAGATTTCCACTTTCATCTCCTCCTGCAGCTTTGCTCTCTTTTGAGCAGAGAAGCACTCCAACACTTGATTCAACTTAGCAGTGTTCACAGTGGATTCTACAACACAGTCATCTTGCTTCACATAAAATGGAGTCTCTCCTTCACTAAATACCTCCCATGTGGCCAATGTTAGCCAATCAAATGAGAACGACTAGAGAATATTATTATTATTATTATTATTATTATTATTATTATGCCACCCATCTGACTGGGTTGCCCCAGCCACTCTGGGCAGCTCCCAACAGAATATTAAAAAACGCACAATAAAACATAAAACGTTAAAATCTCTCTAGAATTCAGTTACTAACCAATCAGATTTAAGCATATATTAATGCATACAAGCACTTACAATTTCAGTAAATTCAATTACTATACTTAATAAGGAAGGGCTGGGAATGTCCATCAGAAACTCAGGAGGGCTGCTGCCTCTCAGTGTGGACAGCTAGATAGACTCAGCACAAGGAAGATGACTATCAGGAAAAAGACACCCACAATCATTACTTGACTCTCACACCATGATATCTCTGCAGGGCTTAGTCTTCATTATGAGCCACTTTGGGCACCATCCCAATGGCAAAACAACCTGTTCTCTAGTCCAGAACGGAGTACAAAGAGTTCCATCATGCTAAAAGCCACCATTTGAGGACCTCCCCTGCATACACTGAAGTCTAATGAAAGGACTCACCTGGGCATCTGATCAGGGAAATGACAGTTTTGGCTCTGACTTCAGGGAGGACTCCATGATGCCAAGAGTGCTGGAACTAATTAGAGGAGGCGCTTTGCCGTTTATTCAGTGACTCACTGTTTTCTCAGTTTCTCTGGACGTGACAATCCCACCTTCCTGAATGGTGCTTCTGTTGTACCAATTTTAGCAAGACTTGAGAGTATGGCAGTGGTGAATTTGCAGAAGAGGTTCTGCCTTGCTAATGCTGTGTGTCTGTGTGTTCAATTTCTTGAAATGATGTACGCTGATAATGTTGCTTATAGCCAAAAGTATCGATACACCCAGCCCCAATCTGTGTCCTATTAAATCTTAAGCCACATTTATTTCAGTCATATTACATAAAAGTATTTCACTGCAAATCAGGATTGTCATCCGTTCGCTTTTCTAGAGTTGTACAAGTGTTTTTTGCTTACCAGTATGTGCAAGAACGACAAGATGCACCAGTCTTCTCAAACATAACAACTTCTGACTTAACTTTAGAGGCAAGGTGGGCTAGGCTATGGAACTTAGCTCTTACGGAGAAACTTAGAACAAAGACCAAATGCAATTTTGAAACTGTCTGTTTATTCAGAACACCCAAAAGGACCATGATGTTCCCTCACCGCCATGGCTCACTTTGGGACAGTGGGTTAAGATGGAGAGTAGATAAATGAGTTTTACACTGTAATTTAAATTATGCTCCAGCTCTTTCACCAGTTGCAGTTTTCTTAAAAATGAATTTGTATTGTATTTTAATAATTATTCTTTTCTTTGTAAGCTGCCTTGTTATGGGACAGCGCGCGCTCTCTCTCTCTCTCTATATATATATACACCGTATTTTTTGCACCATAACACTCACTTTTTTCCTCCTAAAAAGTAAGGGGAAGTGTCTGTGCGTGTTATGGAGGGAATGCCTACGGGTGGCATGCCTACGGATTTTCCTCCTCTAAAAACTACATGCGTGTTATGGTCGGGTGGGTGCGTGTTATTGAGCGAAAAATACGGTGTATATATAGGAGAGAGAAATCCTGGGTGCCTAGATCCATGTTTGGGGCAAATACTCTCTAAGAGAACCTC